TGCTGGAACTCTGCTTAGAAGGTGTTCGATTCAGAATGTATATTTCAGTACTCGCTGCTTCTGCCCAGAGATAATGAGGTGCATTTGCACCAATTAGCATTGACCTGACACTCTCCTTGATGGTACGGTTTTCTCTGCTCTGGGGTATAGGGTGCAATATTTTCTAGTTCAATGCCTTCTTTGTTCATGTAATGTTCATGTTGACTTCTTGAAACTTTTTCTGTGCTGTTTACCTAGTATGCATGCTTCGCACTGAAAGATGTCAAATTCACTCTTTTCTACACCTTTTACCATTTTTTCAGTGATCATGTCTTTTAAATACTACTTGTTGATATGCCCAAGCCTCTCATGCCAGTTTTTCAATGAGTCGCTAACCTCTTCGGCAACACTAACTTCACTTTGGTTCCACACTGTACGAATAAGCATTTTATACAAGTTATTCGATTCTTGCTGAATGGCACTATCTACTAGGCCTTCTTCTTCATAAATTCTTGCGGTATTACCTTCTTTGACTATTGTCATCTTCTTATTTGTCAAGACTCCTTCAGAAATAAGATTCTCTCGCAGTTCTGGGATGAAAAGTACATTGTGTATGTAAGAGTCACACCAATCTCCATCTATTAATTTCTGAATCTTCACCGTCCCTTTTCCTTTTACTTCTAGGTTCTTACTGTTTCCTAGGTACACAAAAGAAGGACTCTTAAACTCCTCCAATTCAGAAAAATAATCTCTTCTCTAACTCATATGCGCATGGGAGCCCTGCAGTCTTCAATCATATGTCCACGTTTTTGACAGTTAGAGCATCTGAATGGAAACCTTTTACTTTTTCCTTCGTTTTTTTCTGCATTCGATGTGCTTTTTTTTCTGTTCAAGGTCATGACTGCTAAAGCCTCTTGCTCTTCTTCGATTGCTGTAAAACTCTGTTCCTCATCTAAAAGTCTGGCTATCAGGTTCTTCAGATTCTGCTTCGTTTCATCCATTGACAACCAAGCTTCTCTAACTTTTGTTTTTTGATGGCTGTTTCACTAACCGTATCACCACAATCTTTGATCTGTTGTGCCAGGTTCCCAATTTTTGCTACGTGCTTTGCCACTGAATCTACAGGATCCATCTTGTATTGATGAAATTTTTCATGTGCCATAAGCTTATTTACCTCTGACTTGTAAATATAGTCTAACTCTTCCTTCATGTCTTTCGAGGTTTGGCAATTTTCTATCAAGGTAATCTGCTCGAAATCCATGGGCGATGTTATTAAAAACATTGCTTGTGCGTCTTTTTTGTACCATGTTGTAAGCTCGTCCACTTGAACCATCAACCAGTCCATACAGCCTTTTTGCCTTCAATGCACACTGAACTTGAAACATCCATTGATGATAGTTTTTGCCAGCGAACTTTTTAATGCTTCCGAGATCGGTTTTGTCAGCAGTAGCTGATTATTTTAATTACTTCTCCCTAGCATCCTGGGCCCATAACCTGTTAGAGGTCTTGCTTGCAGTGGATTGAAAGGATAATACACTTGACTAAACTACAGTTTCTCTATTGAAAAGTTACTAAGAAACTGAAATAATAATCTTTCTAGCAAAACATTCGATCAACTCAAAACGTCAAAAACAACTGCAGTTAAAGTTAGGTTAGATTGTCACTGCCTATTGTAACACCCTGTTCTTGAACTAAACTAGGTTCCTATTCTTAAACACGCGAAAAACAATATTTACAACATCGTCTATAAAAGTTTTTAGACGATCTTTGAAGAATTCACTGATTAGTAAGGCCTACTACGATCTGGGTGAGTTTTACGCGGATGCATTGTGACTTGCCTGTCTGCCTGTGTGAAAATTATTGTTAGGGCAACCTCAGGGTAAAATTCTAGAATTTTATTTAAGGGGCACTTATATATAATTATCGGTTTATAACGTTCTACGTCTTCCGATTCCCGATCTCCAACCATCTCTGTCAATCCAGGCATCCTCTTCTAGGCCTCTGTCCTTCATTTCCTCGTCTACACCACTTCTCCAGCTTCTTCTTGGTCTGCCGCGTCTTCTTCTTCCCCCTGGCTTCCACTCGATTATTTGCTTGGGTATTCTTGTATCTGCCATTCTTTGTACATGTCCGAACCAAATCAGCTGTTTGTCCTTTATATCATCTATTATTGTGTGTTTTACGTCCATAATCTCCCTAATTCTCAGATTTGTTATCCTCTCCATTTTTGACCTGCCTGCCGATCTCCTCCAAAAGTCCATTTCAGTTGCTTCCAGCATTTTTGCGGTTCTGATCTTTAGTGGCCAGACTTCTGAACTATACGTGACTATGCTTTTGACTATGGTGTTGTATATTCTCGTTTTGTTAGTTTTGTTGATATTTTGATCCCACAGTACACCATTTAGTAGGGATATTGCCTTGCGTCCTTGTATATTCCTATCTTTAATTGCATCGTCTAGGGTTCCCTCGTGTGAGATTTAAGGGGCACTTACCGAACGTAAATCAGTATCAAGTGATTTATTAAAGATTTGCCTAAATAGTAAAAAGTGCAACTTACATGTGTACAAGTGTTAGTTATCTTCAAATCTATGTGTAACTCTAGAAGTTTTGAAGGGAAATTATCTACAGGTTTAGTCTCACTGTAGATAGACTATGGTATGGTAAGTGAGTCATGAGTCCTATCCACGTTGTATCTGTTTAACGTAGAACTCGACGTGGTTCCACCAAAGTGCTACCAAGAGGGTTGCTGAAGGGAGGCTACCAAGCCAACTAAGAGCAATCTAGATCTAGTCTAGAATCTCTTTCTAGGAGCTGTCCAACTATAGCCTAAGACTGTCTAGCTACAGCCTAGCACTAGGATTGTCCAACTATAGCCTAAGAGTAGGATTGTCCAACTATAGCCTGAGACTAGGATTGTCCAACTATAACCTGAGACTAGGACCCTATAACGATGTTCGTATAAAAAAACAAATCGAGCCCCAAATATTAGAAATAATCTTACCTCGAATTGAGGGATACTCTAGACCAAAGGTGAAGTCTTAAACTTCCAAATGTTGCTCGGAACAGTCCTATTTAAAAAAAAAATGGAACACGTGTTGTAGGTTAATATTTCCTGAAGAAAATCTCAAACTTACCGAAACAGAATCCAAAAATGACCAAGGGACGACTCTAGACAATTATCAGCAACAAATTAGTCCCAAAAATAATTAGGGCCGAGGCCCGAGACCAGACGACTACTCAGCGTGAGGTCGCCGATCAAAAGGGCAGATTCTTCATTTAGAATTTAGATTTCGGAAGAAGACTTTCATCTGTCAAACTTCTAATTTTGACATTGAAGAAAATTATAGAAAAGGACGTGTTCAGTTTCACCCCAAAAGTACGAACTGAGAATCGGTTGTGTAAAAAATGACTGGTGAATGTTGAAAAGTGCCTATAGAACATATATCAAAAGGTAGAACAGGTCTAAAGAAAACGCCTAGACAAAACAGCTGTTCAATGACATGATGGAAATGAAAAGTCAAAGAGTACAAAAAAACAACAATTATTATCATAACCTCAGATTATTGATTGGATTTGCAAACAGAGATGGTGATGGTACTAACTCCTTTTCCTAAGATTCTAATCAATAACAGCGGGCCCTGCCGTACTGAATCAAACCTTCCTAGATCAATTAACAAAACTTGCAAACCTGCACCAAAGAAACTTCTAGTAGAAGGCAGCACTCAAGTTAACAAAATCTGGGCACAAAAAAGATAGTTGTTTATTCATTTATTTCATTGTAGCTCTATATGGAATCATATCTACTAAAGCAAAACAAGGTAGCTTATTAGCCAAGAAATTGAAAATGTTACAACTTGACTGTTTGTCCACACGTTTTTGCTTGCTTATGTTCCATGTTTCAATGTATATTTTATATTTATTTTGACTGGTTTAGGGGATTTTAGTTAACATGCTTTCTCAATAAATATTGAACTGTTTTTTTTTTGGCAATAAAGTACATTTTGATTTGATTTGATTGATTGATCATTTTCCATGTACTTTCGATCTGCCGTCTTCTGTAGTGAAATGAATATGGAAATCTTTACAAGTGTTCGCAACTTTATAAGTGTTCGCAACAACTCATCATTTTTCTTACTATTGTTTGTGTATGGGTTGTTGTAGTCTTTTTTACTGTGACTTGTTTTCTTGGGTAAATATGTGTAAGTTGTACTGTTCATGTCTCCTAAGACCAATATATCTGAATGATGTTTCTCTGTTGATTTCCTCGAATAATCTGTCTTTTGTGACTACGTTTGCATCATTGTTCTGGGTAATCCGTATATAGTAATATTCATTTTGATTGGTCTTTCGTTTAAAACATAGATGTTTTTCAACCTACTAACTTGTGATAATTGAAATATAAGGATTAATGTTCACCTGCTCCGTAATACTTAAACACCGGTCGCTATAGTGTTCAAAATCAAACAAACAAAAACATTTCTTAAATCATCTCCAATCAGGTTTTGATACATTTTCAACAAAAAAAAATGATTGCTTCAAAAGTTTGTTGTGAGTTAGAATTATCAACATTTTCATATCTTCTGCATGCAACTATTCACAGGAACCAAATAAAAGTATGTTTATCAAGGACCATGACCTAAGATAACAGTGAAGGTCGCTTCTCCAACCAAAGTTTCTAATCCATGTCCTCCATCAATTAACTCTTGATAGTTGTGCAGTGTTCACAGCCAAAACTTGTATCATTCTTTATGAAATAACGATAACTTTAACACTCCAACAGGCGCTGGCTGGCTAGTATAGCGGCTATAATTTATTAGTACATAGACCTCCCGCACATTCTTCTAATTGACTTGGATTTTGTGCTGGTAAGTCCGGCAACGTTGCAAGCTCTTACCGATATTGTGGCCACACGGTACCCGAAAGGATAAAAGCCATCAACTCGGGTCACCATTCCCCTATCTCGCCCCCACCATTTCGAGCACAAGCGCTTACGTGCAGGCAGCTTCATATCGCAAAGGTGCTTCGAAAGCTTCGCTCTAAACTCAGTATGGCGACGCGCTACGTTAACGTCGCATCGACGTTGTAGAGAAGGAGCTAAAACCTTAAGTGACAACATTGGATTAATATATTATCATCAGATTAAAAAGAACTTCTTGTGTCAATTAAATTCTAAGGATTTTGGTGTATCGGAAATTTATGCGAGATCCTTTAGCGGGAAAAAAGTTGATTGAAGTTTTAAAAGTTTTTTGAATTTCGCGCTCTGTCAAAAAGTTGGACTGTATTGTAAGAAACTTTTGACCGAAAGTTTTTTTTTTTTGGAGTTTAAGTGGACTGTAAGTTGGAGTGTTGGGAGAAACTTGAAAGAAAAATATTTTTTTGTTTGAATTTTCTTGGGATTCTTTGAGTTTTTTGGACTTTGTACCTGGAGAATTGGACGTAACATCAACTTTTTCTTTATGTGTTCTTTCAAATGCTGGGATATACTTCCTATAGGTAAATTTTTGTTTTTATTTTTTTTTATTTTTTTATTTTATTTGACAAAAATGTAAATAAATAAATGGTCTAAAAATTTTTAATCAAAACAAACAGAAGATAAATTATTAACTAACATTTGCATATTTAAATTATTTAATTAAATATTTATTCCAAAAGGTAAAAGACATTTTCTTGCGGACTTTTCAGAATAAGAAAACTAAAGTGAGTGACTATTTACATAAGTGCAAAAATGGATTAAAAACTTGGTGAACTGCTGTGACTGTTGGGAAAAATCAAGTGCTGATAAAACACTACTTATTGGATTAAGTGACTTTGAACTGTGTTAACCAGCGGACTAGTGACTTTTGAAATCAGTGACCATAATTTTAGTGATTACCTTTTTGGAATAAATATTTACCAAATCAGGTGTTTATTGCATGCTTTTACAATACGAAAATAATAATAATAATAATTATACCATTTATTTACATTTTACATTATCTTGTCACAGTTGATTGTTTTTTGTATTTTTTTTGTTTTGCATATTATCAACAAATTATTAAAAATTCCACAGAAATAATGATATTTTTCGAGCAATAACAGAAAAGCGCGACTGCTAAATAAATAAACAAAATGCTGTGTGTTGACACTTGGGTTCATTGTTTTGGAAAATTAGATTCCTATTTAAATTTTTCAACAAAGTAAACATTTTTCAATTTTTTTTTTCTAGTGAAAGACATTTTGTGGTCAACCCTTTGATAACATTTTTTTTTCAATGTTTGCTTCGCTTTGTCATCTTTGTTTTGTTTTTTATAAGGGAAGTTTTCGTAAAATTATTTTTGATAAATAGAAAAAAATACCCTTAAATCAAAAAAATAATAACAACTAAACATAATACTTCAAAGGAACATAATAACTTTGAGCTTTTATACAATTTACTGAAAAGTGTAACAAAAACAAAGAAAAGTTAAAAATGTGAAACACAAATCACCAATCAACTAAGAAATCTTCAAAACTACAAAAAAATATGCAAAATAAAATTTTTAGAGAAAATCATTCAAATTCTGGTAATACATAATTAGATGTTCCTTTCAGGACAAAATCTAAAATGTCAATAGATTGATTAAGGGCCATATTCTCCGTAGTTCATACAGCCTGGCTTAGTGGAAAAGCTTGGCTTTGTCACACAAAAAGCCAAGTGCTTCCACTAAGCCAGGCTTTATGAACTACGGAGAATATGGCCCTAACAATTTCTAAAATAAAAATAACTGTTGATTTAATTTACCTAATTTTTATTGCATTATTTATCTAAAATTTCGAAAACCATCTTAACTAACATTCCAAGTGACCCCTATAAAGCTTTCAATGTTTACCTATTCACTTAGCAACAAAATAATCTCCGCAGATTTACAAATCAGGACTGTATAATGAACACATAATATATCGCTTCATTCATGAGTTTTCTGTCTGGAGTGCACATTATTTTTTGACATTGTTTGGATTTTAAACAAATATTTTTGTCCACATCTAGACAAAGTTTGCAAAACTAATTTCATTGCAAACTTTGATCCAGCAGACTAGAGGTCGAATTAATTAAATGTGCGAAATAACATGGACAGAAGCTTAAAAATTATAAAGTATCTGCTAAATAATAATTGTATTGAGGAATGACATACATACAATTATTCCCTATAAAGCAAAACTCTATCAATAATAATAATTATTTAAAAAAAAAACATTTAAAAAGTTGACAAATTAATTAAGCTGTGGTGCTGCCAACGTACCTACAAATTAAGCAACCGTTCATCTGATAGCAAATTGCTGTGAACTCGCTATTTATACACCTTCGAGTTTTAGGCCTGGCAGCGTTGCCAAGTTAAAAACGATTAACTTGAATAGCCTGCAAATTAATTATCATTCTTGTTTCTTCCTGCAATAATCTGCAGGCCTAATAATAAACCTCGAGCGTTTAGGTAAAAATGTGTTATTTGGTTTTCAGGGATTGGTCTCCGGGTGGACTCAGCACCCAGCAACAGTTGTCCGTCGTGACCACCGTGTGGGGAGTAACCACGTCCACGCAGTCGGGCCCCCACGGGGCTTATACAGGGGCAGGGGGCCCGGTACCGCAGGGATCCTACGCCAAAAGTCAATCCACAACGGGTTACGGAAGTCAAGGAAACTTTAGAGGCCATGGGTAAGAAATAATTCTAATTTATTTATTTATCTTTCTAAGGCAAACCATTTACAACAAATATATAATATTAAGAAAAATTAGAATCAACAGCCGTCATCCATCACAAAGCATCCCTAACACCTACTAATACAAAAAGTATAAATAACAATACAACAAAAAAAAATATATATGTATAAAGCGTTTCCAGTTTCCCTATATGTAAGAGCAGGTGACTGGTAAGAGTATCAAAATAGATTCTTCAAGTACCCTCTTACATAGCCCTAGATGTAATTTTGCTAATGTGAATCTAGAATCAATCAAAACACCAAGATCTGAAATCTCAGTCTTGACATTGAGCGGTGTGTGATCAATTGAGTACACAAAGTTGATCGGGTCTCTTTGTCTAGTGAAAGTGATCTTATGACACTTGTTTATGTTTAAGATCATTATTTCATTCTCCACACACCACTCATAAAAAGAATCCATATAATCCTGTAGGCAAACAGCATCCATTGGACATCTAATCCCCCTAAACAACTTAACATCGTCAGCAAACAGCAAAGCACTACTGTTCCTCATCCTTCGGGTCATCATCATCAAAATTTGTATAGACCGAGTCAACCTGAACGCCCCCTTCCAAGCAGTTGAAAATGTAGTTGATATATCATAATAATAAGTTTGAGTCAGGGGATTTACTCTTTACAAAACCAAACTGCTCTGAACTGATCAAATTTCGGAAAGTCCAGGACAGCTTTTTATTTATACTAAAAAGTCATGCAAGATATTTCCGACTGATTACAATCCGCTCGATAATTTGTGGCCTCCTCCCTGGCTCCAGACTTGTAGATTGGCCTCAAGAAACTAACATTCCAAAATTTTGGAAAGCAACCCGTATCCAGTGATCTATTGAAAATATGCGAAATTGGTAAAGCCGGTATCCCATCGGGCCCCGCATTTAACTTATCCTTACACCCCTTCATCGATTCAAAAACCTCTCCCAAAGAAAGCTGGATCCTGCTCATGCTCACCGAGTTATCGAGCTTAAAGGATGGTATCCCATCCATGACATCTTGAGAGTAAACAGTAAAATACTCAGCAAACAGATCAGTACACCTGCTGGGTCATCAACGACTCTCCCATTGTAAGACAATCTTGGAGGAAGACCACAATCATTCTTCCTGTTATTAATATATGACCAAAAACATCGTGGATTGACTACCACTAACCACCATCCATTTCATTGACCGAGCCTCTCTCAAACACCTCACTCCAGTTGACACTAACTAAATAATTATTATTAGAAAGATAGTCACCGTTTCTAAAATCATGAAAATATTTCTCGTATTTCATCTGTTCTGACGATGGTTTCTGAAAAGCTCAAAAGAAATAGCTGTACTTATGATTTAAATTATCAAAAATCTGATCAATAGCAGGCGAAACTGCAAGGTATACAAAATTACTATAAACCAGGTCCAGTTGAGCACCTTGACTATTGAAGATAGAATTATTCTGGACAGAATTATTCTGAAAAAACTTGTAAAACCTTAAGTTATTTTCTATACAATGGGCATGGTCATTATCAGGACAATCCACAGTCAACCTTACACTATCATTACCCCATTTGGCCCTAGGTAAGTTGTAGTCTCCCACCAAGACAAACGAACTTCCCGGATACTCCTCATACAAAAATTCCACAGTTTTACAGTGATCTTCATAAGCTATCAAAGGCGATGGAGATGGTATGTACATGCAGCCAAGAATAATATCCTACGCTCCCAACTTCAAAGAAATATAAATCTGATATTTATCAGAATTCACCATTGGGATGCCAATTACATGTGAAGATAGACTTTTCCTGGCCGCAATTAACACCCCACCTTCCCGCGTCTTTGCAGTACTCTCACCTTCTAAAAATAACAAAATTTTCAACATTAATATCCAAATGATCTGTTGTCAATCAGGTTTCACCAATCATGATAATATCATAACAACCACAACTAGCTGCTTCCTGAAATCTACGCAGTTTAGTTCTCATACCACTTGTGTTCAAATAATAAAAGGAAACTTTAGGTGCAAGTTTATCCTTGGATAAGCCTACCCTGTGTTCTGACCCCGTTGGATGACAGGAAAATTTTTATTGGGTTGTCTAAAGCTTACCCAGAACTTTCTCAGAGTTGTGCTCTTTGGCCAAATTTCAGGCTGAGTGAAAATATCCGAATTAACGCCAATAGAAAGTCTTCTTCTTGCTTTCACCAGCATGAATTGCTCCTCTTCTTTTTGAAGAATCTCTTGGCTACTTGGACCAGTATCAGTATCAGTCGAAGTGGCAACGCTGGGACCAGGGAGCCCCAGACTCAAGGATGATACACACTGCTACAACAAGATGGCCTATCCTCATGGAAACCTCACCAAGTCCTTGTTGTTCTCCGTCAGAACTTTGGCAAAGTTTTCCAGTTTCCTATTTACTCGTTCTTCCATCACCATTACGATCTCATCAAGTACCTTCTTGGTTACTTCATTGATTACAACATTGGAATCTTGAGGGGTGCTGTTAGCACAGCTACCACCCAGTTCCTCCAATTTATCGTCGTATTGGTCAATACAGCTGTTACACCACATCAGGATTATTGTTATTGTCTTTGCAACAGCACATCTTACATCTTAGCTCTTGCGCGGAGATCTTACTTCAGTTCCGGCAAGAAACTTTCCCGCATCTGTCGCAAGAACATCCAAAAAGGGCAGAATAAGGCCGGTGACACACTGGAAAAACAAGTTACATGAAACTTGTTGAAAAAAACAGGAAATTTGTTTAATTATCACACGACACATACATTCAAATGGGGCGGCGCAACTTGGCGAAACAATTTCTGCTCTACTGTTTCAGAAACGCCAGTGTGCGCCGCCTCATTTGAATATATGTGTCGTGAGATAATTAAACAAATTTCCTGTTTCTTTCAACAAGTTTTATGAAACTCATTTCTGCAGTGTGTCAACCACCTTACTGTCCTTAAAATAGCATCTTTGACTGCAAAATGCACAGTCAAATACATTCTCACCTCCATCCATACTTCTCCACACTTCAAGAAATCTCCGGAGCTAACACTAGCAACACCGCTCAAAGATGATTTTAACAAAAATTCAATTAACTACAAAAAACGGCGTTTCGAGTTGCAAATCACTTCAAATTACATAACAGATACCATTACAAATACAGTGGACTTGACCACACTAAAGTGATGATTCACGAAACTTATAAAATACATACATTCCTGATCCATCCATTAGGTGCAACACAACGCCAGCGTTGCCAGCAATAGTGACATATAAATACATATTTAAAAGAGTATCAATAATAGCTAAGGACTCTTGAAGTATAAGTTACCATGCTGGAATTTACTAGCAAAGTTTAACAAGTGGAAAACGCTGAAAAAAAATTGCCTCACCCTTTGCTGGTTATAATAATCTTATCATATCAATTACTTCAAAAGTGTTTTATCATATCTTGATCGTACAGGTGTTCAACAAAGTTAATAAAATAATTAATGTTTAAGAAGGTATCAGCTAAAGTAACACTCATACTCATAACTATTGAAAACTAAATCATCATTGTCTTTGATATTATTTGATGATATGAGTATAATGCCAGCCTTGTCATGCCCAACTCAGCAGTATCTGCTGTTTATGGTATGAAGATGAAGGAACTGAAACAAAGTAACAAAGATTTACAGACTAGGCTACTCAAGCTTGAAAATTAGCTCCAGCTACTTACTGCAAACTAAGTGACATCAACAAGTCTGCAGGACCTAATGGTATTCCTAAACAAAGTACTGAAATCTTGTTTGAACACTTTGTATCTCCCTCTATTTTTTATTTTTACCAAATCCTTAAACTCTGGAATTTTTCCAGAAATGTGGAAGCTCTCTTATGTTTGTCCTATTCACAAGTCAGGCAGCAAGAATGATGTAACAAACTACAAACCTATCAGCATCCTGTCTGCAATTCCTAAATTATTTGAGCAGTGCGTTGAAAATATTCTTTCAAAAATATTTCATCAGATTGTGATAAGTCAACAGCATGGGTTTACAGCCGAATGATCGGTTGATACGAACTTGTTTCGCTTCACAAATTTTATAAATTCATTATTTGATAACAATGCAGAAATTCATGCAATATAGACTGACTTCAGGTAAACCATAACATCCTTCTTTCTAAGCTCTCAAGTTATGGCGTTTCTGGACCGGTACTTTCATGGATGAAATCTTACCTTACTAACAGAATGCAACAAGTCGAGATCGATGGCTATCTTTCTTCTCTTTTTCATGCATCCTCTGGGGTACTCCAGGGCTCTCACTTGGGCCCCCTTCTATTCACCTCATTTATCAATGATTTAGGATCCTTGCTCTCCTTGAATTTTCTACTCTTCGCTAATGACTTGAAGTTGTATCGTCAGGTGACGTCATCTCAAGACATACTTATACTGCAAAATGATATTAACATTGTTTATGATTGGTGTCAGCTTAATGACATGTTCCTCAACATTGATAAGTGTTGTTGTATAAGATTGAGTAGACTCACCTGTAAGGTTCCCTTTCAGTATTGCTTAGGTGATGTTCACTTGTCTGAAGTTTCTGTCATCAAAGATCTTGGTATCTATCTAGATACTAGGTTAATGTTCACCAAGCATTTTAAAGTGGTAAGTACTTGGTCGAGCTAATAGAATTTTGGGTTTTATTAAGAGAGCTACTAGGGACTTTACAAGTGTACGCCCCATCAAAATTCTTTACACATAACTGGTCAGATCCGTCCTTGAATTTTCTTGCATAGTTTGGTCACCTTACTATCAGATCCACATCAATAGGCTTGAGAGTGTTCAACACAAATTTATCAAACTGTCTCTGAATGATGTGATTCTCAGCGTTGACCAGACTATGACTTACTTTAACTTAACTTTTCTTGTTCGCAAAAGGGAATACTTTGATGTCTGTTTTGCTTTCAATATCCCTAACTACATAAAAAGCCACGAATGTCTTGGATGCCCTTATCTACACACTCAAAGTTATCGGACACGAAGTAAATCTTTACTGCACATTCCTTACTGTCGTACTTGGTACTTACTATTCAGTCCTGTTGATAGAAATACAATGATAGAATATCTGCCAATGTAAAGAAGTTCTATGAGGGTCTTGACTTTTTTAGTTTATCTCAGGATAAATTCAAGACGCGGGCCAAGAGTAAATAAATAAATAAAATAATAAAAAATATTTATTTAGTTCTGAATAATTACAATATATCACGACAAATCAATCATTTTCCTAGAAAAAATAATGAGCATATCAGGTCCAATAAATATCGATTAGCTAAATATTTGAGCTGCCACTGATAACTCTATAAAACCCCCCTGAATACACGGATTTACATACTGAGAAATGCTATGTATTTATTTGACAATAAAATTGTAAATGGGGTAATACCTACCAATATTTAATAACTATGTATAATAATTATTTAAGGCTTATGTTGCAGTATTTACAAGGTGCTCTAAAATCTGTTTATATTATCATTGACACCTGTAAATGTTTGAAAACAGATATTAATCAGTCTAATTGAAGTTTGAAGCATCTTGTACTATTTTTACTGAAAAGATAAAAAAATTAATGTTATAAATTATAACCAGGATCAAAATATTTCCATTAACTGTCGTTTAAAGACCAATAATATAATAACCAGAAGCTGAATGCTCCCTGTTCTGTAACTGAGAAAAAAAAAAGGTCCGTGCGCCCTTTTTTCTCCCTGCATTGTAGTTCCCTATGTACGCGTTGACAATTGACGATCGCCCTCCAAAATCAATTGTGTAACGGTGCTTTACCCACCGGTTTAAGCAAATGAAAAAGAGAGTTTTTCTCATGCACTTCCCCACTTTTTTTTTCTGAACAAAAATTATTCGGCTCTCCCATTTATAGATTTGGGAGCGGCAACGAGAATGGATTTTTAGAGTATGCGGCACATGAAACACTGCAAATCTCTAAAATAATTTATCAAAGACCAAGATCACGTGAGACTCGTTTCCTAATTTGCAGTGCAAAATCAATCAAAAATTCGATTTGCGCCCCTTTATCTCAGAACTCGTTTGCACATATTTAGTTCCCTATTGCTTACAACTTACAATCCATTGTTACTTCATTGTATTTAGTTGGTTTTTAACGTTTGCAGATTTTATTTGTTTTGTTTGCCACTACTGTGGGATATTTCTCTATTATAACACATTAGGAGGGGGTCTGGTTCTCAAGCTTTTGTTTCATTTTACTCATTGCCATGTGGCAGCAACATACAAACCAAAATTTGACCACACTAACTTTAAAAAATCCCAACCAGCTGCCATTCTCTCGTATAAATCCAAAAAGATCGAATTCTTCTTAAAGCACGTGCATCTCTCTACACATTCTTTAATTTGAATTAGAATCTTTACCTAGATTTCCGAGAAAGGGCCGTTTCCACCCCCCGAAAGGTCTGTTTCGAAACATTCATGGAAACATCTTCCGCCCTATTACTTCAATAGCCTTTTGTGTGCGACAAACAAGGACGGAACTACAAAGAATAGGGCCCATAGGGATCTGCGGGGGTTAAGTACTAACCGCCCTGTGTCAAAATAAGGCTTCGCTAGAGAGAGTTACTTGAAGAAATATTGGTTAAGTATTATATTGTTTGTTAGCGGGGTGTACGTGACTGTTTAAAGAGGTGTTAACTTCTTAATTGCTTTGGGTGATTTATAAGTTGAAATATAAAAAATAAAATCAATAAAGAACGTTTCTAAAAACGAAGCATTATAGTTTTAAAAAGAGGGAAATATGACCCCTTGAGAGGGGGCGAATATACATACAATACCAAGAGAGGGAAGGTTTATATACATATGTATAAAGTGATTGAATAATATGGTGTGGTATGGATTCGTCTGTGTAACTTGGGGTGATTTCTGCGTCACATATGGTGAAATACTGAGAATATATTACCATACCATATTATAAGGGTTGTTTTAAAACAAGCAAAAATATTGTATTGTTATTTACCCTTAAAAGCACAATTATTTTGAAGTATGCCGTGAAACGAAAATTATCACTAAAAAAAGGGACCAATTTTGCTAAAGACTCAAAATAATAGGTCCAAAAATACCGATTCTCACGATTTATCTGTGCTCAAAATAGCCTGAGAAGGATGTTTAGGAAAAAATCTCAGCTCGATGAGAACGGCACAATTGTACCCTCCCATCCACCCCTTGAAGTTATGATTTAGGGCAGGTAGCAAATTGGTTTTATTATTTTACAACCCCATAAACTGTTTTGACTTGAGGATTTTTAAGCAAATACAAAAACAATTTCCAGAAATATTGTGATTTATTGATTGACCATTATTTTAGTTGTTTGACAGCTATATTGAGGTATATTGGTTTTCTAAGTTCTTCGAATTAGCAATGAACTAATAAAAAATATCATAAATACAAAAACTGTCTCGGAGCTCAAATCAGTATATACTTTGCGTTCCGCCTATGGTGTACAAAAGCTTCAAACCCTTGTTTTCGACACAATCGGGTCACAAAACACACTGCACACAGAAGGTATCTGATGGAAAGGGCCTTATTTTGTAATTGGCTGTAAGGCAAACACAAGGCCCGGAAATACCTGGGAATTTAGAACTGAAAAAGTGCCGCCCTGGTGTGACGGGCTTGACTCTAAAAATTAGACTAGCGACTGCACAAACTGTAGGTATCTTTGTGGTTCGATGGTCTATTTTAAGGTCGAATGTTTCTTTAATGGTTCTTTGGTTTTTAAGGGTTGGCGCATGGGTTTTATGGGGTGGAAATGAGGATGATTAGGGGTTTAAGCGGATACGGTGTCGTTTATTTTTAGATCCTGATCTTCATCACTTAAGGGTCATTTGTTAAGTTTTTTTTTTTAATTTCCGTTTCTATTCTATTTAATTAGTTCATCTCCTGCAGCTGCTGTTGAATCTATATGCGATAAATTTATTAATGTTTTCAAATAAAATATTTATTTAGAGGTCAATAACCAACCAACCGCAGTTCATATTTCTCACTTAACCCTCGTATTTGCTGTCCGTTCGTCCCTCACCAGCCGTCTGTCCCTATCGATATAGTTCGAACACATCTTGCGATCTTTTCCGATGAAACTTTCCCAACGGGGTCTCCTTCGCCACAGTCTGACTGGTAAAGTCGTCCTTTTATCGACGCTTCCACCCCGTTTTCCACCCCCTTTTCAAAGCTTACCCTCGCCTTGTCCCCATAAGCAAAACCAAACAGTGGCGGAGCGAATAATAATTATAACTCATCTTAAGATTAGTAGTTGTGTTTTTACCAAGCTTACTAAGATGCAGGAAATATCTCAGATAAGCCAATCAAGAATAAAACAGTCTAACATAGAATGACATTTTTGTTATTTTCAGACTGAACAACTACGGCCAAGGCCCAAATGGCATGAACCAACCAGATCCGAGTGGCGGTGGATATCCAAATCAAGGAAACGCCCTCTCGACAGCTGCGATGGTTGCTGCGGCCACAGCAACAGCTACAGCTACAGCTAGCGTGGTAGCGTTACAAGATAACGCGGCTCAATTTGCTAACCAGCAATACAACCAGAGCTACCAGCAAAGGCTGATGCCAATGAACGGAATGAATCCAATGAGCATGAATGGTATGAGCAACATGAACCAAATGGGTGGTATGCACGCCATGAACGGTATGGGTAACATGGGAGGCATGGGACCGAAAATGGGCATGCCCCTGCAAGGTCCAGGTGGAGCCGCTTCGAATACGATGTATCCTAATAGAAGGATGGCACCTTATCCTTCACCTGCCATGCATATGACCCAAAAGAGGGCGGGACAAAACTACTCCAGTGGTCCTATGGGAAATCCTGGAATGGGCCCTGGTAGTATGGGCTCGAACATGGGATCGATGGGACCTAGTATGGGTCCTAACATGGGTCCTAATCCAATGAATCCTAATTTCAATCCTAATAGTCAATACGGTAGTTATGGTACGCGGCAGCCTAATTTTAATCAGTATCCTACGCAGCAATCCTTAGGGCCTACGGGTAACTTTGGCCCAGGTAAGAATTTTATTTCTACTAATTGATGAATGTTTTATTAATTCTTTTTTTTCTTCGTTATAGGGCCAGGCAATATGGGGCCAGTAACAAACTCCAGACAATTACGGGGGGCGACGCCCCCATACACTAACCAAGGACAGTATTTTAACGGTTCCATGAACCAATTTCCTACAAACAATTCTGGTCAGTTTAGTATGAATAATTCGGGGCATAGTGGTAAGTTTATAAAACCAAAAAGCAACTCAACAGACTAACCAGGAATTACTTATTACAGTTCAAGGACAGTACAGCTCATCCAGCCAGTTCCAACAAGATGTAGCAATGAGAAACAACATGAACTACCAACACAGTCCTATTCCAGGAAATCCTACCCCACCTTTAACCCCTGCTAGCAGTATTCCTCCTTACATTAGCCCAAATCCAGATGTTAAGCCTAATTTCAATGACCTCAAGCCACCCCTACCACAAAGTAAGTCACTTTTTGTTTCTTGCAACTTCTTATTCTAAAAATTATTTGATTACAGAAGACGAAGAGCTGAGGCTTACCTTTCCAGTACGAGACGGTATTATTCTGCCACCCTTCAGATTAGAACACAACTTGGCAGTTAGTAACCATGTGTTCCAACTCAAGCCTACAGTACACCAAACACTAATGTGGCGGTCAGATCTTGAATTACAACTCAAGTGTTTCCATCACGAAGACAGACAAATGAACACAAATTGGCCTACCAGTGTTCAAGTGTCTGTAAATGCTACTCCACTAATGATTGATCGAGGTGAAAATAAGACGTCACATAAACCTTTGTACCTCAAAGACGTTTGTCAGCCCGGAAGGAATACCATTCAAATAACTGTGGCAGCATGCTGTTGTGTAAGAATTTTATATGAATTACATTTTTTTTAAAATTAATATTTAAATTATTTACAGTCTCATCTATTCGTCCTACAATTAGTACATAGGCCTAGCGTAAGATCGGTATTGCAAGGTTTATTACGCAAAAGGCTACTGACAGCTGACCATTGCATAACCAAGATCAAAAGGAACTTTAGCAATACCAATTCCGGTCCAAATGATAGAGATGCAGTGGAGCAAACAGCGTTAAAAGTTGCACTAAAATGTCCAATAACATATAAGAGGATAACATTGCCCGCTAGAGGGCACGAGTGTAAACATATACAATGTTTTGATCTCGAAAGTTACCTTCAGTTGAATTGTGAGAGAGGCTCTTGGAGGTGTCCTGTATGCAAGTAAGCATTTCTCAGTTTGGATGTTTAGAAGTTTTTTCTAATTTGTTATTTTTGTTTTCAGTAAACCAGCACAATTAGAAGGCCTAGAAGTTGACCAATACATGTGGGGCATCCTCAATAATTTGGCAACAAGTGATGTTGAAGAAGTTACTATTGATAATCAAGCTAACTGGAAGGCCGCCAAGAGTGGAATTAAGGTAAGAATTTTGAAATTATTAAATTTTGGATAATTTTTTTTAAATGGAATTTTGTTTTTTGCAGTTGGAGGATGATGGAAATGAATCGTGTTCATCAAAACGCATGAACAAAGCCATGTCACCGGGTAGTATGACGTTGCCTACTATGAACAATTGGGACATGCAGGCAATGTCACCATACCTACCCCCAGATATGAATAGTATTGCTAGTGGGTCGATGATAAACGGAAGTCAATATAATGGAGGTAATAGAGGTGAATGAATACCTTGCATTTTACTTGGCACTGAAATTTTCTTGAGCAAACAATGCTAAATGTGTGTATTATTTACAGGCAATGGTTTGGATGGCAACAGTTTGGGATCATTTAACAGCTCAAGTGATTATTTGGGAGGTAACGGTCCTTTGTCGCATCTCAGTGACAGCGTCAACTCTCTAGATCCTTTAAATGCGATGGAGAAGAGCTTAAACGAACAGGTAAGAAAAGCTGGTTAATAATGTAGTCAAAAACTTATAATTTCGTTTTTCCAGATGCCTCACACTCCTCACACACCACATACACCCCATACGCCGCACACACCAGGTGGAGCGACGCCGGGTAGTGCCCACACGCCTGGCGGTGGTACCACGGGTCCCCCGAGTGTACCACCAGCTAGCAATGACCACAACAATAGCGGTAGTAGCACGAACGGAAATTCCGGAAGCAACAATGGAAATGCTTGTGATAATAGCATGCCAGAGATACCCAGCGATTTGAACTTTGATCCAGCTGCTGTCATAGACGGCGAGGGTACTGGACAAGAAGCACTGAATGTAAGTAATCTTCACTGTCTGAGTATTTTACTAAAACTAAAGTTTACTTGACAAAGTGTTTCAACGATTCGATAAAAATTGAAGTTTGAAATAACGTTCTTAAATTGGCCCTTGGGTATCCATATCTGCTCTTTTATTAAAAACTTTGCCCTCTTCTCGAATAATGCTATATTTACCTACATCCAATTTGATTTTGAATTAAGCCAATTCTAAATTGACTCAAATGAAAAGAATCATGTTCAGATTTACTCTTGGAGTTCCATTGCACTCAACAGAAAAGTGAAAGAAGATTTGGAAGAGGCTTGGGGTGGATGAATTTCGGTCGAGAAGAAAAAGAACATGATTATTCCCGGCTTTAGCATTATTTCCTTTTAAATTATTTACTAAAAGCAAAAACTATTTTATTTCTCCCGTTTCTTGGCCCTCAATTTTTTCGACATTTTTCAGCTATTTCCAATCAGTTCTTGGTGCAGCTTTTTCTTCTTTATTTATTACAAATAATTTGGGCATTTTTCATTATCTTTCTTTTTCGTCTCTTTTCTCCTGTTCCACTGCCCTGTCATTGGTTTCTTCCTTCATTTGAAATAAAAACTAATTTTTTTTCCAATTTTTGTCTTTTACACGGGCTCTTGAATTCAAGGTTTTTCTCTTATAATTTTCTAACTCCTATTTTTCCTGCTTCTTGCGGCGTCATTTTTCTCTCAAAATTTTGTGATTATTACTGGCTTCTGATTGGTTTTTGAAATATTATCAAGCAAAGCCAGGAAATATTCCAAAATTTTTATCATTATTTATCAACTGGATAATTTTCCACCGGCGTGAACTTGGCAACCAAAAGTTAGCACCCTGACTCCCAAGTCTACCCGAACAATCAGTAGCGTCGTTTATGTTTTATTTTTAAATATTATACATATATTTTCTATAAATGGAACTGTGGACGCTTGGTTTTTGGATGTAAAAATATCAGATAAAAACTTTCTATTGGGATGTATCTATAGACCAGGGAGAACCACCCACGATGAATATACAGTTCTTCACAATCTACTACAGAAAGTTTTTAAGGAGAATGACGAAGTCCTTGTGAGCGGCGATTTCAACCATCCAGATATTTGTTGGAGATCTCTAAGATTGAATAAACCATGTCAAAAAACTACTGATTTTCTAACGTGTTACAAAAAATGGCGATGTCATCAAGTTGTAACCTTTGATACAAGATTTAGAAACAATCAAAGTTCTCTACTGGATCTTTTCCTGACAAGCGACAAAAAAAAAAATGTCATTGATAGAGGCTAAAGCACCACTTGGGAAAAGCGATCACATCACTATTGCGGGTGTAGTGCAGCTGAGATTAAAACAAAATACAAGAAAATAAAAAAAAGGGAAACTTTCACATTGCTAACTACGAATCCATTAATGAATACATCAAGAACTTAACAGGAGATACCAAACCAAGTGTCAAGAAGTATGAAGAATTTGAAAGCATTTTGACAACAACACTGAGAAATTATGCCAAACCAGCGTCCAAAAACCTTGGTTGAATGAATGCATTCAATGAAATGAATGAAAATATCGGACTTTGGTCGATATCTCGAAATCGGAGCGATATAGAAAAAAACTGAGCCCGCCCTTGGATTCTGCTCAAAAAAGTGTCTCCATAATGTTTTTACAGAAATAAAAAAAATTGATAAATGAAAAACTTATAGCTATTTTTCATAATAGGGGAAAATCGAAAATCGCCCTGTATCGATGGTACCATTGAAGATATCGTGATACGATTTTTGGCAATCGACGTTTCTCGAAAATTAATCCCATGACACCTAAGTCAATTATCCTCTATCTGGTCTGGAAGTATGTTTTTCTTGTTAAAACACTCCAAATTGCAGCACCCTGTACATTGACTTAGCGAACATTCAAATTTTTAGAAGAAGTTGGAAACCATATATATCTGCTCAAACGTTTAGTGCTGCATGTAGGAAAAAATCACCCGATGATTGACTACAAAATTAAGGGAACCAAGCTAGAGAATGTTAACCAACAAAAAGATTTGGGCGTGCACGTAAGCCAAGATCTTAAATGGGAAACACACATAGGCCGAGTTGTGAAGAAAGCGAATCAGTTGGTGTACCTAGTAAAAACAGCTTTTACCAATCACTCTATACAAATGATCAAAAAAGTCTATACAACCTACATAAGGCCCAAACTTGAGTACGCAAACACAGTCTGGAACCCTACTGCAAGGGTATAGAGCTGCTTGAACGTGTGCAACGAAGAATCACAAGAATCCCAACTGAAATGCATAATCTTCCATATGAAATCAGATTGCAAAGATTTAACTTAACAACTCTGAAAGAAAGAAGAGAAAGAGGCGACTTAATAGAGACCTACAAGATCCTGTGTGGACACTACTTCCCAGAGCTGCATATGGCAGACACGTTTCAATAAAACATGAATAAAAACCTCAGAGGACACGACAAGAAGCTCAGGAAAGAGAAAACATCCTTAGCGTTAAGAAAAAACTTCTTATGCAACCGCGTAGTATACCAGTGCAATGCATTGAACCAAGATACCATAAACGCGCCAAACAAAAGAAAAATTCAAGAATAGACTGGATCGAAACCTATCTGAACTTTACGCCACCCTAATACACTACTTCTAAACCTAATTAAAAGAAACGACGCAGAGCATTGGACAGAGAAGATACGATAGACTCATCGGTGTCAAACCGCTTTCTATTGTCAAGGAAATAATAATAATAATAAATACGATAAAATTAATCCAGTTATTAAAGGTAAACAAGAAAATACTGCAAATGGATCCAATACGTTTTTGAAGGTAAACAAAGAATTAAAATAATTGAAATGTCAATTTTTCACCAACTTACGGACGGAACTTTTCACATTATCTTTTTAACCAGGTGAAGTAAAAACTGCTTTCACACACGATGGACTCATTTTGGGACACCTTACATGAGTTCCAAATGGGTCCAAGGGTGGTTTATAGGGGTAAAACAAAAAAATTGAAAAACTGGAAATATCAATTTTTCCCAGAATTACATATCTTGTGCCTTTTTCTTCACAATCAAATGTATTGGAAACTGTGCCCAGGTACCATAGGCACATTTCGATGCATCCCAGTCGACTTGCAATTGGGTCCAAGCGTGGTTTTAGGGGGTAAAACAAGAAAATTGAAGAACTAAAAATATCAATATTTCCCAGAATTACTTGTCTTGCGACATTTTCTTCACTACCAAATGTATAAGAAACTGTGCCCAGGTACCATAGGCACATGTCAATGCATCGTTATTCGACTTGCGAATGGATCCAAGGGTGGTTTTAGGGGGTAAAACAAGAAAATTGAAAAACTAGAAATAGCGATTTGTCCCAGAATTACGTGTCTTGCGACATTTTCTTCACAACCAGATGTATTGGAATTGGAAACTGTGCCTAGGCTCCATAGGCACATTTCAGGGCACCTTACTTGACTTGTAAATGGGTCCCAGGGTGGTTTGAGGGTAAAACAAAAGAATTGGAAAACTGGAAACTGGACTGGAAATATCAATTTTTCCCAAAACCACGTATCTTGCAACATTTTCTAAACAACCAAAATGTATTAAGCTCGGTCCAGACTATGTAACAAAACATGTTAATAACAAAGTTATATAACAAATTGGTTGTACAACTTTGTTGTGTAACTTGTTACAATATAGCAGAAGCATCCAGACTACATAACAAAAAACAAAACAAAATAGTGCGAATGTTTGCGGCATTTCAGCTGATGGTAAGCGGTAGTATGTGAAATGGTGTCAAACGTAGCTCAGCTGTAGTGATATTCCCAGTGTCCTGTGTCTCAGTATATTGCTGGGAAGGTAGACCACCTTCAGTAGAATGACGTGGCTCATTCTTATCTTTTAAAAATAAAAGCATTTTAAAAAATATCCACTTTGTTTTATAAAAAGCCTCAGCTCCATCGCCACTTTTTCCTTTTTTCAGTTCACGCTGAAATTGCCGAATAAGCCGTTCTCGTACTACGCCAAATCCAAATTATTGCAAATACGCCAATGCTCAAGAGAAATGTTTCAATAACTTATTTTCTTTCAAGTCTAGACGAATAGGGTCGTGTTTTACAACAAAGTTTTATAACTTCCTATGATCTTTACCGACAACCGATGGATAACATAAAACCTGTTACATAACAAGCAAAATGTTGTACAACACTGTGTTGTATAACTTTTTTATTTAAAATTCTCTAACAAGTTATACAACTTTGTTATATAGCATGTTTTGTTACATAGTCTGGACCGGGCTTTAGCAATTGTACCCAAGCACCATAGGCACATTTCGATGCATCTTACTCGACTTGCAAATGGGTCCAAGGGTGGTTTTTAGGGGTAAAACAAAAAAATCGAAAAACTGGAAATATCAATTTTGCCCAATTACATGTCTTGCGACATTTTCTTCACAATCAGGGATGCTATTTCTAGTACAATTTTACTAGATCTAGCACAATTACGTTTTACCTAGTAGTACGCTAGTACCTCTCTCATAAATCTAGTACAATTTGGATTACAACTCGTGCCACTGGTATCGAATTTTCTCGCAGTTAAGTATCACTAAAACTAATTTAGGAAGACCTTTGATAACTACCTGCTCTAATATACTTGCCACAGAACAATTTTTGATGTGTAAAAAACATTTTTTTTTTCTTATAAGCCAAATGCACCGAAATGTGAATGTTTTTGAAGTTGAAAAGTAGCTTAGCTATGTTTGATGCCAAATGAAAACGTTTTTCCATCAATTGATCAAACTGTCCCAATTAGCAGAGCCTACATTTGTATTCGTTAAAAATTTGACACACTTTCAGTTAGTACACAATGTCCCCAATCGGCCCAATCTAGTACCATTATTTCCTATTTTCTGGTACAATTTTTTTAGTGCTGATAGCATCCCTGTTCACAATCATATGTATTGGAAACTGTGCCTAGGTTCCATAGGCACTTTTCAGGACACCTCACTTGACTTGCAAGTGGGTCCGATTCCAAGGGTTGTTTTAGGGGGTAAAACAAGAAAACTGAAAAACCATAAATATCAATTTTACCCAGAATAACTTGTCTTGCGATATTTTCTTCACAACCAAATGTATTAGAAACTATGCCTAGGCACCATAGATACATGTCAATGCATTTTACACAACTTGCAAATGAGTCCAAGGGTGGTTTTAGGGGGTAAAACAAAAAAATAAAAAAAACGGGAAACATCAATTTTTCCAGAATTACGTGTCTTGCGACATTTTTTTTCAGAACCAAATGTATTGGAAACCGTGCCTAGGCACCATAGGCACATTTCAGGGCAGTTTGTAATACATTTGGTTGTGGAGAAAATGTCGCAAGACAAGTAATTCTGGAAAAAATTGATATTTCTAGTTTTTCACTTTTTTTGTTTGACCCCTTAAAACCACCCTTAGATCCATTTGCAAGTTAAGTAAGGTGCCCTGAAATGTGCCTATGGAGCCTAGGCACAGTTTCTAATACATCTGGTTGTGAAGAAAATGTTCAAGACAAATAATTCTGGGAAAAATTGATATTTCTAGTTTTTCAATTTTCTTATTTTACCCCTTAAAACCACCCTTGGACCCATTTGTAAGTCAAGTAAGGTGCCCTGAAATGTGCCTATGGAGCCTAGGCACAGTTTTCAATAAATTTGGTTGTGAAGAAAATGTCGCAAGACACGTAATCCTGTGAAAAATTTATATTTCTGAATTCTCAATTATTTTGTTTTACCACCTAAAACCACCCTTGGACCCATTTGCAAGTCAAGTGCCTAGGCACAGTTTTCAATACATCTGGTTGTGGAGAAAATGTCGCAAGACACGTAATTCTGGGAAAAGATGATATTTTCAATTTTTTTGTTTTATCCCCATAAACCACCCTTGGACCCATTTGGAACTCAAGTAAGGTGCCCCAAAATGAGTCAATCGTAAAAGCAATTTTCACTTCACCTGGTTGAGAACATAATGTGGAAAGTCCCGTCCAAGTTGGTGAAAAATTGATATTTCAATTATTGTAATTCTTGGTTTACCTTCAAAAACATGTATTGGATTCATTTGCAGTATGTTCTTGTTTACCTTTAATAACTGGATTAATTTTATCGTATTTATAAAAAATGTATGTATAATATCTAAAAATCAAACATAAACGGGTAGACTTGGGAGTCAGGCTGCTAACTTTTAGCTGCCAAGTTCACGTCGGTTAATTTTTCTGAAAATCAGAAAATATTTGATGGAATCTTTTCTTTGTCCATGCACACTCCAGTTGTTCAATAGACGTAAACATTCCCCCCTCAGTTGTTCAATTGACGTAAAAACTGCCACACTTTCTAATACCGAGTGCAGTTGCACTGTTAAATGGAAGTTTCAGTGCAAATAATGTAGTTGTTGGAATAAAAGGAGGAAAAACCTTGTTCATTTGAGTGACTTTCCTCTCTCTACATAATTACCAATTTCAATTTAGCTCTAACATTTATGTTCTTTTTCAGCTCTTACCAGACAGTGTGGATCCGATGGAATTGCTCTCCTATTTGGATCCTCCCGACTTGAACACGCCGCCATCAAGCGGTAGCAGTTCGGGTCACAACAACACATCCACAAACGACGACATATTGGCCCTGTTTGAGTAAATAGTTCCTGAGAGCTCCATTTGTGAGTGAAATTTTAAAATGTGTGATATAGACTATGATGCGAGTGAAATCGGTAACATTCTTTTTGTTTTTGTCCCTTTTTCGTTGAGGAATATGGATTTCAAAAGAAAAGTATTATAATGCGCAAACAAACATGACAACTAATCGGAATAAAAGTCTGCATATTTTTGAATTCCATCATTTGAGGAAAAAGTGAGACGAAGAATGTGAAAACTGAAATATGAAGTTTGATCTTCAATTAAAAATATAAAACCAGAAAACAATGTCTAAATCAAACTATTCTAAATTACCCTTGTACATTTTGTAAATAAGAAAGAAAATTTATTGATATAGAATTTATCTATAATAATGAATAATTTCTTCTTTTTTTTTTGGCGGGACAATGTTTTGCTTTGGCTGACTCATTATTGTTCCCTACTTAAAATAGAATCAAAATAACATAGTATTAAAATCCTTTTGAGTTCTTTTTGAACATGACCTGTATATACCATATTGGTAATTTTATATTCCTATTATTTTTATTATAAATTGAAATTCAGCTAAAGCAGAAACAAATTTTGCGGCCAGTTGTGTAGAAAAGAAAATAATAGTATTAACAATATAAAACGAGAAAGAAAATATAGAGGGAAGTACAAAATTCTATAAATGAATTTGCCCAAAAAAAAAACCCATTTGTGAATTCTGTACTTGCCGCTGTGTTGAAAACTTCTTAGTAGAAAATTTTTCGAACCAAAATTTTATAGGTATTAGGGCCACCTAGGGCCTTTTTACATAAATATAAAAATTGATGTTGCATTGTAACGTAAGCTTAAAGTATATAAAGAAGTTCTTATTATTTTTGGAAATTTTGTGAACATGTTATAGACATTTTTTTTTAAAAATCACCAGGGACAATTAAAAAAAATAATAATAAAGATCGAATAAATCAGCGAACCCATGTTTTTATCATCAACGATTTTATAATAATTAATGTTACCCTGTCAGGAAAAAAAGTTACATTGAGGCGTATAATTATTTTGAGCTTAAGGTAAAATTAAGTGCACCCTTAAACATGGTGCACACTTTAACAGTTATGTAAAATGCATTTTACATAAATGTTGCAGAACTCTGCAAACTGTGATATTTAACACTTAATTATAAGTACACTTTTACCTAATATAATCGAAACTATATAGGTATGTTTTGTTGTGTGAAATTTTACACAAAATAATAATTATAAGTTTATATTTAGCGCGAGACAAGAATCCTGCTATGTTTAAATGAGGCCTCGTTTTTTTTTTTTTGATGTAGAATTTTAAAAAAAGTTTAATTTTCAATGTGATAAAAATATATTTTGGTAAAAATAAACTTTTGATGTTTTATTTTAAGTTTCCTTTATATGTCTTTGTGTCCGTCTATATAAATGTCTTTTGAATAAAACGCTCAAGCTCAATGATTAATGTTTTTTTATGTTGGTATTATTTTGGTCCTTTAAAAAGGACTACTAGTAAGCAATCAAAGCTTAATGTGATTTTTACATACATACATGTAAAATGCCAAATTTTTACTTTGTAATTTTATACAATATAACTCTTAGGTATATAATGTAAAATTACAAAAATATGTGTTCACTTTGCAATTTGTGATAAATATAGTAAACAAGCAATCAATATATGTGTTAAATGTTACTTCTATAGAAAAATTAATTAATAATTATTCAGTACAAAATAATAACAGATATAATCTTGAGCTTGGGCGAGTTTAAGTAAAGTTCCTAAAAAAAATTATTTAAGCTTAAATAAAATGGTTCACAAAATTTTCAAAAAATTAAAACAAAAAGATAAAAGCCAAGAAACTTAACTTATTCTAAAAACATTTAGGTAAATACAAAGTTTTCAAGATTATATTGAATGTAAATGTGAGAAAAATGAAGTGAAAACTTATAGAAAATTTACAAGTAAATAATAAAATGACACCATGAGTAATAGATAAAATTGCTTCCAAAAAACTGTGTAACAATTATTATTATAAAATTGTACATATAAAAAAAATTTTTTCCTCCCGATAATGCTCTTTGCCAATAATTGCTGTAATATTTGTTTCAATTTTTTCGTTTTCTCGACGCAGTGGAAAAAAATGTAAAAGTTTCACTTCAATGTAAAATACAACTGCAAGTTTTTTATAAGAGGACCAATATGTGTGTAATTTTCTCTTTTAAGTTGATTTATTTGTGACCAAATTTTACATATCATTTATTTGTTTTTGGACCAATTTTAGAAGTATTATTTTGCAAAAAAAAAAACAACGTAGAGTCAATATTAAAAATGAGAGCTGATTATTGGCAAATTTGAAAATAAATGAAAGTTTTTTTTTTTAATAAAATGTTTTAAAAATTTTAGAATAATTACTATTGAAAGAATGTAGAAAAATACTGTAAAAGTTTTATGTTGAAAATATTGTAAATAAATACATCTGTAAATTTCTTTAAAATATAAATTACATAAATGGTAGTTTTATTCTTTGATGATTCCGTAATTTTACACGAAATATTTTGGAACGAATTTTTTTAACAATAATTGCGACAAGTTACAATATTTGGTTACACACCAAACATCCTCAATTCATTATGTGTAGTTCAGCGATTTATAAATGTACTGTAACCAGATTTTGTAATTTCCTGCAAAACTATGAAATTTCTTGAAAAACTGTTCAGTACAAATTTTGAGGTTTATTTTTAACTGAATTTAGTGCAGAAGTTATTTATATACTTTTTACAGATTTTTTTTGTTATCAGTGTTTTTGTGCAATCAATAAAAACCGTAGACTGAGCGATAGTTCTAAATTTATTTGACTTTTATTAACCCTGGTACGATATCCAGAGTCCAACAGAAGATTAAATATGATCTCAAATGAGTTTTAGCCCCTTGGAATATTATTATTATTAGTTAACAATAGTGAACGGTAAAAATAAACCGATGAGTCTATTGTCAATAATTGTCTAAACCATGTCGCGGAAATTTAAGTGTTGCGGTAAATATTTTTCCAGTTTTTGTTGCATGTCATGCACGGCTGTATACCACCTAAGCTGTCTTGACAGGAGAAGTGGTTTGACAAAAGTAGAAGATCACAAAATTTACTGCTCTCTAGCCTGTCAGAAAAGTATCAACCCAGACAAAAAAAAACAATCTAAGCTCTTAGAGAAGTTAAAGAAACTAATCTCTGAGGCCAACAGCCTAAGGGAAGAAAACAAAAACTTGGAAGAAGACAATGAGGCAGCACAAAAAATCATTGACCAGGTCAGAGAAGAATCAAGGATATGGAATTTAAAGTTTAGGGAAGTTGCAGAAAAACTGTCATGTAAATCAGACCAACAGCTGAACAAACACGAGATTGGTGCTATTTTGAAAGCGTCAATCAATGAAAGTATTTCTAATAAAATGCATAGCGTGGCTAAGAGTATCGGGGAATCAAATGTCAAATTGGTAAAATTACTCAATTTGGATAACCATGGTTTCAACATTAGCGGTAATAATAAAAACAACTTTGAAAGTAGGTGCTACAGGCAGGATCTATGCAGCGATAGCTAAATCTGAGCCCATACTCATCGTTGAGCCTAACAACAACAACCAATCCAGCAGTACCACCGGAGAAGTTATTAGGCATAAACTCGATCCAATAAAAGTAAGTGTTTCTAAAACGCGCCAAGCAACTTGAGGTGCTTGGCGCTAAGTTGTGAAATTAAGAACGAAATTTCAGAACTAAAAGACAAATGTTCCACTGAATTAGGTGACAATTACTCTGCAGTTATTCCCACTCTTAGGAAACCAAAACTCAAAACATTCAATATAGATAGTTATGATGTTGACCCCAAAGATAATGATGAAGTAATCATTGATAAAGTAGTCAGAGGTAATAGTTTAGATCAAGGTACCAGTAACTCTCATATGAAAGTATTAAAAGTCTCTGCAAATAGATTCAAAAATGTAGACGTTTTAATTGAAGTTGGCCCTTCAACTCACAAAACTCTTTTAAGTCAAGGGAAAATTAAAGTTGGATGGTCTAGATGTTTTTCAATCACGTTAGGGTACTGCAGTGTTACAAGTGTCTTGGTTTTAACCATAGAGCAAGGGATTGTAAGTTGCCTCAGATATGTTCAATCTGCTCTGAGCAATACACCCGTAAGGAACAGAGGCAACATACTTTGCGAAGTTCAATCCAATAGACAAATATGAACGGTCTTAAAGTTAATATGTCTGAAACTGATGCCATTGTGATTGAAGGTAGAAGGAGTGTGAAAGAACCCTGGCTGGTCAGCGTACCTTGAACGGTGATGAAGCATTAAGATTCAGTGGATATGTTAGAAACTTCGGTCTTATCATGGACAAAAAAACTGAACTATGCAAAACAAGTGGCGTCCCTAAGTAGATCTTCTTTTCTTACATTTATAGGACTTTATAATTTAAAAAACTATCTTCCCCAAAGCGCGAAGTTAAGACTGTGCGATTCTCTAGTACTCTCCAAATTAGACTACTGTGACACTGTTTATGGTCCGTGTTTGCGTGCTGAAGATGCAAGAAGGCTACGCATTACAAATCCCACGAAGAAACCATATATTTCTCCATACATGAAAGACATTTAGTGGCTGAGCATGAATTCAAGAAGATGGGTGCATCTCTGCATTTTTAATACACAAGGTGATTTTGGCTAAACAACCCAGATATTTGTATGAAAAGTTGGAATTCCGAAATATGGCCCATGCGAGGGAACTTAGACATGCACCAGCTTCTTTAACAATCCCCTTCCATAGTTCCGAACTTTTCAAAAACAGTTTTTCCTACAAAGCAGCAAACATTTACAATGGGTTACCAGCGGATATCAAGGCTTCAAGTTTATTAGTTTTTAGAAGCCATAATATAGTAACCAAAACCCTTAATGATGATTTTGCTGTACCTACTTTAAGATTGTGATATCTGTTATAATTTTTCGTTTTCTTTCCTTTTCTTTCTTTCTTTTTTTTTTCTTCTTTGTCTCTCGTTAGGTACTACCATATTTGCTTCCAAGTTTTCAGTGATGTATATTTTTGTATGCTTAAGTACTTTCAAATTGACATTGTGGTCAACCAATTTCTTAGAAATTGTAAAAAACTCATTTTTTGTAACCCCTGTATTTGCAAAATAAACGATTTAGGTATTATTATTATTATTATTATTATTGTATTGAGTCGGGTAGTATCCTAGCACTGTAAAAATATCTATTTATAATTTATACATATAATATATTAATTGTTGGAGTCATTCAGTGGCATTTGCCAGGTGGTTGTCCACTGTATGATAGCATCTATATCCCGCTGGAGACTTCTATTCTGCGTTATAAGATTACTATAACAAACAGGTATCATCTGCAAATGACATCTGACTCCTCAATCCATTTGCCAGCTCACTAATATATACAAGGAAGAGTAGAGAGCCAAGGACTGAGCCTTGGGGAACACCACTAAAAACTTCCCAGGAATTTGACTTCATGAAACTTATCCCGACACAGAACTGTCGATCCTTCAGAAAATCCTGGAATAGGTTGAGTAGAAGTCCTCTTATACCATAGTGATGGAGTTTATAAAGAAGCCGCCCAAATAGTACCTTGTCAAAAACCTTTCCAAAATGCATATCACATCAAGTGACTTGCCTGAGTCATCTGCCCTTGTCCAGTCATGAAGCTTGGTAAGCAGGTTCGTAGAAGGAACCCGTGTTGCGCAGGTGGGATGGGATGATTCTATTTCTGAGAAAAAATCCAATCATCTCAATAGTCACACTAATATCTATGAAACAATCCAAAAAAAATTACAGAAAGTTTTACACAATAACTAGGTGAGACACTAAAAAACATAGAAGCACAGATATCACAAGTGGTCAGCAAAATATTCAGTGATACTGTAGTATGGTTTCTCCGATACCGCAATTTTTAATTTTCTTCAGATACCAGGACTTTCTCCATGCATTTGCAAAGGGTGCTTGTTAAGCTTATGTGCCTCTAGTTTTCAGGCAGGTGTTTGTTGCCTTTCTAGAAAAATAAGCACTACAATTGCATGTTTCGATTCCCTTGGTAGTTTGCCCTGCCTAAGAAGATCGTTCGTTATGGCTGAAAGGGGATGTGACAGAACTGCAGCACACTTGTTCAGGAAAAAGGCAGGGATTTCATCCTCTCCTAGACTAGAATCTGGCTTCAGTGATTTCAGTGCAGTCTCCAATTTCTCGGGTGTGAAAGTTACAATTTCAAGTGAATTAGCACAGAATGTATCAGGATCCAAGTTGGGCATATGGCTAAAATCTTCTCGTGTGAAAACACTCTGAAACTGTTTGGCGAACAAATTGGCAATTTCTTTCTCATCATTAAGGGTGCAGTTAGTGGCTACATCCCTAAGTGAGAAATGTGTAAGTCTTGAACCAAGAGATCTGTTTATGTATATAGGTATAAAATTGCTTATCAGAAGAGGGGAAGAGGCTAGCAATTCTTGTTCTTCTAGACCGTTTTATCTTGGCTTTGAGGAAGTTATTTCGGTTCATGTAGTGCAAGTTGTTATTTTCAGAGTTGCTTTTCAATTTCTTGTGCCACAAATGTCTCTTTTTTTCAATGTGTCCGAAAATTTTTTGAGTTAGCCAAAGCTTCTGGGGATTGACTGAACAGTTTGAATGGAATGAAAGAGCTGATTGTGGATGACAGAATGTCCATGACACACTCATACTTTAACAGTTATGCTGGAGAATTCTTGCTGTAGACATGTGTTAATAGTCAAAATTTCCTCTCGTATATTTTATTTGTTGGTTTTGGAGCAACCTGAATTTGGGATTTGACTATTATGACATGGTCACTTAGTCCAATTGGTGGATGCTGTGATACATCAAAAGCAAGCCTCTTGTCACTGACTAATAGCAGATCAAGTAGAGACTCTTCATTTCTTCTCATTTTGGTTGGAAAATTGAAGGCATGGATTTCTTTGTAGGCAGTTATGAAATCTGAGCTACATGGATTTGTGGGATTGACTGTTAATGTTTTCCAGTTGATCTCTGTGTAGATGAAATCTCCAAAAATAAAAGTAGATGTTCCAGTGTTGTGTTCTATAACCTTTATAAGTTTCAGGATGTCTTCTACACTGGTTTGCATGCATTAAACAAGCATAGGCTAACTATCTAATAAAATATCAACTCATAACCACAGGTTCAGCTGTGAAATATATGGGGCTCATTGCAGATTGAACATGATGGCCCAGAATGGAGCTGCAGACAAATGCCCCACCCTTTTTCTTATTTGACCTATCTTTTCTGTACAGTGTGTACACAAATTTGCACCAAGCTATCTGGAATCATCTCGTGGAGCCATGTTTTTGTTACCAGAATAATAGCTGGTGGGAACATTTGGACATTTGCCTTCCACTAGCCGATCTTTGTCATTATGAAATTCAAATTAGTATACCAGAAAGAGATTTCCACAGAGTAAAAGCTTCAATAACTCATTTCCAGCAAGAATATATAAGATATTGAAATCTCTGTGTGCAAGATATTACATATTTGAAAAAAAATTGCTCATCAGTACATTAAGAAATATCATAATGAAAGTGAACATTTTCTAAACCATTTCCACACTTCACTGTTAAAACAAACCAAAAGATTAGCTAAGCCGAAACATTAAGGAGAAATTATATGGTTCAAGTATGAAGCCTCAGTGAAGCAGTCCTAAAGTCTTTCGACTCATTAGGCAACCAAATCTTGACTCAAAGCAAAATAAATTCCTCTTATATGATTCGCAAATTACTCAAATACCATATAATGATTGTTATGTTCCATTTTTTTTATCAAATATTTCCAGCAAATATCACGTCTTCACAATCATTTGCTTTTGGAAAATTTCTAAATTTATGTTATCTTAATTTAGAATTAATCTATTTCTGGTCAACCACTGACAATAGCTATAGGTACGTATTTAAAGAAATGAAGCTAGTGACCTGAATGTTACGGTAGCAAAATAAAATAACTAAATTTTAAGAATAAAATATCAATTTCAGTTTTCATATTTTCACACCAAAGCCAACGTGTCAGTAAATTAATGAGTTTATTTATCGTTATTTAAGTATAGTGGGTTAGTTTACTGTTGAAATATGGAGTAAAGTTCCACTTTGTATAACCAGTACCTGGTAATTTGTTTAACATTTCTAAATTATAATTAAATCAAGTATAAATAAGCAATAAACAGTAAAGATAAAGTTTATATCATATTTTCATAAAGTTTATTATTAACAAAAACAAATACTTCTTATCAGGAATGATCGGCGTTTTATTTGAACATTAATGAACAAGAATCACTGTCTCGAATAACAAGTAAAAGATCGTTTTTTCTTTGAAAATGATTATTTTAGGGGTTTTAGCAGTTTTGATCGTGCCAAGGGGTAAGTTACAAAAAAACGAATATATTGTTAAAGCCACTATTATTTCACCTTTTGACTGGCACTAGAAATTATAGTAAAAGCAACAGCTTACCCTTTATACAAAACCCATTTTAATAGGAATTTTGGGTCAGACTATTGAAGAAGGCGAAACACCAAATATCCGACCCACCGTAACAACTCCTCTAGGCCAAATAGAAGGAGATATTGGATTTACAGTTAATTTACATCCTTACATCAAATTCGAGGGTGTACCTTATGCCAAACCCCCAGTAGGAGAATTGAGATTTGAGGTAGAAATATCCAGTATTTGACTGTAAAACTATTTTTAAAAATATATTTTTAGGAACCTCAAGATGTTGAACCATGGGTAGGCACCTGGGAAGCGAAAACTATAACCCAGTGCATGACGTATGATCATTTTACAAAAGACCATTTGAATAATTATCTTGTTCAAGGTAATAATAAACTATTGTTTTTCATTTCATTCATATTTTTACTTTAGGAGACGAAGATTGTCTTTACGTAAATATCTACACGCATTCAATCAGTGCAGAAGCTAACTTAGACGTTTTAGTGCACATTCATGGAGGTGCATTTATGTTTGGAAAAGGTGCCAACTATGGACCTGATATTATTATGGAGCGAGATATTGTTTATGTTAATTTTAATTATAGATTGGGAGCCTTAGGTAAAAGTCTATGAATATAAAGTAACTATAGTTAGTTAAATTGATCTTCTTGCTAAGGTTTTCTCAGTACTGAAGACGATGTGTTGCCAGGAAATCTCGGTTTGAGGGATCAAATAAAAGCCCTACAATGGATAAAAGAAAATATCCATTATTTTGGTGGAAACCCGAATTCTGTTACCATACATGGATTGTCTGCAGGAGGTGCTAGCGTTCATCTTCATTATTTAATGCCACAGTCCAAAGGTATGTTTGCATTTTTTTGCTTTATTGATAACCATTTCTGGAAAAAATAATCTATATATTGTTGCTCATTTTGAAGGCCTGTTCAAAAATGGAATCTCTCAAAGTGGTTGCGCACTAAACCCATGGGTCTTAGTAGAAAATATTGGAGAAAAGACTGCCAAAATAGCAAACTTGGTTGGTTGCCCTGCGGGTAATTCAAAAGAGACAAAGGAATGCCTTAAATCAAAACCTGCAAAGCAAATTGTGGAGAGTGTTAAAGAATTCCAGGTAATATTTAGTCTTAGTAGAATCCAAAATTATACATTTCTTATTCTAGCCCTTCTTGTACAATCCATTCTCTCCACTGGGTGTGGTAGTTGATGGACAATGGGCCAAAAATCCATTACTTTCAGATCATCCCTACAATCTTCTCAAGCAAGGAAAAGTTTTGGATCTGCCATGGATTATATCATATACAAGCGCCGAAGGATTGTATCCTGCTGCTGGTAAGCACCAATCTAGAGTGTTCAGCAAAATAACAAGTTTTTACTTGTTTTAGAATTTTGGAGTGAAGACCAACACCTTATTGATATAGACACAAAATGGAACGATATTATGCCATTTGTATTGCACTACAACGACAGTGTGGACCCGGAATTGAGAGATCAAGTATCTCAAGAGATTAGAAAGGAATACCTAGGAGAGAAGCCTGTTAATAGGGAGACATATTCTGCATTGGTAGATGTAAGTACCTACATAATATTAAAAACTTATTGAGTTTGTTTCGACAAAAATCAATCCTCAATCACCAACAAACATATTTCCTAAAAAATCGTTTTTCTTTTCAATCTTATTGGAACAAACTTATAAATTCGGATAGAATATAGAATCTAATACAATTATTATCAAAAATGCAAATTAGAAGTTTTGAGTTTATTAGTGATATGGTAATTCCTTATGTCATGCATGTTGAGTAAGTAAAATTTTTCATATTTATGCTGAATTACCAAAACTAAACTCAATTGGATTAACATGCTGCCAATTCTAGCTTTAACTAAAAAAATATTCATCCAAGAACGATCTAAATATAAAAATTACCTGAAAGATGGGCCATTCTAGCTTTTGAATTTGTATTTTATAGGCACTCAGTGACAGATTATTTGTATCTGACCTAGAAACAGCTGCAAAATTACACAGCGCTGGTGTAAACTCAAACATTTTCAGTTACCTGTACAACTATCAAGGAAGTGGCAGTTTGGCACAACCCTCGAGTGGAACTGAAGACGTTCTTGGTTATTATTTTTCACTCCTTTTTGTTTTGCTCTTAAAAATGTATATATTTTAGGTGTATGTCATGGAGACGATACTATGCTGGTCCTTAAAATGAGATATAAATTTTCCAAGAATGAATTAGCAACAGAAACCGATAGGCTAACGTCTAAGCTTCTGGTTGATATGTTCAGGTCTTTTATGAGAGAAGGGTAAGCAGTGGTGCAGTTTTTTTTTGGATTCAGGAACAAAGTTTTCTTTTAGATCACCAAATATCACTTCGAAATGGATTCCAGTCTCCAAAAACCTAAAAGACCCCTACAACATCTTACTGATAAATAATTTCGAAGATTTACAAATGATGCAAAAAGAAACTATTGGAAGAAGCGAATTTTGGAATAGATTAAGTTTAAAAGAAAACAGTAATTTATTTAATATAAGAGATGAACTATAAGATTTATAAGTAACATGATATTGTCAAACTATACTTTTGGTTTTTATTTGGAAGGCACCTCTGGAATTTTTGTAAACTAGCCATTCTTCTGCTATTATGTATTTGAAACAATTCTTTTTTATAGGCTGTAGGCGATCGTCTTTTTGTAGCTGACACAGAAACATGCGCCAGGCTACAAAACGCAGCTACAACCTCCAATATATATAGCTATAAATTTAATTATAGAGGTGCCACAAGTAAATCAACTAAACTGGCAAATACTGATTCTTCAATAAACATAGGTAAGTATTTTTCAGAATAAGGTATATCTAGATTATATTTTGAGTTTTCAGGCGTATGTCATGCAGATGATACAATTTATGTCTGCTCTTTTAAGGGATTAGATACTCAGTCCACTGAAAGTGATAGAAAAATGAGTGAACTTTTTAAGAACATGTTTGAGTCTTTTATGTTATCTGGGTAAGTCACATGTTGCAACAACACGAGCTCATAGTAATTTTTATATTTCAAACAACTATATTTGCAATGATTTTTTTTTCTAGAGAACCCAATATTACGTTATGGAAACCACTTTCAAAATCCTTGGATGAATTTTGTCACTTGAAAATTAATTCACCAGACGATTTGGAAATGGAATACTTACCAGAAATTGGACAAAGAAGCTTCTGGGATAATTTGCCTTTTAATGAAAATCATCAGTTTGCAAAAATAGTTGTAAGAGAAGAATTGTAAACTTTACTTGATGGCACCTTTTTTCAAAGCTACTACACTATAAAGGAAAATTGGAATAAAACCTAGAATAAAAATTCCAAATTGAAATAGGTATTTTTATTAAAAATATATTTGAAAAACAAATTATTAACAGGTTAAACTCTCTATCTTATTTTTTTTTAATTTACAATAATCATTACCAATTAAATAAATATCAAATAAAGCTATCTAATTCTTTGTTTCAATTGTACATTTCATAAAAATAAAAACAAGATTATGTTAAAGGTCAGGATGCTAGGATTACAAGCAAAGAAAAATGATGATTATTTTGTCAACTCTTTGAAACAAAAATGATTATTTTTAAGTAATTTCCTGAGCAATAAGTTATAAATAAATATGAAATCCTATTGTGATTTTTTTCTCTAGAGGCAACATCACTTGCAACTATAAGCTGACCAAACTTTTCAAAAAACTCTATACAGTTACTCCTACTTCGCCTAAAATATCAGACAGCCTTTCTAGATGAACAGTTACAGAAATAGAGTCTTTACTTCTTTGGCTTCTATTTAACAGTTGTAAAGCATTCATGTATTCTAGTTCGCTGAATTCGGGACCTTTATCAACTATACCGTTGAGAATTTCCTAAAAGAAATATTATTTATGTAGACAAAATTAGAAATCTTTTTTAGAGCCCATACCTACCTTGAGCAGATTAATTAATATACAAATTAACACCCAAAATAACAAGCAATAAGCACACAACAATCATGAATCACTGAGACAGTGAAATAAGATCACACACTAAGCTAAACATTTGATGAAAAACTGCTGTTAAAAATGAAAGTGTAGAGAGTGAGAAATAGGAAATATAAACTATGAATCCACAAAAATTACAATAAAACGATATTAGTAAATAATATATTTTTCCGCCAAAAATATTTAAAAAAATTCCAATGTTAATACTTTCAAGAATATGTCTAATAGTTAATATGTTACAGAAAACATTCGTAGAATGGTTTGAATTCTAAACTTCGATAAGCATAAAGAATTTTTTTCCCTATTTTTGAAGTCAAATATCTCAGAAATTATAAAAGATATTTAATTGCGGTTTGAAGCATATTGGAGCGCATTGTTTGACGTTCAGTAATTCATGCAGTTGATGATGCTGATGTTGATATTGTTGAAACTGCAGTGGAATTTTCAAAAATCAAAAATACAACAGTGATAGGAGAGGCTGATTTATTGGTGTAATCAAGCATACCAAAAGCTATTTTTCAGAAGTGATAAAAAACCTTCAAAACATAATAACATATATGACATCAATGCCTTTAGATTTTCGCTCTGAAATGACTTAGCAAACAGTCTATTTTTTATACATTTATATACAGGATGTACTGCGCCTCCAGAATATTCCATATTGGAAAGCAATCAATTTTCAAACGTGTTGTTGAAGATCAACACTTTCGTGAACTTGCACTATCGTTCAACTCAACAAACCTTCAGTCAGGTTGAAGAATTTGGAAATCCAGATGATTAACTAAGCTACCTTCTTACTAAAACGATGAAATTTCAAAAAAAAATTTATTGAGATTTTGTATCCTAATGGTCCCTCGTGATCCCCTGAGCTCCATAAACTAAATTATTCCGAGATTTGGAGCCGGATTCTATGAAAAAAGGCACTCAGAAGATTTTGCTCCCGCCCAATACCCGTGGATTTCCTTAACGCGATTATTTCTCGGAATCTAAAAGTCCAATCGAGCTAAATTTTCAGGGATTGTAGCCCACCAGCGGGATAAGAATCGCTGAAAATTTCAGATTTCTATCTTCAATAGAAAAAAAGTTATGACCTTTCGAAGTTTTCCAAAATCTAAATCATAAGGTAGCTATCTTCTTACTAAAACGATGAAATTTCAATTTTTTTTTTTGTCGAGATTTTATGTCCATCACCCCAAATGGCTCAACACGATTTCATCTCAAGATCTAGGTATAAGTGCAAATGAGTTGAAATTTTCAGGGATTGTATGTAGTCCCTTCTTACTAAAACGATGAAATTTCAATTTTTTTTGTTGAGATTTTGTATCCTTATGGTCAATTAACATCCCCCAAACTCCATACACTAAATTATTCACAGATTTGAAGCCGAAATCTATGAAAAAATGCACTCAGAAAAATAACCCAAATTGCTTTACACGATTTTATCTCAGGAACTATAAGTGAAAATGAGTTGAAATTTTCAGGGATTGTAGTCCTTTGAAAGGGATAAAATTCAGTGAAAGTTTCAGCTTTCTATCTATAATAAAAAAAAAGTTATGACCTTTTAAAATTTTCCAAAATCTAAATCATAAGGTACTGAAACAATGAAATTCCCTCGGAAATTCCAAATTTTTTTTTGTTGAGATTTTGTATCCTAATGGTCCCTCGTGATCCCTTTAACTCCATAAACTAAATTATTCCGAGATTTGGAGCCGGAAGTGCCATCATCTTGAAAATATTTTAGCCGAGTTGCCCCCATTGACATTAGTATATTGTCAAATTTTCAGAAATTTTCTACATACAGTTTTTCATATATAAATCGATTTGGTTCCCGGTGGGACACTCTGTATACTTTCTGAAATATTTGACTTCAAAAATAAACGAAACATTTCTTTATGCGTATCGAAGTTACAGCAGTTTATATCTACTTTTTTTTTTAATGTAACAGGAGGAAGTCAAGAAAACTTCATTATTTTTTAAAGTAATATAGAATTTTTTGGATACATATTCTAACTTAAAAATGGGTAAAATAAACCAAATAAATGATCAGATGGTAAGGGTGAAAATAGTAGTAAGCAGTAGTGAACAACACCAAATGACGAAAAACAATCAAGCAAAAAAGTAACAATTGACTTACCTCTGGTGTTGAGAAGAAAAGCTCAAAATAATGTCTGGCATGGTCCAGGGCAAGTTCCCTTGTCATGGTTATATTTGTGAGAGTTTGTTGAAGAGCGAAAATATTCCTACACATTCGTTGTATGCCGACATCGTCAATCACTTTCATGTACTGAGCAGAACTAATAAGTATTTTTGCTATTAGGTGACCCAATCCTTCAAAGATGTACTATAGAAAAAAGACAAATCACTTTTCCAATTTTGATTCAAACTAGAAAAAATATTTACCTTGCATTTTCTAGGATGTAAACTCGTTGTCATAGCCTCATCGACATTAGCCAAAACTTTGCTGAGTTCAGACACTTTTGGATCTGGCTCGTGGGTTTCTTTATTATAATGCACTTGCGCTAATAAATAGTGAAAACACTGTACTCTTACCTAGAAAACAATCATGAAACTAAAACTTTTATATATGTAAATTGAAGTTAGTTACCTCTAAATGTAATAAAAGAAGACACGTATTGGCTAACTCGTCAAAATCTTGCGCTATACTAGTAAGTTGGTGCAAAGTGGCACTGGAAACTGGAGGCATTAAGTCGTTATGGTTGTTATTGTCAATTTTAGGCGGAGATAATCTTGATGGTTCTAATCTAAACTCGCTGGTGTACTGGAACATTCTAACAGAAAACCATTCCTAAAAAACAACCAATAAGTTTTTGTGTATAAAAATTATTGATTCACTTACCATACTTTCTTGTAATGTTGCTAATTCTTTGAGAAGACACATATCTGACAAAATTTCACTAGCTGATACACCTACAAAGTTTGATATTAATGCTAGAAAAATACTTTTAAGAATCAAGTTTACCTCCTTCTCCTAAGTTACTGGCCAAAATTTCAGCTTCTTTCCTATTTCTCATTCTTACATCTTCAGGACTTTCTTCCTCTGAAGGTTGACCTCTTAAAATTCTTCTACCTATAAGTATTTTATGAACATTCAAGTGCAAAATTACCGGGCAAATTTTACATACCTCTTTCACTCCTAGCATGAAATTCTTGTTGGGCTTTCAAGTTCAACCAGTTAGGTAAAGATCTGTGGGAAGCAAATAAAGATTCAAAGGTTCAAGTAACAATATTGTCTTCACTTACTTCAAAAACCTATTAATATCTTCATCCTTCAACCATGCGGCACTACAAATCCTCTTATCTTCAGAATGTGGCTGCACTATTCCTCTGTAAGCTGCCACACAGGTATCTTTGTACTCTTTTAAAGCTTTCACCGAGTATTCCGCAATTTTCTCACTATATAATGGCAAAGCTTGTAACACAGCTTTCCATTCTCTTATAAATCTTTCTACTGTAACTGTACTCTGCAAAAAAAATATTGAAAATAATATAAAACAGATAATAAAGAACTTACAACTAAAAGTGGTTTGTAATCAGCGGATAAGTCCAGAAGTACTGTACTTTTCCAAGCATCGGGTGTCTTAACAGCCTTTTCTGTTTGTTCGATAATTTCATCCGACTTTCTTTTTAAATATACATTTGAGATATGCTGAGTTATGTTTTGGTATAATGAACACGAACCATGAGACATACCTGCAGTAAATTGAAATTAAAAATAAATTAAGAGGGTTAATAAATAGACAAGTGCTCACCTAACATTTGTTCAATATCCTCAGTAAAACACATAAAAGGTAAAAACACCACTAAAATATTATTGGGATGCGAAGGGCATATTAAAACTTTTTCTTTTTTGGTTGATTTTAAGGCATTGCTTAGACTAAGTGCACTTGAGGAACCTTCAAATTTAAATAGGATTTTCTTCTTGCTAAAAAGAAAATTGCACTTTACTTAATTTTTTCAATCGATCAACATTTCTACTAACCTTTGCTGCTTCTTTCTAGAAAAATAAGCGGATATGTCACCGTTATTTACAACATTACTAATTTGAAGATCTGAAGACATATTTTGCAAATCTAGATAATCGTTTAGGAAAATTTGCAACTGAAATATACAAAAAAATATATGTAGTAGGTGAAGGGCTAATGGTATATTGGTCAGAATGATTTGGAATACTTAAAGATTATACTTACAACTTCTTGTACTTGTGACCAGTAATACTGTAAATTATATGGCTTCAAATCAATGTTATGGCTCTTGATACCCTTTTCTACCCACTTTAAAAATATCTGATGCGAATCTGCAATTTCTTTAAATTGATCAAACAAAATATTAATCAATTCTTTTAAGGCTAATTTGGAATCGACATTTGCATCTGCGAAATCTATAACGTGTTGAGTGGATTTTTGAATAATGTGGCTCAAGGAAATTTGCATTTCTCTTACAATTTCCTGAAATAATTTTCATATTTTAAATGTAATAATGTATATGGGTGAATTACTTACGTCAAGAGCATACGGCAATTTTTCTAGTAAACACAAACTTTTAACTAATATTGCAACATAATGCCTATGATTTTCATCGATATTTAAACTATCTAAATCTTCATCCAAATTAAAACTGGCATTGAATAAATCTTTACTTTCAAGTCTGAAAGGTTATAATTTCCTAGTAAAAATAGTTTGAAACTGTTTAAAACATACTTTGTTAAATCTTCCATAAGATTTCTAGAAACATTACTTCTATTTCTTCCACTCAACCTGAGTTTCATACTTCTTTGCAAAGGAGAATGTATTAAGAAACCATCCCTACCAGAACCTTGCCTTCTTAATGTTAAAATGTGCTGGCAGGGTTTGGTATATAACATGTGCTTAAGTTCCAATAATATTTGTAGATGAAGTTGCTAAAAATTACAAAATAAGTGTTAAAATCATGCATCTAGCATGCTTCAACCAGAATTTCCAAAGTACTTTTGAAAAATAAATTATATTTTACCTCTTTCCTTTGTTCCAGCTCCTGACTCAGCTCTTTCAAACTTTCCACACCCTCTAATGGATCTCTTCCCAACTTAACGGCATCGACTAATAATTTGGTCGCATGTAAGAATCTTTTATGTGCCATATGATTTGCTAATTGACTTGGGACATTATTCATTTTTTCTCTAAAATAAGTTCATGTTCAAAAGTTGTGGAATCAAAAGAAATTTACTCCAAATGAAGAAAATTTCTTCAATTTTTAATTTAAAAAAATAAATATATGAGTATGTGCTTTGCTTACATTTCTTCTAATAATTGAAGCATGTACTTATATTCCAACCCTTCCATCCATAGAGCTTTCAACTCATCCCTCTTACATCGAAGTTTTTTTTTGCAGTCTTGTAGCATTTCTTTTACCTTATGTATTTTGTTTCGATTCTCCGTGACTGATTGCGAAATTGTACTAAACAAATGCATAACTTGGGTAAGGTCGCTTTCATGTCTGGAAACTAGTCGGTCCAATTTTTGATCGCAAATTTTATAATCGGCTTCTAGTTTGGCTTTTTCCCTGTCTCTTTGTTCGTTAGTTTCACTTGCTGATAATGTACGGATTACTGACATAAGGAGACCACTCTGAGAATACAAATTTATTTATTTACATAACCAACTAAGAATACTTATTGGGGTTTCAATATACAAAAAACCTAAAAATCTATAAGAACAATTTAGAAATCACTTAAAAACTTCTAGAATGCTCTAGAACCCTTCAAGACAAGTTAGAACACTTTAGAACTTCAATAAGCCATTTGGAACATTTTCCAGCGACATTTTGAACAATTTAAAAACCTCAGAACTATTTTAGAGCCTGGAATAGACAAAAATTGAAAGATATAATCAATAAGGTCTGTTCCAAAAACCGTCCCAAGAACGGTTTCGGAGCCACTCTGTATACGAATTTTTTGGTTTTGCGCAAAATCTTGACGGTACATTGTACGGTTTTCTGCTTTAGTGGAACAAAGCTAAAACTTAAAAAAAAATTAATACTAATTTGGCCCTGTAACTAACTAGAAACAGGGAATTTACATTTACCGTCGGGGAACTACTTTATCACGCAGTTAGTTTTTTTGCCTATCTCACTTACTCGTATTTATTACCTATCTGTTTACCTTTTTTTGTTGGGGTTGAGATTCGAGTTTCTTTGTCAGACAAGATTTAGTCGAGTACGGATCACCGATAGATAAAGTACCTACCGCGAAGTCGCTTTCAGGAATTATCGATTTTTCTCACACAAGCTATGATTTTTCGGCCGTCATTTCCTGATTATTGTGTCGTATGCCTATAGTGTACCAACTGACTTCTGGATTTTGGTAAGTACCTAGTACCAACAATTATTTTTTGGTAATTGGGATTTATTGAATCTTGAATGAACAACCCTTGATTTTTCTAACAATCCAGAACTTTTTCATTTAAGTTTTTTTTAAAATTTGAATAGTGATTTATTTGATTCCCTATCAATGGGCAATTAGTAAATTATACAGGGTGTCCAAAATTTTTTTCTAGAAAATCTTTCGCGCCTATTTTCATCATTAATTTTTTTTTATTATTTGGCTTTCCAAAAGTGCGTTAATGCAGAGCAGAAAGTATAGATGAGCTTGTGTGAAGGATGAATGATCCAGGGATGTAGACTATTATGAGATAGAATCCTAGGTTCTTGATATGTAGGTACTGTTGGAATAGAATGCTGTATGCAGGATGTAGGTATTGTTGTAATAGAATGCTAAACTGTCCCAAAAAAAATATTGATTTTGCCCAGTTTTCAATTGAATGGCTGCTTAAGCCACTTTACTACCACTAGCAACCACCCAACACAACTAACCCATATTAACACCTTGGGGTAATTGCTAATGGTAGTCCACTAAACATTTTCAGCTATTTCCAAAATGATACAAACATAAAAATCTGTATGTGTGAAAGTTCGAGTGGCCAACAGTTTATATACATAACCCATTTTTTCTGCCGCTGTGCTATTTTTTTTAGGTGACCCCCTGTAAGCAAACAAAGTCCAGAAGTCGTCTGAGCCTAATCAAGTACCTATTATTGTAATAAAATTTGACAGGTAGTAGGTACATATTTATCAATTTCCTATTTTATTATTTTTCCCTGGAATAGTTTGAAATTTTAGTATGATGGAGCTTCTAACTTTCCTCCTTTCCCCCTGAAAGTTTGACAATTTTCCCTTTAGTAGATTTCCAGAAAAAAATTAAAATCCAAGAGCGTGCATTTTTGCTTAATTTGGGTTTTGCAAGTTGATTTCTATTAATTTTCCATTTTGTTATTTTTCATTGGAAAAGTTTGAAACTTTAGTATGATGAACTCCTAACTTTTCTCATTTTTTCTTGAAAGTCTTACAATTTTCTCTTCAATAGTTTTTTTCCTCCAGAAAAAAAAATAAATTGTATAAGAGTGCATTTCATTGATATCCATCCAAGTATCCATCCATAAAAATTGTGCCACTTCTATTTCTTAGGTGAGCCCCCTTCTAACAACAAAGTCCAGAATCTTCTGAGCTTAATCAAGTAGAATAGGCTCCTAATTATTTTTGGTGAAAATCTGAATTGAGGTGTGTAAGTCCCAAAAGAAAAAACGCAAGGTAAAAGTATCTTTTCCACATACATATAATAATTATTGAGCATTTAGTTTTAGTTTAGTAAATTTTTCATTCACTCAATCAAAAAAATTGAAGTTCCATTTCATCAATATCCACCAACATTGGTGGTTTGAGCGTTTCTTTTCGGTACTAGCTGCGCCGCGGGGAAGCCTAATGCCATAGTTGTCCTGGATCTCATTTGCTACACTAATATACTTCACGGTATGTGTAGCAGCGGCAAAACTGATACTGGCGGGAAGGGGTTAAATTACGGATGCTGTTGGGTGTCGGTACAATGGAATTTCAATATTGGATCAAGCCCAAAGGGACACCGAACAGCTGAATGCTCTCTTGGATAATTCTGATTTGTGTGTTCCAGATGAAGACAATATCAACATGAACAATGCAGCTTCTTGGACATAAGTTGTTTCCAGAATATTGACAGCTAAATAAATTTTGGGTTTTGTGAATTTTCTAATGCTAGCCCTCGCAGCTTGCGTTATATCCTTATTTAGTTCTTTTAGCTTGTCCTTGTTTTGTGGGTATTCCCCCAGTAATTTTCTCCTCTGTTCCATTAATTGTTTGGTATTCAAAGTCAGTTTTTCTTCTTTTTCTGAAGGCTTCGAGCAGTGTTTACTTTGGGCCATGCTGACTGACTCCAAAATATTTCTATTTAGATCTTCGATGTTCAGTGAATCAGGGTCTTTCAGATTTTTATTTATAGTTTTTCAATATCCCTCAGCGTCATCTATATTGGTCCGTTTCCTGTTGTTATTTTTATTCACGAGTTTTCTGCGTTCGGCTCTTAAGTTTAATAGCACTGTCGTTCTCACCATTTACCATTTACACTCAATCAATCTGTACATATACGTTATAATATGCTCCAGTCGCCTCAGAATTATTACTATGTGAATACATAAGAAAATTGGGGTCACTATTTCAGATGCCTCAAAATTAGGGTAACTGGAACAGTTGACCAAAAAAAAATTGGAACACTTAACTAGTGTAGCATAAAGATCTATAATCAGCTGCCTTTAAATTTCAAAACCATATCAAATATCTCAAAGTTTCGCAAAACCTTAAAGGGAGCACTGGTGAAGCCACCTTTCTTTTCACTCGATGAGTATTTTAATTATTCTTTTAACCAATAGTTGTCTCTTATTCCGTCAACAGTTACTCAATTTTAAATTCAACCTTTTGTGGTGGACTTTTTATTGTTTATATATTTTTTTTTAATTTATGACATACCTATTGTTTTTTATCTCTGTCTGTGTGTAGCACTAGCGTAGCATATTGTGTATTTTTTCAATTGTGTATTTCTGTATTGTTTTATATTTTACCTATTTATTTATTTATCTTAATTTGACTGACATACCTACTAAATAAAGGGTTTTTTTTTTGTTGTTGTTGTGTCCACTAGTCTTTGAAACCACCTATGTCAAGAAATGTTGTGTTAAATGAATGTCTTTATTATTTTTGTAAATTATTGCCTACAGTAATTTTAATTTGATTGATATTGTTGACCAGTAACTTCTAGGTTTAGTTGTAAAATTTAATTTGAGTTAGGTTAGCTTTGTCAATAAGATTTTTGTATTCTTGGACAATAAAGCATATTTACTTACTTACTTACTTACTTAACCCGAACAAAGTGAAACACTGAACTAGAACAAACCAGAATGAACATGCACACAATTCTTGAGATTTTAATGAAAATGCCCAAAAATACGTTAAAAGTGGGGTTGAAAGGTATCTTGGAAGTTATAGAAATTTACAAATACTTCCATGTATTTCCTAATTATTCCCATGTACTTCTAGATTATTCCTATACCGGGTACCCACGAGATTACTTTCCGGCTGCCATTTTTTTATTTGTTTATTGAAATCAACGAAACTTGGTAGGCTTGATATTCTAACGAAATGCCATTTTTGTGCATTCATGACAATTTTTTCTGACTTCCGGTTTCACCGGAAATTACCGAAACTTTCGATTTTCAAATGGCAAACCCTGTATATTTTTTGTTTTTTGGATTCTACAAATCGTTTTACGTCCTAATGTACCATCGTCACCAAAAGTAACTGGGACAGCATCACATTAGCTCTTGTCCTATTATATGAATTTTATTGTCAAATATTTGTCATTCTATGAATTAAATGCATTGAAATGAGTGACAGTAGAATTAGTCCAGGAGATTATTATGCATTATTTGTGTCCCAGATACTTTTGGTGACGATGGTACCACTTTTAAATCGAACTTTGACCAAATTTCGTTTTCAAATTAAATTTTAAGTAAAAAAAAAAATAATAACCTAGATATAATAAAACACAAATATTTGAACGAAAATTAAGAAAAATGTCATAGTGTATTATATCGTTGGATTCGCTTCAAAATACTGCATTTAGTAATGTTATGAAAATGATATGTTCCTATTCTAGTTTTTGAGCTAGGGCAAAAATACTAAAATAATGAAGTTTACAGCCCTCTATCAAAAAAGTTTACAAAGATAAAATTCAGTTTGTATTTTTCTGAAATTAAGTAAAGTATGTAGAGTCATTTTAGGATGATCATGGAACTCTAGCTAAAAAATTAAAATTTAATTTAAAAACAAAATTTGGACAAAACTTGATTCAAAAGTGGTGCATTGGGACGTAAAACGATTTGTAGAATCCGAAAAACAGAAAATCTATTTCTATTTCTATTTTTTTTCTATTTCATTTTATTCACCTTAGATTTACAATGTAAATGTGGCTTTGTCACAATATTGAATCATAATAATAGTAAAAAATATGGTAATAATAAAAAAATAATAGTAGGTAGGTAATAAAAAACTAACAATAATAACATCAAGTATTTCAATAAATTTTGTATATAAACAGTCACAACAATTATTATATAACATAACATAGAGCCACTAAATTGCGTTGACGTAGAGAGACATAGCATTAAACATTCACATTTACATTTTTATTTATAAAGTCACTAAACGAATAGAAACAATTTTCGCATAGAAATTGCTTCAATTTATCTTTGAATCTTCTTTCAGTCTGTTCAGTTTTTATTCCTCCTGGTAGTCCATTGTAGACCTTTATGCATGCATATTGAGGAGACTTCTCAAATAAAGCAGTGCTATGTCGTGGAAAGCTAAGTTCATTGCTTCTCCTGGTAGAATATAGATGATTTTCTCCATTTTTTACAAATCTATCTTTGTTTTTATATACATATACGGCACACTTATATATATAGATGGACGGAAGAGTAAGTAGTTTCTGGTCTTTGAAGGTTGGACTGCAGCTTTCCTGTGGTTTAAGGCCATATATTAACCTTACTATCCGCTTTTGGATGATGAATACTCTACCCACACCAACAGCTTGTCCCCATAGAATTATATTATAAGACATGTGATGGTATGCCAGGGCATAGTAAGCTGACAATAGCGCGTGTCTTTCGACGACTTGTCTAAGCTTGAGTAGGGCAAAATAGGCGGAATTGAGTTTGGAGCATACATGATCCACTTGGGTGTGCCATTGAAGTTGTTTGTCAAGATAAATTCCTAGAAATTTCACAGCTTTTTTGGTTTCCTTGAGCTCAATTTTCGGTTTGGAGTTATAAAAATGTATGGTTACTGTTTTTGAGCTGTTGAGAATAAGCTTATTTCTAAAACACCAGGAACTCATATGGTAACAAATTTCATCTAACTTCTTCATTGCTTCTTTTTCGTTATCAGCCGATATAGCTGCAGTTGTATCATCCGCAAACTTAATTGTAAGGCCAGGTAGTTTTAGGTCATTGATGAAGAGCAGAAAGATCAGTGGCGCCAGCACTGAGCCCTGGGGTGCTCCAATATTAACAGAGTGAGTGTCTGACAGATCTTCTCCCAGTCTCACCTGTATTTTTCGCTCTGATAGGAAGGACATTATCAAAGAGAGTGCTTTGCCTCGAATTCCAATGGATTCCAATTTTAACCTGACAAAAGCTAAGTCCAGAGAGTCAAATGCTCTGGACAGGTAAAAAAACAATCCAATTACGATTCTGTTTTGTTCTAGTTGTGCATGGATGTACTCAACAAACTCGTACGCAGCAGTTTCCGTCGATCTTCCAGATCTAAATCCATGTTGCGATGCATCCAAGATTTCAAAACTTTCCAAGAAGTGGGTTATTCTACTGTGTAGTACCTTTTCAAATATTTTTGAAAATACGGATAATATGGATATCGGTCGATAGTTTTCGATATCCGTTGACAGGCCTTTTTTGAAAACAGGAACCACTGTAGCTAGTTTCAAGCTGGATGGAAATACCCCCTCAGAGATTGATTTATTCACCAGTACTTCTAAAGGGTAAGACAACTCTTTAGAAGTACTGGTGAATCTACAGGGTGTGCCATTTAAAAATTAAAAGTTCCGGTCATTTCCGGTGAAACTGGAAGTCAACAAAACTTGTTTGGTTAGAATATCAACCCTACCAAGTTTCTTTGATATCGATAGACAAATAAAAAAAATGGCAGCCGGAAAGTGATCTGGTGGGCACCCGGTATACTTCCGGCATATTCCTAAGGATGTCCAAGTATTCCTAGGTATTTTCAGAGTATTACCAAGTATTCCTAGGTATTTCCAGAGTATTACCAAGTATTCCTAGGTATTCCCAACAAAGTGTACAGTGACTTCCATGAGTGATTTACCCCTCGAGTATCATATTCAACATCAAGCAGGATGAGGACTATCACATTTTGATAAAGGATTGTCTATCAGCTACACATAATCGGAGCAATGATCAGTAAATATTAAGTCAAGAAGTACAGTGTAAGAGACTTTGGTGTAAGCATTTAAAATGTTATTTATTTATCCAATATTGAGGAAAGGAAAAGTCTCTATGATTGACTCAGTTGCAAGGCAGTACCCGATGGTCATGGTACTTGAGCAATCATTTGTCTATGAATGCTAGGTTGCAATCACCTGCAAACCCAGGGTTGGAAAAAACCTATTAATTAGGAAAAATAATTTCAGGTTTTTAGGTTTTTTAGGTTTTTTGAGGTTTTTTAGGTTTTTTAAGGTTTTTTAGGTTTTTTTAGTACGTAATTGTTGTAACACATATTGGTGATGTAAGTATGTACCATACCTATAATTTATTATCTAAATAATTAAATTTTTAACCAAATAATAGCTAAACCGAGAAATAAAATATAAGTATAGCATACTGGAAAGAAATTACTACTGAAATTACACTTTGTAAAACAAAAAAACCTAAAAAACATAAAATGCACTTATTTTGAGAAGTAGGTTTTTTTAAAAAACCTAAAAAACCTAGGTTCAAAAAAACCTGTACCTGCCAACCCTGTGCAAACCAGAGTCCGGATATTCTTGTGTCGCACGCTAAACTACAGCACTGTGGCTATCGCACTGTTATGCGCTAAAGGTATGAATATTAATGTTTGCCAAGCCTGTATAGAAAGAAATGCATTGTAGTAGAGAGTTGTGGTGCCAATTTCAGTGGATCTATTATATGATTCTCAAAGCATCCAATGCCACTTGGACAATTAACTTTCTGGATTGATTTTGAGGAGTTGTTATAATAACCAGTTTAGAGCTTTGAATATACTAGCAAATGCGGAATTTCAGGGTCCAAATTTCTGACATAGTAGATACCTCGGTAGATACAGTATGTATAAGAATTGAATAGCATTCAATGAATACTAAAAGGGCATTTTAATTGATTCCAAAAGAACAGGTGAGGGTGCAAGTGGGTGTTCTAAGATTTCAAAGGTCAAATTTAATTCCAAATGGTAACGTTAATGGTAACTTACGGTCTCTTTAACAGGCTTCACCCCTCTGGGAGGTTTTATAGGGGGCGACTCCATTATTTCGTATAAAATTATCAAATTATTTAAGAAAAATTACAAATCAAAACAACACCCACATCCTTGAACTTTTTGATATTTTGATTATTTTTGACAGACAGATGACATAACCTCACTTTATTGTTTAAAGTTGTTCGACATTTTTTGCTCCAAAAGATCCGAGTCGTTCGGGTACGCTTTACTCTAAGAACACTAGAAAAAAACTGCTCCGAATCCACTTGAACCTCTTGTTGAATTAAGTGCCAAATTATGGACTGATTGGTAAACGTCTGGTTGTTACCTAGCAGGTACTTACTATGCTCTAGATAATAGAAAGTACCTGCTAGGTCACAACCAGACACCTACCACTCCTACCAGTCATAATTTGGCCCTAACTTGAACCCAGCCCTGAGAAGAATGAAGAATCAGTTATTAGGCCGCGTTTACACTATTTCTCTGTAACTTATTTGGCCACGTTTACCCTGGTCCCTGAGCTGCATTCGATTGATTAGATTATATTGATCTGGTTCAATTTAAGTGAACCAGACTGTAAAGTTTGTGAGGCTTTCGCGCAAGGTTCCTAAAGTTGTAGTAAAGTGCCTTATGGAGATTTGTATTATGTTTGGGTATACAGATGACGTCATAAAAGTTATCAGGCAACCTTCTTCTTTTAAACAACCTTGGCTTTCGCGGCCCAGTTTTATTGATAAGGTGTTTTTATTCGGGCTTAATGGCAGTTGTCCATTAAGTCCGAATGAAACACCTTATCAATGAACCAGACTGTGTTCGATTATAGTTTGATCAGTTTACCTCCACCAACAAAAAAATTATCCAAGATCCACTCTAGATCACAAGAAGTGAACTAAAAACGATTCAGTTATTAGGCTGCGTTTACACTATCTCTCTAGTTGTATTCCTTTCAAGAGTTTAGAACACTCGAGCTACTCGCTTCGGACACGCCTCGTCGCCTCCGATTTTAAAGAAACAGATGCGTGGTGCAACAAACACTTTTCGAAAAGAATAAGGGCGTAACGCCCAGGAGCTGTTCCGGAGCTCCTTCTAGGTGTTAAAGGAATACTTCTGTAACTTATTTGGCTAACCCTGATTTGACTACTTTGCTATAGTCGCATACTGAACTCGCATATTACCCACCTTACCCACTCAAAATCTCTTCTATCTTGTTCTTATACAGGGTGTTTCGGAATAGTGGGATGAAACTTCTAGGATAAATAGTACTCATTAAAATAAGAAAAAAGTTGATAGTAACATAGTTCCACAAATGCTTAGTTTCCGAGATACAGGGTATCAAAGCTTGAAAAAATCGGTTTTTCAAAATCCGTTTCCCGAATTTCTTTAAACTTGGAAAATTTGTTTGTAATAACACAAGGTATCTTGTGAAACAATTAGATTTACCATAATTATTCCAATGGCGCCCCAGAGGGAAACTACGTTGGTAAAAGTAGAAAAAAAAATGGCACATCACTATTTTTTTATAACTTTGATATTTTTTTTAGAGTAAGCAAGCAGTCCATATTGCAGTCAAAAGATACCTTTTTATTATCACGAACAAACTTGCCAAATTTGAAGAAAAAAATAGAAAAGGAATTTTTGAGCTTAGAAAACAATTTTTTTTTTCAAACTTTTACACCCTGTATCTCAAAAACTAAGCATTCGCGGACCCATGTTTCTATTAACTTTTTTCTTATTTTAATGAGTACTATTTATCTTAAAAGTTTGATCCCACTATTCCCAGTTCCCAGTCGTTCGAGTAGGCTTTAGCGCTCTCTTTACTTGAGAACACGAGAAAAAACTGCTCCGAATCCACTTTAACTTCTTGTTGAATGGAACCCAGCCCTAAAAAGAATCAGTTATTAGGCTGCGTTTACGTCTCGCTAAAACTTGTTTGGTTACATTTACCTCGACTACTTTGCTATACTCGCATATTACCATTATTACCCACTCAAACCCTATCCTATCTTGTTTGTAAATTCTAATTAACTCACAGGCAACATGTAAAAATGCCAAACTTTACCTCAATGCAAAAGTTACTTTTTGAAGAAACACCCTTATTCATAGTATCTCTTGGGTATCATCTTGATCATGAAAGCTCTCAATCAAATAAAAAAGAAACCATAATTATAATATTGTTTCGTTTCTCAGAGATTCTGTCCTAGTTGCGAAATGCAGCAACCTTAATAAAAATAACAAAAAGTTGGAATGGAAAAAGGATTGAATGGAGATAACTATATATATCTTAGACTCATCTTTATTGAAAAATACCATGACAAAAGGACAAAGTATAATCCTAATACTAAAATAGATGTAGAACTTATTAAAAATTGATATAAATATTGTTAATTTAATATACAGATGTATTAGTCCAAAGAATTATTGTTCATTTGTAAATTATTGTTATAAGAATTTATTAAATTTAATACAACCAGAGAGAATTTAGAACATTACTAGTCTTGCAATACATAGTTATACAAGACATTTTCCAAACAGTTATAACACAAATACATAATTATTATAATATTGAATGCATAGCCTTTTCCCTTTTTTTAATTATTGTAAAGATTATTGTTCAATTTTTATAAATATTGTCTTAAAATTTATTTTTCACACAATATGTATTTTATATGTGATTAATACTATATTAGCAATTAAGTAAATAAATTATAAATTAACCAATAATTTGTATTTATTTGGCACCAATGACTAAAAACTTCAAGGTAGAATTATTTCATTAAAGAAAAAATTGGGGAAAGGTATAGAGATAATATATAAACTTCCCTCAAAAAATTTCTTGAATTGAAAATTCACAGCAACTCTTAAAAATTTAACTCACTAAACATATCACAAAAAAAAAACTAAACAAAAATCACAATAATAAATTTACAATCTAATATCTGTTTTATGTAAATTTACTCCAGAAAGTTTTTCAAAAAACAACTTCAAAAATATAACTTATATGTTTTTGATATTTTTTTTTTACAATATTATTGTTACCACATTATTATCAAAAAGTACCATTATTATTTTTTATTTATTATCCACTAGACATTAACTACCTTTAAGTAGAGATATGTAATTATGTATTATTCTTGTCAAAAATAAGTTCTTATCAAATTTAAATTGAACAATAGGTGTATCAACGGCACTAAGGAGAATGTAAAAATTAACTTTTTAAAAGTTGTACAAAAATGATATAAATTTAGTGATAAAGGAGAATTAGAGAAACTTACAAAGAAATTATTAATAAGGAAAAGCTTGTGCCATGTGAAAATAAATATGGAAAAGGTAATTTTTTGTAGGAATTTTTCCAGGGCATTTTGAGTTTCGATTAGATTTTTTAAATCACAAAATTACGCATTTCACTTAGGTAGCTACTTCATTTAAATTTGATAAAAACCAATTATTTATTTATTATTTTTTTTTTACATTATTACTATTATAAATTAAACCTTATTATTATTATTATTTTTTTTTTGGGTAATTTCATAGATTTTGTATTATTTTTTTTTTCAAATATTTTTTAAATAATTTTTTTTTCTACTAAATATTCACAGAAAAAAATCACATTTATTTATTTTTTTTTATATTTTACCTAACAATTTTTTTCTAAATATTAAATATACAAACTCAACAACAAAAATCGTTGCAAAAAGGTCTCACTTTGAAAAATAACACTTAGATATGAATTATTAATTACGGCCCCTCAATGATATGTATTAGGTTTCTAAGATTTTTGACAAGCTCGTATCGCTTGCAAATCCTTAAGCGTAGTTTTTATTAAATTTCACCTATACCTACGTTTTTTTTTTAAATAAATATATCCCAATTTTGGGCATTGTTTAACTGAATAAATACACTTTCACTATTGCACACAAGAAAATAGCTTCTATTTTAAGTATGTGATTTTTGTGTCTTCAAAAATATTGCTTGCTCGTATGCAATAGTAGGTTTATGGCACAGACAGTTTTTGATGTATAAATTAATGGACAAACGTGCACACCCAAAATTTTGGTTTAATTTTTATTTTTCCTTTTGTATATAAAATTGCACAACCCTCTATCAGCATATGAGAGATATTTATGAGGAAATTATTAGAGTGTTCATTAGGCCTCATCGAATTAAACTCTGCACTTTTTTTGAAATTATTAGGCAAAGTTTAAAATTTAGTTAACTTATAAATAAACTTGTAACACAGACAACACAAAATAAATATCTTTTTTTTCTCACTCGAACATGTTTTTTTATAAATGTTCCATGTCCGAGTTTTTAATTCTTTTTTAATATTTTTTTAAGAACTTTTTAACTTGAAGCAAAAACAACTAACATTAAATAGGTACACTAACTAATAATTATAGAACAAATAGGAGAAGCCTTATTTATGTTAAATTTTTTGTCAATCATTTACTTATTTTTGAAAATTTCATGATTTTATACAACTGCTTAAAAATAAATCTTATGGACCCTGAGGTGAAATTGACACAGATCAGTTACAACCTTTCTTTAGATTTTGACTCAATTGAATATGAACAAAATAGAATGGTTAATAATGCGGAGCAATCAAAATGAGTAGGTACATAAAATATCACAGGAAAAATGCATAAACGGATGTTTTGTAACATTATTGAGATTCCCAACTTGTTTGTAACTATTTTAAAATCAAATTTTTTAAACAAATATTCTCGATTGAAGTGCTTTAAGTACATTGCCTAGTTTTTGAATTCATCAATCATTGTATTCCAATGTTGTGATGTCCTTTGTCATTTAAAGGCAGCAAAACAAGGACAGGCTGGATTTTAAGGAAAATTTCCAAGAACAATTATTATTGAGGATAAGTTTGGTACAAAATATTGTGGGTTAGTTTGTGGAGATTAATTGAGCTTCAAGCCTGCTTGAGCAAGTATAAATTAATCTTCAGTTTGAAAAATAATGACAAAAGATCCCTTCTGTTCTTCTTGTCAGGCACGCTCACCTGATCTTACATGCATAAATTTGACTGCCTCATGAAATTTAAAATGGAAGTCCAAAGCTTTTTAAAAACAAACTACTCCAAAGTTGTAGATGATCAACAACTATGTTCATTACAAATCTGTCAAAAACTAAATAAAACCCAAACAATCTTGTACCAAACCTAAACTGACAAAAAAAACAAATGGATCTAATACATTATCACAGTACTAACACTGATAGTAGGATCCGGTCCCAAACCAACCGGTAGTACGCTGTTCAACATTTTAGTTCTTACCAGTTCTTCGTAAGATTTTGTTATGATGTTTTTAATATGACGGAATGCAGCTATGTCGTATACTGAACGAGCAGTATTAGTGAAATCGAAAGGTTCTTCAATGCAAAGGTATTTCCATTGGTTATGGTCGTTTTTTGGAGCTTTGACTTGTTTGCAATCCTCAATTAGAAGACGGCCTCCAGCACGTACTGATATGGCAAATTGATTAAAATCAAAATCAGAATAGTAGCCATAGAAACCTTAAAGAAGAAAATCGTGGAACAATAAAATTGAAGCAAATCGGGTAACTTACCAATTAACAACTCTGCCAAAGACTGAGTATTAAAAGATTGAAACTCGTCCAATGATGACAAATCTTCATGAACATCAGTAATTTTACTTGTAACCGCATTGAAATGATCTGGATATAACGTGTGTAGACATGGGACAACGGTTGGAGAAACACCACCTAAAGGAAAAAAAAAGTATTTCAAAAACTATCCAAATACTGAATCTGATAGTCAACTAACATTGCAAATAATGAATAACCATCAGAGTCCAAGAATAACTGGAAACAGTCAAATTTTTAGCATCGTTAATACCATTAGCTTGCGCCCATATTTTGATCATAATCACCAAAGGTCTGACCCTCCAATCGCAGCGCGCGTAACAATACAAAAGATGAGTATTATAAATTCCCACCGAATTGTTACAATTCAAATCAACCTCAAAACCTCTGGATTGTTCTCGAAATTTTAAAATGGGTACTTTAGCCATTATGAGTTCGGAATGGACGATAAAACCGTACTTTAAAAGATGATTTTTAATATGATGAAGCTGATTGAGTGAATCTAAACGTGGATCTTCAGTGCAAGGTCTTATAAGTAGACACATATCGATGTCGCTAGAATTTAATCCAAACCCTGTCATTGTTGAACCGACAATATATAAAGCGTAATGGGTTAAACATCTCTAAAAAATAATGATTAGTAACAGAAAATATGAAAAAATTATAATTACTCTAATGTATAAAAACAATTCTTTCCATATTTGAATTTTATCCTCGTAAGTCTCAGGTTTCTGGGATTTGCTTGTGAAAACATCATATATGGCTTCACTGAGGTCGTCGTATGGTCCTCCATTTAGCAATTGAGAGGGACTTGGATCAATTTTTAGTATATCGGATCTGGATCTGAATCTATGAGTTTTGAAGTCTGAGTAATAGGGGATATATTATAGAGGGATAAATTACTACCTATGAGAAAGACCGTGAGCTCTACGAATCATCGGATCGTTGCTAGTTCTGTAGTAATTATTCAAATGCCGCTTACGTTGTTCTCTATGATTAGAGTTGGAATGATTATTTTGTTGATTAGAGCTAAAATAATAATTTTGAATAAATACATTTAATACATTCTTACATTTATTTATCCAAAAGTATTACAAAAATGGAGTTTATAATAAGGGTAAACAGTGTAATAAATGAATAAGTAATACAATAATACTCATAGACAAATTTGTTGAGAAAAAAAGATCTGGGAATGATTTCAACAAAAGAGCAATAGCAGACACAGTCACTAAAACATACAATAAAATACCTAGGTCATGCAAAAAGAACAATACAAAACATTGAATTACATATATCTAGTTCAAAAACAGAAAGCTTTAAAAGTAATTACATAATATAAGAACACGAAGTAGTTCCCTGATTTGCTCTTGAGTTTCTTTTTTGTGCGGCTTCAATTATGTAGAGATGTTAGAAATTACAATCATCTGAGATAGATGTTATGTACCAAAATATAAAAAAGGTGTTATTGAATAAGGGTCTAGAATGGTTTTCATACATGATGTTTTGTTTTTAGAAATATTTTGGTGAAAAAATTTATAAATGTAGAAGTGAAGTCATTCAGAGTAATTTGCTGCCATTCGGACATCATCAACAAGCAGATGAATTTATCAAATTTGGATGGAACCGCGCGAGAGGTATATCATCTACTAAATGCGCTTCTGGAAGAGATGTGTGTTCATAAGCGCCGGAATTTCGAAATTACTATGGGGGCTCGGGCTCCAAAAATTAATATAAGTAGAATCAATTATGGCCATTTGCACAGCTATCACTTAACTATCACTTAAGGGATATTCAATCTAAGTGGAGCTTTGAATGTGACTTTTGTTTCTACAAGAGTCACATTCAAAGCTTCACTTGGATTAAATATCCTTTAAGTTATAGCGGTGCAAATGGCCGTTAGACAGACAGGACTAGGCTACTAGACACATAGACTTAAATGGGACCAGTTGGCAGATACCCATTTCACTGCAGGATCGCTACGCTGGATCATTGATCGTCCCTGCAGGTCCGTGCATATTATTAAAATTCGTACATCTTCGGCTGCTCGGCTATACTCGGCTTTAGCAGTACCATTGGCGTAGCCAGGATTTTGCCTTGGGCGAGGGGAAATTTGCAGGAAGTGATCCTTGCAGCTTTGCCGCAAGGGCTACAGGAGGAAAAGTGCCGCAGGCGCGAAATTTTTCGGTCCTTTCACGGTATTTTTGGGACTTCTAATGGCGGGGATACGGCCATTTAAACAAATTTTGATAAGAATTTATAGTAGAACGTTACTTATATTATAATGTATGTATTTGAATATTCACGTAGGACTTGAATTGATTCTTTGTTGATTTCAATTTGGAATTATTAAAAAAATTTAAAGGCCTTTGGGGGAAGGGGGCAAATACCATCTCGTCCCGTTTCCTGGCCACGTCAGTCGCCAGTGGGCGGCACCGGTTCGATTCGCCTTAACCAGGAACAACCTAATTCGTCTTATATATCAAAGCTTAAACAGGCTAATAATGGGGCTGTTCTGATTGGATGTGATAACAACGAGGATATTAAGGTAAAAAAAGAACAGATAACTACAGAACTAGGTAATGAATATCATGTCGAAATACCTGCACTGAAGAAACCAAAGTTCTTGCTAATATTTATAATGAAGAGGTGAGAAGATAATGATGAAGAAGTTGTACCAGAATTATCAAACATAATAATTTGGAAGCTAACGAATCTGATATCAAGATTTTTTTTTGAAAACACAAGTGTTTCGCCGCTCCAACACACTGCTAATTACTCATACCACTCATATTATGAGTTGTATTGCTCTGACACGGTCAGATTTACGCAATACTTGGTGGTTTTGCTTTGTTAAGAAAATGAAGAAACTCGAATTCTCTTTCATTGGGTACTATCGGTAATTGCAGACTGGTTTCGGATTTGTTATGTCCTCGTCAGTGCGGAAAGCACACCAACTCAGAGAAACAGTTTTGCAGAGGCAAGATGTCGATAAATACTTGACAGTGTATCGAATTCAAGTTATTAGAGGATTTTTTTGGAAAACACAAGTGTTTCTCCAAAGCTCCAGAACACTGCTAATTACTCATACTATGAGTTGTATATATATATTGTATATCTGTTCGATTAAAAATAACTAATAACGCAATAATTTTATTTCAAAAAATGGCATGTCTGTAAAACCAAATTTCAGGAATCGACAATACTGTGAAAAATCCTTATTATCCCAGTATAAACCGCATCTTGTTACCGTTTTTCGTTTTCAAGATATTTAGCTGCAAAATTTGTCAGTTTATCTAAGGACACCCTGTAGCAGGTTGCCTGATCACTTTATGACGTCATATGGGGTGCCTCAACATTAATCTGTTCTCAACATAATGCAAATCTCCATAAGGTATCCCAGATACATCATCAAGTTACCCATTACGATGCAGACAACCTATTAACTTTAGGAACCTTGAGCCTGTAGTATGAATTCAGCTGCCCTACATGCAATATATGTTTAATTTATTGTGAATGGGACTTTAGATGAAGTACCTATTACTCTACTCTACTGATTGACAGTTCATCCTTGTTTAAGTTACACAAAATGACAAAGATAGCATTAAATCAGTGTGTAGTTGTGCAACAATTAACAAATAAATACGTCAACTCTCAAAAAAAAAAATTGAAGCTATTTGACGTTTATTTCAAAGTGACTGATACAACTTCAAATCCCATTTCATTCAATTTGAATTTAAACATGACCCAAGAACTCCTACTCGACCCCCAAATCAAAATGTGGATACTCTGTTCCATGGTTTTAGTCTTTTATCTGGCCGAAAACTTAACATATTATCTGGTACTTCTTTTTGGTGATGAAAGAAAATTGTCACTCGCTGAAAGACAGGACCGAGATGCTAAAAAAAGAGTGATTTTGCTCCAGAAAAACTATAAATTTATCCCCAAGCATGTAAGAACTAATATTAATTTGCCTTATCAAAGTGTATAAGTAAATATCCTATTTTTAGGCTTTCGAAATTCGTAAAGCCGCATTTCATTTGGAGACAGGATTTGTGGACAATGCCACCATGGTGAAACCCAAAACAGAACTACTACCATATCCAGCAAGTCACTGGGCGGGAATTGTAAATTTTGTGAAAATGCAATTTTGCCACCATTTGCCTACAATAATAGTAGCTTCTTCTGCGAGCTTTGCTTTGAGTGGCTATATTTGCCTCAGGGTAAAATTAAAGTATGTAGTTTAAAAGAATTTGAAAAAACTACTTGCAAAATTTCAGGTTCCGTTTCCTCTACCTGTGGCATTTAAACCCATGCTGCAACGTAATCTCGATCTGGAAAATTTGGATCCATCATGGGTGTCTTCTTGTTCGTGGTACATACTCAACGGCTTCGGGATACGATGGATTTTGAATTCGTTTTTTAACAGTCGCGGAGACCGCTTCATATTTCCTGATATGTTTGACATTGGACCAGCTAACAAAGGCATCTCTAAATCGGATTATAGGGATGATTACAATAATTTGCAGACAATTTCGTACGAGAATGGATTGGAGGAGATTGAACTTGATAATCTTGACTAAATTGATTTTTATTGAAATTTTCTTAGACTATATTATTTTTTGGCGGTAGTGAGTGAGTGAGTTAAGTTCGCCTTATTTTCTTGTGATTTATTTATTTCGAACAGAATATTCCGTATTATCTGAGCTTACGGTACAATACATTTCAGAGCATCAAAGGTTTTGTTTGTGGTTTAAAAATGAAGTACTTAGAGTTTTTTTGGCTCTAGATTACTGAATATTGTTGTTTATAATCACATTCTCCTAATTGCAAAAATAGACTGTGAGATAGGGGCTGTTTAGTGGAGTCATTTTTTTTTGTCTGCTATTTTTAGGGCTGAATGTGGCTACTAAGCTGATGAGAATATGGGTGATTTTAATGCCTGCCTCCCGTTCGAAAATTTGCAGAAGAAAAAAAATTGATTTACATGAGGATTTTTTTTAATGATCTCAAATTTTTTGGCTTCTAAATAAAAGATTGACATCGATAAATAATTCACCCATAAAAAATACCAGATGCTTTTCAATAGCTGAAAAAGTGGGGATGAGTGTCAACTTCCAAGAGAAAAGAAAAGAACCTTCCGCGTTTACTTTTTGTCTAGTAATGGAGAGAATGGCAGGTTTTGTTGTGAAAATATCGCTGAAAAATCGCCAGACGGTACCTAATCCCAGTTCGAAGTCGAGTTTTTCGGCGAAACATTCTGTGGACATTTCGAACAGGTGGCAGGCATTAAAACCACCTATATTCTCATCAGCTAACTAGCCATATTCATCCCTCAAAATGCCAGACAAAAAAAAATGACTCCACCAAACAGGCCCTATCTCAGGGTCTAAAAGGAGTAAGTTTGGGGTATTCAGCTTTTTTGGTGAGGAAATCATTTAGTCTAGGAAAATAGTCGAAAAATACATGTATTGCAAAAAAAAAATTCCTACCCAAATGAACTTTTCAGGGATGATAGGGGGCGGGCGGGTGATCATAAAACCGAAAATATCAAACATTCACCCCTCTGGCGTTTTGCGCTATGGGGGTTGAAAGTACGCCATTGGCGATTACTTGGTACCTATTGATTCTATAAAAAAATGTTTCAAATAAAATATGTGCAACATTATTTGATCTACAATGTTTATCTGAAGACTTTTTTGATTAAGGGCCGTCTGTGGTCATAAGGGCCGTTTGAAATTTTATAATGAAAATGGAAAATTTTAACCAACGTGAAAAATTTTTCTACAACACATACAACATTTTTGCTTTATGAAGTTTTTACTCACCCCCTGCCGTTTTTCAATAGGGGTAGTTTAAAGTTTATTTATTTTTTCACAAAAAAAAATTCCTTATAAAAGTTTTATAAGATTACATTTCCTACAATTTTTACCAATCAACTTTTTTTGTAACTCACCCCCATTCAGCGGGGAGACACTTCCCTTAGGGAAATTTTAGTTTTTAGGGGTATATATTAATTTTTTTTCTCTTTTCTCGCCTTTAGTGCATATAAAAAGGTGCAATTAACATTGCACTAAAAGGATTTTTTTTCCACCACCTTTTCGTTTTTAGGGGTAGTTCGCCTATTTTCAACTTTGCAAAAAAAAGTTATAGAGAAAAGTTGCTCAAAATAATAAAATGAACAAGTTTTCTCAATAAATTTTTTTTGTAAAGTTGAAAATAGGCGAACTACCCCTAAAAACAAAAAGGTGGTGAAAAAAAATCCTTTTAATACAATGTTAATTGCAACTTTTTATATGCACTAAAGGCGAGAAAAGAAAAAAAAAATTAATATATACCCCTAAAAATTAAAATTTCCCCGAGGGAAGTGTCCCCCCGCTGAATGAGGGTGAGTTACAAAAAAAGTTGATCAGGAAAAATTGTAGGAATTGTCATCTTATAAAACTTTTATTAAGAATTTTTTTTTGTAAAAAAATAAAAAAACTTAAAACCATAAAGCAAAAATGTTGTACGAGTTGTAGAAAATTTTTTCATGTTGGTTAAAATTTTTCATTTTCATTATAAAATTTCAAACGGCCCTTATGACCACAGACGGCCCTTAATCAAAAAAGTCTTTGGATAAACATTGTAGATCAAATAATGTTGCACATCTTTTATTTGAAACATTTTTTTGTAAAATCAATAGGTACCAAGTAATCGCCAATGGCGCACTTTCATCCCCTATAGCGCAAAACGCCAGAGGGGTGAATGTTTGATATTTTCGGTTTTATGATCACCCACCCTACCCCTATCATCCCTGAAAAGTTCTTTTGGGTAGGATTTTTTTTTTTGAAAATCAACAATTTTCCTAGACTAATTAGATTTTCCCATTTTATGTTAAGGAAGTTGAAATCTCCCAATATAGAAATGTTGGAATATTACTAGTAAAGGCAGTTTCAATTGGGTATTTATTGGCTTACTCATTTGTAGTGTTTCCTTGCCTGTATAAGCATGCTACCTCGCATGCTACAAAGGACCTTTCTCATTTTACCTGTGCTGCGCGCGCAGCTTGTGGGTGACAGATAATAAAATTGTCAATTGAAGGAACGCAGTTTGACCTTGACGTTTTTAAAGCTAACCTCAATAATCAATCAATATTGCTGAAAATTATTACAAAAACTGTTTATTATACAATGGTTCAAATGTGTTGTGTGAGATCTTGTCAGAGTAAGGTGAAAAAGAAGTCAAACCTTTCTTTTCACAGGTTCCCAAGCAATAAAATTTTAAGAAAACAATGGTTACATGCTCTCAGCCTGACTGAAGACGATTTAAGTTGGAACAGAGATTTGAGGGATCGCATAATAACAATTTCTATATCAAATACAATAATAATTGAACAATTAAAGGTTTGCTAGCACTTGCAAATTCGTACTTCTCAAACTTCTCTAAACTTTTCCCCCACATATTTGTCATTTTTTATATTTAAAAATAAACAAAAACAGAAACATAACCGAAATTGCACAATTTGACAAGTGGAACCAATCATAGTCATTCCACACAGGTATTGCAAGTCATTAAATATGTCTCTTTCTTTATTGCAGAAATCTTAATAAACTATCCTTGTTGTTCATTGCATGAGAAAGGTCCATTGTTTTGTTATTTGTATATGTAGCCAAACTGTATCTATTGGCATAAATGATATGTATTTTTCCTACGAGCGTGCGCAAAGTAGTACTTTTCCGCACGCATTTCCGGGCTCAAAGTTACACTTTTCCGCACTCAGTGCGGATACAGGCCTTATCCGCACTGAGTGCCGAAAAGTAATTATAATTGTCAAGCAACAATAAGTGCACCTGTCGACTTTGACACATGATGACAAATTTTTCCTCTATTTCTATATCAGCCAACATCTATACAAACACCAATTATAAATTAACTTTGACACATCAGATTTGTTCTCTATTTATATGCAAAAATCTACAAACTTTCTCATCAAATTTAAACGCTTTAAGACGAACAGCTCTGACCAGGATTTTCTGTTATTTTTTTTGTTATGTAATTTTTTGATAAATGCATAGTTTCCCTTCAAGTTAATTAAAAATAATTAAACAAATTATCGTTTTTTTTTTTAAATTTTTGTTATTACCTACCTGATATGAAGCTCGTAGGAAAAATTTTGTTCCTAACACGTGCGCAAAGTGTCTTTTCCGCACGCAAACACGTATCCGAACTCCGCTTCGCGTCGTTCGTATAACTGTGTTTGCGTGCGGAAAAGTAACACTTTGCGCACTTGTTAGGAAAATAACTATTTCAGAGATCTCACTTGATGTCCATCTACTTTATTTTTATAATAATAATAATATTAATATATATTTATTTAGCACTTGGCTAATTTAAATTACAATTTACATTTCAACAATAATAATAAACGTTTAACTGCATAAATAAGAACATAGTTGTCTGACAAAAATGCTTAAACTAGGAGAGTCTTTTACATGGGTCGGTAGACTATTGAAATATCGTAGTCCATCATAAAATAGCGTCTTTTGTAATTTTGTTGTTCTAGCTCTACTAATATTGTAATGATCTTTTGTGCGAGTGTTGTAGTTATGAAAGAGAGATCGTTTTTCCAAGTACAAACTTAAATAATCTGGCAACAAGTTGTTTTCAATTTTATATATTAATATAAGGTTTGCCTTTTTAATGCATTGTTCTATATTAAGCCAGCCCAAGGAGTTTAACATATTCTCAATTGAAGTATATTTACTACAATGCAACAAAATTCGCATACATTTATTTTGCTGCTTTTGAAGTTTTTCAATTTCTTCACCTGTGACGCAAATACATGCTCGAACTCCTCTTTGGTTTGGACGATAATTTCCAAAGATACCTAGATTTATAATGCCGTTAAATACTTTCCATTCATCAAGTTTATTCATCACTGCTGTAACAAAACGAGATTTCAACCACCTCCACCTGATTTATTAGTTTTTTTGAACCTTTTCCAATATTTTGGGAATATCATTGACATATTTTATTATTAAGTTTGACTGCCCTTAATCATCTGATTTATTTTAAATATAAATGGAGAAATGTCTTCCTTAATAAGTACATATTATGATATTTTTTGAGTAAAAAAAAGCTGAATGACCTAAACAGCACACAATTTTAGTAAAAAAAAGATTTGATTATGGTGCAACGACGCAAGGAAGATACCTACCTGTTACATCTATTATATGGCACATAGAAAGAAATACCTTCTGAAATATTTAAAAGATACAACTGATGTTATTTTACTGTACCATGTCCCATAGTATCCAAATCAGCACAACTTTTTAACAAATTACCAAAACCATAACAGCACATGCAAATATTCCATTTAGCCAACCACCGGAACATGCATTGATGGATATAATGGATAACATAAGTCATGCAAAATAGAAAAACTTACCGATTTTTACTATAATGCCCATCATTGTTGTTATTGTAATTGACATTGTTATTATTATTGTTGTTTCTGTAGTTGTTATTATAAGAAAAATGCATGTTAATATTTGATGGTTGATGGAAATTGGCATTAGAAAAAATATCCGATGATAAAGAGTACTTCTCAAACATCAAAGCTTGGTTGTTTATGTGAGTGAATGTTGTTCCTGGAGTAAATTTTAATACTGAAAAACCAGTGCTAATCAAATTAAATTGGAACTGAGTCGAAGGATTATTTTTTTAATTTATTACTGTACGCAAAAAAGATTAAACATAAAATCTTACCATCCTGTCCAGGTGAGGGAGAATTCCTGAAATCAAACTGTGGCATATCTTCTTCAATGCTAGGTGATATAGGTTTATAAAGTTCCAAATTATGTTTTCTTTCCTTCCGATCATTTTTTGTAATTTTGAAGCTCAATTCTGTATGTGCAACTATCTCATCTTTAATTTCTAACTTGTTATCGCTTATTTTTAAATCTCCCTTATCTTTTTTATTCTTTCTAGTACCTTTTTTATCCTGTGTAGATATAGAATCAAAAAACATAGTTCCATTCATTATGATTTTAAATTAAAATTTGTTTAAGGTTGCACTATAATTCTAGCCTAAAATGCTTCTGGTATGTACTTCTAGCACTGATATCTCATTTTAAATTCGGGTTTTTTTGTTTAAATGATATGCACTAAAAAAAAGTTTACAGAATGAAGCAGAAAAAATTTACATAGGATATGAATGGGCAATAGGATTTTTTTTTTTTTGGTTTTAAGAATATTTTAAACTGAAAACTTACGTGACAGTTTATGCTTTAGACTTATAATGGTACTAGAAACATGCACGAGAACATTTTGACCTTTATTTGCACTAAAAACTGAAGATTTTTACATAAAAAGTATAAAGCAAAAATATTTTTTGTTGATTTATTTCTATTGACAGGCTTGGCTTGCCGTAGAGGGCCGCGCTTTGATTTGACATTTCGAGTCCTCCCTACCTTTTGACATTACGATTGCAATGTTGCCAAGAATATTTCCGATCAACCGGGCCTAGAGCAGAAAACACACTCTTTCCAGCGGTTTTAGCTTAGTTCGGTTTGGGCTAGAGTAAAGAGAGCGCTAAAGCCTACTCGAACGACTCGGAACTATCCTTGCGTTGGGTATTTTGCTCAAGGAACAGAGCGGAGCCGTAATCATGTGACCAGCGAGCAAACACCACCAAGTACACTTTTTGAATAAACGAACGGTAAATTCAAGATCGGAGAACTCAGATCAAAGGCGATTTTCAGCCTGGAATGATTATTTATCGGTAAATACCGCGGTTATTCTTCTGGTTGACAACTTTGACAGCCAAGTGTGACGTCATAGCCCCCCACCATTCAAGAATCATAACCCAAGGAATGACCGCTGAAATGATTTGGTTATAGCAGTGTAGGATTATGTTTATTATTCTTATTTGTTTTTTCGTTTCAACAATAGTTTTTTGTTTAGGTACAAAAAATGGAGCTGAATTTCTCGTTAGTCTCGTTTATCAAACAAATTTTCTTTGGGGATGATATAAACCTCGATCTAAACATGGTGAATTGCAGTGAGTGAGTGAATGTATACTTCTTTCATTGTGCCAGGCTACAACGCAACTGCAAAATCACAAAACACCAATACAAATTCCAAAAATAATAACAATAACATCAAAAAGCTGTAACCAAAAGATTAACCCAAGTCCAAAGCTGGGTTATAATCGGTTATAAGTGGTAAATACCAAAAGCAAATCAGCTGATATGTGACGTCACAACTTCCCCTACTTTGGTTAAAACCGCGACGGCGGAAATGCATTGGTTATAACAAAATAATAATCATTCCAGGCTGAAAATCGCCTCAAAATACCGAACGCACGGTATATAAGCCGCTTTGCAGCTGACGCTTTTGAGCAATCGAGCTTTTGCTCCCTTAGGGCGGGTATTATAAAACTGCTTTGACAGTTAACTTGAAGTTAACTTTTTGAATTACATGTAATTCCAGAAGTTAACTCACAAAGTAGTTTTATAATAAAACAAAAAGTTAACTTCAAGTTAACTGTCAAAGCAGTTTCATAATACCCGCCCTTAGACTGTCAATATGACAATTAAAAATCAATGGAGAATTGCGGTGTTTTTCTGTGACAGTTGAGTAGTTGACAGTTTTGTGAAATGTTCATACTTCATTGTGTGTTTGTTATGTTTATTATTTTAATATTTTTATTTCCAATTTCCATCGATCATTCCATACTCTTGGAATGTGCTGGTTGTATATTATAATGTTCCAAATGGAGCCAAAATGATGTACATGTTTAAATGAAAAAATAGTGAAAATAGTCAAAATGTCCTGTAATTACGCGGAAGGTCTTTCCGAATATGAAGATAAAGGAGTTTTAGGTGTACCTGAGGTAAAGCAAATATACATCTTTTAAAAATTTAATATACTTACTTGTATTTTAAACGAATTAATCATAATTATCATGTCATATTGTAAAGTTTCTGTTAATAATGCCCTCAATTCATTCAAAAAGCAGAAATGTTGCTAAGTTTTCTTTGATCTTTGCCACCGAGTATTGAAATCAGCAACTTTAACTGAAAGTACTTTCCTTTCTGTTACCAAAGACAATAAATAGTTGTATTCCTTTCCTTTTAAGAGTTTAGAACACTAGAGCTACTCGCCCCGGTGTTAGTCGACCCCGGTTTGAAAGGAACAGATGCGCTGGCTTTCGTGCATTTAAATGGTTTGAGTAGGGCTTGAGCATTTCAGATGCAACAAACGCTTTTCAAAAGGAATAAGTGCGTTTGGCCCCGAAGCTGTTCCAGAGCTCCTCCTAGGTGTGAAAGGAATACAACTATAAGGGAACTTTCGGAAACAGGTTTCAGAAACAAACAATACAGAGTGTTCGGAATAACTAGAATTATATGGGGCTTATGGAAAGCATTAAAGATTCAGGGTGGACCAAATGGGGAAAAAGTTGCGCCTCGAGTTGCACAATCAAGTTGCCTTCAAATAATCTGTCATCAACTTCTGTGAACTTCTTGATTGTATCTTTTATCATAAACAAGATATGAAGAATTTTATCAAACACATTCTTTTCTTTTTTGCCTTGTAATCTGTAGCTATTACGAGTTCAAAGAAGCTGATGACAGATTATTTGTAAGCAATTGATTGCGCAACTTTTTCCCCATTTGGTCCACCCTGTATCTTCAATCGTTTCCAAAATCCCCATTTACTTCAAGCTTCAAGTTATTTTAGCCATCCAGTATACTCAATGTTCCGATGATTCATAACTATCATTTCATTGTAGATAGTGATGTAAAATTCCCGAAACATTCAAAAGCCGCGAACATTCTCGGAAACTTTCCGGGAATATTGGAAACTTTTGGAAACTTATGGAAATATTGTTTTTTTCGAGGTTTTTTTCTTTTTTAATTTATAGCTGAATCAGGTAAATCGTAGTAAGCTTTATTCACCTATTATTGTAGTGTACTGACTAAAGACTATAAACCAAGAAAAACACCTATTTTTTTCTGTAAGATCAACTAAAAATTAAACTATGTAGTGAAAACACTTTTATGGACGGTTGAATAAGGCTTTAAGGAAAAGCTGATCCGAATAACCCAATCTCTCAGCTCTTTATTTTTTATTGTTCTTCAATGAATGATGATTATAAAATTCTTCTGGAAAGTTCTTGGAAATATTCTCAAAAGATCTCGGAAATATTCTTTTGAGAGTTTTTGATTGAAAGTTTCCGGGAATATTGTCATTCAGGAGAACGTTTCTATTTTCTATCGGCGAATATTCTCGGAAATTTCCCAATGTTCGTGAATATTCGCATGGGAATATTCTCGACTCACATCACTAATTGTAGACATAACTTAAAATTATGCAGCCTCACTTTAGGTTGTTTTTCTATTGAATAAAGAATGAAGGCTTTCACGGCCAGTCAAATCTAGTAAAAAAAAAAATTCTGGGCTATAATGCTGTGGTCCATTGATATTTCTACCTAACGTTTTGTCTACTGCTGCGGTGTACATGGAAATGGTTACTCCAAGCAGGAGATAAATAGAGCCATAAGACCGAAGCAACAGCGCACAAATAACAAGGAACCAGCACCGGTGGCAGGGAGAGCCTTTCTTCCCTATATCATAAATGTCAGATCGCATAGAACAAACGCTAGAAAGACACGACGTTAAGCCTATCTACAAGCCCAGAAGAACAATTCAACAAAGTCTAAGATCGGCCAAGGATCCTAGGGCACCTCTTGAAATGGCCGGCGTCTATAGAATTCCCTGCTCTTGTGCATCTGTCTATTAGTTGGAGAGCCAGCGCCAAAAAAGTGCAAGAGTTTCATGAAAGCTGAAAATTTAATATAAGCTTGTATTTGTGATGTATATAACTATACTCGAGTCAGCAAGTGAGGTAGCGGGACAAGCTACGCGCACGCACCTTTGAATGTGTAAAAAAATAATCGTGATGAAAGAGTTTCATGACAGCTGAAAATCTCTCAATCCATTGTTTATTTGATAAAAAACATAACGGACATGGTCAGATAGCATTATGTTAGGACAACTAGAGTCAGCATGCCTATACAGGGTGGTCCATTTAACTTGAGACAGTATAATATCTCGAAAACGGTGCGTTTTTGAAAAAAAAAAGTTCAAATAAAAGTTACTTGTTTTTTTCTGTAGAATAAGATTCGGTAATAAAAAAATATGTTTCCATTGAAAAAAAAAGAGTTGACCTTGAAATAACCTTGAAAACGTTGTCAAAGTCAAAAATCAGTACCGCCATTTTGTTTCCCCTATGATACCATGTAACTTTTATTTGAACTTTTTTTTTTCAAAAACGCACCGTTTTCGAGATATTATACTGTCTCAAGTTAAATGGACCACCCTGTATAGGCATGCTGACTCTAGTTGTCCTAACATATTGCTATCTGACCATGTCTGTCATATTTTTTATCAAATAAACAATGAATTGAGAGATTTTCAGCTGTCATGTAACTCATCGCGATTAATTTTTTACACATTCAAAAGTGCGTGGGCGTAGCTTGTCCCGCTACCTCACTTGCTGACTCGAGTATAGTTATATACATCACAAATACAAGCTTATATTACATTTTTGTGCTACCCATTCTGTAAGTTGACTTTTTTGACCTACGTCCATGAACTGTAAGTGTCACTTACAGTCCGGGTCAAAAGAGTTACTTTTTTGACCGGGCCAAAAAAGATACTTTTTTGACCGGGTCAAAAAAGTGTTGATATGAAAGGTGAAAATTGTTTGGTTCATATGTCTGTCAAAATAATGTCACAAAAAAACTCGACTTCCCAAATAGAAAACCCAAAACAAATTAAGGATACAATTTTATTGAAACAAATGGAAAATACCTAGACGTCAAAAAGTTTAAATTAGCAGAAACAGATAGGTAATAATATAAATAGTTATATTTGCGAAGACGATCCCAAACTAACCCTGAACGCTAAGGTAAGAATCACACCATAAAAAGCCATTAATATTGTTTCATATCAATGGCTTTTCATGATGTGATTCTTTCCTTAGCGTTCAGGATCAGTTTGGGAACTTCTTCGCGAACAAAGCAAATTCATGATATTTGTTATCTTGAATGTACGGTAGCACAAAAAATATCATATGCACCTCGACTTGTAGCGTGTACTTTTTTGGCCTCAAATGCTTGCAAACCTCGGCCCTATGGGCCTCGGCTTGCAAACTGCATCCTCGGCCAAAAAAGTAACACTTACAAGCCTTGGTACATAAATAACTATTTCAGCTTTCATGAAACTCTTGCACTTTTTTGGCGCTGGCTCTCGGACTATATGTAGGAACAACCAAACGCTCTATCATCACCAGGGTCAAAGAGCACAAAAGACACTGTCAGCAGGGACAAATGATAGATCAGCAATTGCCAAACACGTACTTACACAAACAAACTATGTCATTCGTTTCGACCAGACTCAAGTATTGGATAGAACCAAACATTTTTACACCACAGAGAAGCCATAGAGATACAGAAACACCACAACAACTTCAACAGAAAAGAAGACGACATAAACCTTAAAAGCTTGTTGTCAGTTCTCCGAAAAACAAAGACCCTTCCTTTCCGAGAACGAGGCAAGGAAAATAGCGTAATGCAAGCCATACCCACTACCCTGGATATAAATAAAGCAGCTCCAACAACTTCGAATCCAGTCATCGGAGGAACACGGAGGAGAACACTTTGTCATCTACCACATCGCCTCTGAAGATGTCTACCGAAGCAGTAGACGAAACGTTAGGTAGAAATACTAATGAACCACGGCATTATAGCCCGGAAAAAACTGTTTTTCTATTCTGGCATCTTTATTCAACATTCCGAAGGATTTTTGTGAATGAACCGCTTTATTTAATATTAGGCTGATATCTGAGGTCCCTTTACCATTACATTTTTAGAAATTTGATTCCGAAGATGAAGTGCAAGAAAAATCCCTTCTACTAGCCAAATGGATTGGAGAGGCCAGTCATGTAGTAGTTCACACTGGAGCCGGTATTAGCACATCAGCAGGAATTCCAGATTTCAGGTAAACTATTCAAACCTCAAACTCGTAGTGTATATAATTATTATTTCCTCAGGGGACCAAATGGAGTATGGACCCTAGAAAAGGCAGGTAAAAAGCCAGAAATCAATGTTTCATTTAACGAAGCAATACCAACAAAGACACACTTTGCCTTAAAGCATTTAGTTGAAAAACAATATGTTCATTACATAGTAAGCCAAAATATTGATGGGTTGCATTTGAAAACTGGCCTGCCAAGAACCTATCTAGCTGAACTACATGGAAATATGTTTATAGGACAATGTGATACTTGTGATAGGTATAATACCTAATAATTAGCTCTTTCAATTTAATTTCAAATACAATTCTTTTAGTCAATTTGTAAGAACCACTGCCACTAGTACTGTAGGTCAAAAATATTTGGGCGAATATTGCAAAAGAGATGTTAGAGGGCGCAGCTGTAGAGGTCAATTAAAAGACACTATTTTAGATTGGGAAGCAGGTTTGCCAGAAAATGATTTGGAAATGGCCGACTATCAATCTAGGTACAATTTTATTTTGTTGAAAACATTGCGAGACAATAAATTTTTAATTTTAGCTTAGCTGATATCAACATATGCTTAGGTACAACTTTACAGATAGTACCGAGTGGGAATTTGCCTTTAAGATGCAAAAAATTCGGAGGAAAATTAGTTATAGTTAATTTGCAGCCCACAAAGCATGTAAGTTTTTATTAAAAAATGCAATTTTGTATTTTATTTGATTAAATTTTAGGATAAAAAGGCTGATCTCATCATTAACACTTACGTAGACACTGTTCTAGAAAAGCTAATGAAACATTTATATTTGGAAATACCAGAATACTCGAGAAGTTTGGACCCAACTAAAAATCAATTACCAATATCTGTTGTCTGGTGGAATATTTCTAAAGAACAACTCAAAAAATATAAAAAACTATATGAAACAAAACAGAAAGAGTATAGGGAAAAGAAAAAAATAGAACCAAAATTCAATGGGCCGAAAAGAAAAGTCAAAATTAAAAAGGATGAAATGAAAGACGGGGATAGTTTGATAATCGACTTAACTGATGAGATTGAGCCAAAAAGAAATAGAATAAATGAAGAATGTCAAATAGACAAATTGGAAGATACCAAGCAACTTGAGAGAATAGGGAATACAATAATAAGACGAGTTTCCAATTGTGTAGATCTTACATTGACCGATACTGATGATGAGTTTGTAGAATAGATGTAAGAAAAATTCTCTCTATCATAATTTTAGATTTTGTGACTGATTTTTTTTAATTTACTTTTAACTTCAATTGGAGAAGACTTTACATAAGTTTTTTTATTTTTATGTTATTTGTTCTATTTTAAATTTTGTTAGATGTAAATTGTTTTTTTTTGCACATTCGGAAATTCAATGTATATAACCTATTCACAATCTTTAGTTCAAAGGTACAGGTAAATTTATCACCTTTCCCTATCAAATAGCATTGAAAGGTGATAAATTTTACCTGTTCCTTTGGACTACAGATTGTGAATAGATAATATCTTTGTTTTGGTTCGAAAAAAGGACGGTTCTAGAACGGTTCAAAACAATCGCACAGTTTATCAATCAACAAAATGACAAATGCTCGGCTATCAGAAATTCCAATATTAAACTGTGCGACTGTTTTGGACCGTTCTAGAAACATCCTTTTTTCGATCCGAAACAAAGCTAAATATTTTCATCTATCCAAAAGATTAAATTTCTGAAAAAATCTCAAGTCAGGTGTCCTAGCAATTAATGAATAAAAGTTTTAAATGAAAGCTTCACATGAAAAAGTTACCTAAAAAGTTACAGGTAGTATAGGCTACTTTTTTGACAGCCATAAATTCAACTTATAAGTAATAGTACTACCGAAAGTGCAAAAAATACTCTAGTATGACAGGACTAAAGTCAACTCTGGGAATAAATGTGTCCCTTGACACATAATATACTATTCTCTTGATTGGATAATACGTAATATAATATTTTTATATAAGTATGTAGTTGTGATATTCTTACTCTACTCTACATTAAAATATCAAGAAAACCACATTTTTAATAAATCCTGCGGAGTCAAAATTATTCCATACTTATCAATCAATCATGTTTATTAAATAAGCAATACATGTTTTATAACATAATAGTTAAGCCTTCAGTTACATTTAAAATAAGGTAAAAAAATAATAATAATAAAAATAAAAATTACACATGTACAAAATAATATTTGAATAAAACACATTACACATTGGTTCCTTTGAAGCTGACTAGCCAAATGAAACTTTCCAGTATTTCGATTCTCCCAATGTCCATGTATTCTTGGAAACTGTAGTGAGCACTGTGTGCCAGGAATCTTCTAATTGTTTCAGTGAATGAATCAAGATTCAGCTCTCTAATGACTTGTGGCAGTTTATCATAGAATGCTTTTCCTTGGTGAAATATCGTATTCTTGGCCTGTGAAAGGCTCAAGGTGTTGCTCTGTCGCCTACTGTAGGAATGCGTATCGCCCCATCTATTATGTAAACTGATGTTTGCATGTATAAAACGCAAGTTTTCATAAATACAAAGGTCGTATATGGTAAGGATCTTGAGCTCTCGGAAAAGTGGCTTACAATGTGTGGTCTGGCTTTTAATGCCTTTCAGGATATGTATGTCTCGCTTTAGCATTACAAAAATTAGTTCCATATTTGATGTTGTGGAGTATCCCCAAAGAATGATTCCATAGCGTACATGACTTTCAAATAGAGTGTAGTAGGTTTGCTTTTGCTGCTGTTGCGTAGTAGCTGTGGTATTTATTGCAAAAAAAGCTGAAGCCAACTTCTTTTTAATAGATTTATATGGATATCCCACCTAAGATCACATTTAAGCTTTATTCCAAGAAACTTATATTCACTGACTGCTTGTATATTGTCAACTAGACTTAGGAAAGGAGGGACTGGTATTCAATCCTATTAATTTGCAATTCAGCAATAAAATCATATAAATAGTGGGCCAAGCCAAGCAACAGATAGACTTGAACCACTGTTAGTACCGCCAACCTGGAAATGCCTCTCTGGGAAACTGTGTCTTCATCTAGTGCAAGTACCGCCACCCTGGGAAAGCGCCTGTAGATGAGGATCAGTTAAACATTGATGAACATTCAACGTAACATTGGCATTAAACTGGCATTCCTTCTTAAGTAGTGTCAAACGTCTGGTCTTTCCCACGGAAGAGCATGCATCCTGGAGGATTCATGACGTAATGACTTCATAGCAAATATACACCTTTTTATATAAAACTGATATCCAAAGCATTTTATGTGGCCCTTTTGAAAATAAGACGGAATCCCTTCACACTATGATCACCAATGATTAGTAATTGGGGTTTTCTGGAATATCGGTTTTGATTGGGGTTGTTGTTTTGATCTATTGACAGTTTACTTAGTATTTGGTCCTGTTTCTCTCTAATACAGCAGTTATTCACAGATATTTCCAGCAGTTTTTTGTGGATGCCAGTGATTTCTTCTGAAAATTTTCTACGTTGATCTTGCTTTAAGTGTTTTATTTTGGAATTCTCTGTTTTTGCTTTCTTTAGATCTGCTATAAAGGATTCATTTTCTTTGGCGAGGACTTCAAGGTCTTTGCGTAGGCGCTGATTTTCGTAGCTACATTCATTTATCTTCACTTGCAGGGCATCTTTTTTCTGTAGAAACGATACAATTTCCACATCTTGTTTTTTTATTTTCAATGTATAATCTTCAATCCGTTTTGCATAGGTTTCTTCTTGACTGAAGACTATGTCAGTAAATTCTTGTGTACTTTTTCTCTGCCTCTGGATGTAATTTGCCTTATGTGCATTTTCCTTTGTTAGTCTGTCATCTATATCTTCTTCATATTTGATTTTATACTTTTCAATCTCTTGATCCTTTGCTGAAAGTTTTTTCTTTAATTTTGTATTTTCTTCCAGTAGTATGGTATTTGGGTACTCTCCCTTTGTAGTTCAGAGAGTCGTGCCGAAGACACCAACGGTTTTCATGAAAATTTATTAGAATTTAATTTTCCCTGGAAAATCCGCTCTATTAAAGTTGGCGATTTTGTGAGGGGTCCATTTCTAGTATACACAAAGAGACTCCTTTATTGGAAATGTGATTTGATCTGATAAAATTAGAATTACTTTTGAGAATATGAGGCTGCAATGAAATGAAAATAATGATAATTTTTGGAATAATTTTTAAATTAAAAAAAAAAAAACTTTGCTAGAAGGAGGTAGATACCTACATTTAATTTATTTAAAAATATGTTTTCAATAATTATACGTGAACAAAAATGCGTTTTATTCCAACTTTCACAAAAGCCATTCAAAACTGACTAAATTGTTTTACAGTCTATCAAATCAACAATCTGCGCATGATTTTTGATTCAAAATTATTTTATAAAATAGGTGTTTCACCTCTGTTTCACTCACCGCAAATCAAAGATAGAAGGTTTTATTGTAAAAAGACAGAAATCTCAGTTAAAATTGTTGAATATTTTTTTACTATGAAAGAAGTGCTTCATACAAAAATGAGACATTTTCTGCTGGATTATAATATCCTATACTAAAATAAAATTTATTGCCAAAAAAAGTGGCATTGGTTAAGATTTGAAAAAAAACACTTAGCCTTGAAGTGAGACAAATTGCTGGAATATTTCTAGAATATGTGGGTCCAAATCCTGCGTAAATAACAAAGTTTCCAGTGTGGAACTGTATTTTTGGACTTGTTCATGATGCTAAAAAATCAAAATTTTAATAACAAAACACTTAATAATAATTAAACTTACAGCCAAAAATACTTGCTGAAGTCTTCCAATAGTCCACTTATACCAATGAGTGTTGTAGTCTCTACCGTCAGTATCGCACCTAACTAAATGTTCAGATAGGATCATGATAAAACGCTGGAATATAATCAAAAATAGATTTTTCTGATCGGCTTGTGCCGCTTCCAATTTTTCTTCCATTCTCTCGACAATTTCTTCGGAAGGTTTTTCTGCGTCGTCCTGTTTTTTCTTTTCATCGTCACTTTCACTATCACTAGATTCTTCAGCTCTGGCCAACTTTTCTCTAGCATCAGTTAATTCGCCTGTTAACTTAGTTACATGTCTATTCATCTAAAAACAAATTAGTTAGTTTTATTTATCATCATTCTAATCTAATAATTTCATGCGTGCCTTTCTGATAGTCAAATGTAAAATTTCCCAAATATAATTCTTAGTAAATTCGGAACTAATTTCTTTGGAAAAAATCCAATTAGCCACAGCTGAACATTCCACGATTTGAGTTTTCAACATTTTATCAACTAAAACGACCATCATTTGTTGATGATTGTGCCAAAGTTCAAACATATTACGCAAGATGCAAATTTGAGCTTCTTCAGAGTCAGCTAAAATCTATAAGAAGTTTATTAACAATACAGTTGAAATAATGTTGATCTCTACCTTAAACACGTAATGGAACTTCGAGATTGCAGCAAAACTGTGAGAAAAGCTCTTGGACCCCAAGTTCAGTAAAGTTTGCACGAAAACGTCAATTTTTAATGGATTGAATCTGCCGTCGCCTTCTTCGTCTGAACGTGGATTGGGCAAATCTTTAAGAACTGCCAAAACTTCCTCTGGAGTACATTTCTGCCTTATTGTTACTACAAGTTGAAGTGCGGCTGCAGTACCTGGGAGATTAACTGTAAAGGAAAATAAAAATACAACTAATAATAATTATTGTTCACATACTTTTTCAGGAATTTTTATCATCAACTGAATATGTTTATTATCCACGAGTTGAATCAACTGATCGAATAATATAGAAATTCAATTGACATGAAGGAAGCGACTTTGCTAATGTAAACTTAGCTTTAATTTTGCAATAGCTTCAAAGTTTTTTTTTTCTAATGCGGTAATGTGCAAAGTCTATATAAAATATGGAATTCAAGCTAAAACACAATCAAATATATTTTTGTGCCTGATATGAATCAGATGTGAACATAAGTTAGAAAGGTCTGAGGTCTCTCAGTTCTCAGTTAGATGTTTCTGCAAACAAATCTCTAAATATTATTTCGGTCAGTTAAATTCCTGTCTTAAGCTCATACCTGTCTCAAAATAAAGTTTTGTGAGTAAACTCGCATTACAATGGGTAACAAAAATCGTGTTCAAACAAACAAAATGTGTGGAAATTAATTAGCAAAGAAAATAAAAAATGACATAATCAATGCACTGAAACAATAAGATGTCTTAAAGTGATGCAATTTCAAGTCGATAACCGATCTAAGTTTTGTGCAAGGCAAACGCCATAAAATAGAGAAAGTCGATGAGTAAATGTTTGTGTAGCTATAATTATTTTAACAGAAGCTCCTTTATTGTAACAAATCTCAAACGTTTATACCAGCTAAATACTGAGAAAATAATTCCGTTGCTTAAACAATCATAAATAAAATGTATTGAGCAATTGAGTAGAAAATCTCCATAAATAACAGAAATTCTCGCCAAGCTATATGATTACCCATTTAAAGAATCATATCTCCTGACATTGACTTGGTTTTTTAAAGACTTAATTTTATTCATTAAAGTTGTGCAAAATGTAAAGCAATCTCCTGTGTGCTGCTCAAGAAGCCAAGATTCCACATTATTGTTTGTTATTTTATTAATAATGGTTTTAAATACTAGAACTTGCATAATGTTTTAAATTGATGCTAACCTGAGCATCAATTTTCTTCTTTTTTTTTTGTCAATAAACTGCAGTTACAAGCATAAGACATAAAGACATAAAACGGATTATATAATATTCATAAATCAGATATATTACTTTCTTAAAAACGCATCAAAGTTTGTCAACCCCTCGGGCAATTTATCCATTCAGAAAGCAATAAAAGCGTCAAATCTATGCTATTATGGTGCGTTGGACTTGTACTTTCAAAATCCTCTACCGTGACTTGAACTGCTATTATGGCCATAGTAAACGATGAAAGTGTCGACATGAACTATTTTTTAGTTTAGATTATTATCCGCAAATGATTTTCCGTAGTTTTAATTACGGTTAATTCTAATGGCTGGCGAAACGATTTGTTTCGCTTGCAGGCAGTAATTTTGATGAGTATTATCGGAGAACACGAGAACAAAAGCAATTTGATTTTCATCGTCAGAATTCTAATTTAAAGAAAAAAAAATAGCAAGTATATACGATCTGCTAGAAATCAGACCACAAATTGCCTAATTTTTATTCACATATGAGGCTTTTTTTTCCAAACATTGACTACCGCCCATGAAACAATCACCAAGTTATCTTGTCGGTACAATCTTACCATTCTTGGGAAATCTACATTGAAGTTTCCTCCTTTATCTTTTGTTATTAATATGATGTGTGACCATAGTCTTCTATTGTTGATTTGAACAAACAAAAGATCCGATCATAATAGGATTTATGAATACATACCTATATGGTGATTTATTTGATAATTTATATTGCTTATTTTCGAATATAGCAAAAATACAAGTTACTTGTAAACGTCAGCTAGTTTTTTATATTCCCTAATCTTATTTTTTATAGGAAGTTAACAAGGATAAGAAAAACAATTTAAATAAAAGTTTTCATGTGTAAAATCACGATAAAAGGTTATCAACCGCCGGTAAAACGCATTTCCCATGCAACCGTAGAAAGCAAAATGAAACTAAAAATAATAATTAAATGAATTAGAATTAGAATAAACAAAAAGCCCAGCTGTATTATTCGGGTAAGGAGGGAAGCAACATATTCCAACTATATGGGAAAGGATGGTCGAATTTCCTTCAGTGGTTCTCTGCTGTTCTAGTGACTATGACGGATAATGTAAAAGTGGCTACGTAACGTGTGAACTTGTCGGGATTTGCACATTTAGTAATATGGAGTGGTTATGGATTACTTTGTTGTTATTAGTAAGTATTGCTCAAGCCTTAACCGGTCAACAGATTTTTTTTATTAACAAGATTTATATTTTTATGAATGTAGATTGGCCATATTTTGACCAATAGGTAAAATTCTAGATATTTTCCATGTATTAAAATTTTAACAATTAGTAGGTAACTCTTGATTGTTATCCAGCGAATCAAGAGGCAGAAATAATGAAAATTTGGACTCTTGAACAGCGTTATGAGACGTTCATTGGTTATCAAAATTTGAAATATTTTGGGCTCATGATTAACTCTATTTTAAGAGCCAATTATAATCAAAATTTAAACAAGTAGTGGTTCAGGAAAATTATCCAGCGAATCAAAACCAAGAGAAAGATCAAATACCAATAGAACCATGGATCAACTAAACAGAGATCAAGATTTCTTTTGAGCTTTTCCAGAAACTATCGTGAGAACAGATGGAATATGATGAATATTGTCATGATTTTAGAAACAGTGACTATCTTTCTATTAATAATTATTTAGCTAGTGTCAACGGGAGTGAGGTATTTGAGGGAGGCTTGGTCAATGAAATGGTGGCTAGTTTTTACGATATCATGTACATGCTAGTTTTTACGATATCATGTACATGCTAGTTAGTACTTTTATTCCTATGAATAGATATCGTACTTCTACCTCTCTGAATTGGTTTAGTTCTGATCTTCGGAACTTGATTGTTAGTAAAAAACGGACAGTTAGAAAATTTAAAGAGACCAATAGTCAGGTGGACTATATTTGCTTTTCAAACTTGAGAGCGTAATGCGAGACTTTGTCTAGAACTTGCTATGAACAGTATATAAATAGAATCGAGAATAACTTATCTGTCAATCTACAATATTTTTGGTCATACATTAATAACAGGAAGAATGGTTGTGGTCTTGCTCCAAGATTGTCTTACAATGGGAGAGTCGTTGATGACCCAGCAGGTTTCACTGATCTGTTTGCTGAATATTTTTTTACTGTATACTCTCAAGATGTCATGGATGGGATACCATCCTTTTAGTTCGATAACTCGGTAAGCATAAGCAGAATCCAGCTTTCTTTGGGAGCGGTTTTTGAATCGATAAAAGGGTGTAAGGATAAGTTATGATTTGTGCGTTGTTCTTACCAATTTCGCACATTTTCAATATTTCTCTGGATATGGGTTACTTTCCAAAATTTTGGAAGAGTAGTTTCTTGAAGCCAATCTACAAGTCTGGAGCCAGGGAGGCCACAAATTACCGGGCGGTTTTTAATCAGTCGGAAATACTTAAATTGCTTGACTTTTCAGTAAGTAAAAAGCTGTCCTGGACTTTCCGAAATTTGATAAGTCAAGAGCAATTTGGTTTCGTAAAGGGTAGATCCACTGACTCTAACTTAGTATTATATGTCAACTACATTTTTAACTGCTTGGAAGGGGGCGTTCAGGTTGACTCGGTCTATGCCGATTTTTCTAAGGCGTTTGACCAGGTCAATCCATTGGGTGCTTCATTGCAAGCTTAAGGTTTCGGGTATCTGCCATCCTCTTCATTCTTTGATTTATGATTCCGTGACTGGAAAAACGCAAATGGTGAAGAAAAGGGTGTCCGTTTCAAACGAGATTGAGATTTCTTCTGGAGTACCCCAGGGTTCTCACTGTGGCCCAGTACTGTTTTGCCTGTTTTTAACAGACTTGACCCAGAAGATGAGGAGTAGTGCCTTGTTGTTTGCTGACGATGTTAAGTTATTTAGGGAGATTAGATGTCCAATGGATGCTGCTTGCCTACAGGATGATTTGGATTATTTTTATGAGTGGTGTGTGGAGAATAAAATCACCTTAAGCATAAAACAGTGTCATAAGATCACTTTTACTAGAGAAAGAGACCCAATTAACTTTGTATACGCAATTCATCACACACTTCCATCGCACTAACTACGGTGTCAATGAGCCCATCTCTCGTTTGGTTTGTAGGGCGAACAAGGGACAAAATAGTTTGGCTAAGCAAATAAACTTTTTTGATTTTGAACTGATAAAATTTAAAAAAGACTTAAAGAATCTATTGTGACTCCCACCTGCTCTTACTTATAGGGAAACTGGAGACGCTTTATATAAATATATATTTTTTTTTTGTATTGTTATTTATATTTTTTGTATTAGTAGGTGTTAGGGATGCTTTGTGATGGATGACGGCTGTTGATCTTTTTCTTTAAAAGTTCTAATTTGTTTAAGGATGTGTTATATTACATATTTGTTGTAAATGGTTTGCCGTAGAAAGAAAAATAAATAAATATCTCGAAAACTCTTGAGTAATTTAGGCTTTTTTCAGCATTTAGAATCTATATCACCTTTCATCATTAGTCAGATATTGATTGGAAGATTGAAGGTAGAAAACAATCAATTATAAATGATCATTATACCAATAACAATTATTTTATCATAACGACTTATTTCTTCTTCTATATTTCACAACTTCAAGGATGTAGATTTTAAACTTTACATATTTCTAAGATACTTATTGTCGTCTAATCTTCATATAATTGGTGCCACTCTCAATGTCACTGCCTTCATAAAAAACGTCTAACCTTCTTCATAATTTTGAATGGAAATTTAAACGATGTGAAATTTTGAGCTTTTCAATGCTCATCATCTAGTGATAATATCAGGCACCTTTCGACATATCGACAACCTTTGATGAAACTACACTATTTTTGTAATAAATAATTCCTTAACATATACAAAAAATTGTTCCTCCTTATTCAAACAAAATCGTTCACGCATCGTCTAAGAAGAAACAACCAATTAATGTCGCGATCACACAGCGATTATGTCTACTGATAGCATCTCCACAGTCTCTAATTGCCATAGCGTGCTGACTTTATTGTATCCTGTTTTAATATTGGCAACTCGTTAAACTATAAAATTTAAGTTGACCCATTAAAAAACACTTAAGATTTTTTTTTAGGTCTCTGACATACACACAATCCAAACCCACCTACAAAGACCGGTAAGATTCATTGATAATCAAAGACACTTCCGTCATATCGACTCTTCAGTGTCCACCAATTTCGATTGGGAACTGAGTTTGAGAGAAGCTACAGTACAAGCTCTATATAGAGAACATGTTGACGACCCTAATTTGAGAAAACATATTTATTCAGCGCCACTTTTGGGTAAGAAAGTTTTATAAAATAATAAATGATGCTACAAGGTTTAATATTTAGGCAAACAGAATAAGGCAACCCCATTTGGTGATATAGCAATATTAGCAAGAGGACAACTGTACGCTAATTATGCTGGATACATTTTCGTACAAGATCCCTATCAGAATAATTGCGACGATTGTTATAATATAGATGAGGGTCCTCTTAGAGCAAGGTGCATCGCTAACAATTGCCAGGTAGTACTAAGCACAGCATTATTTTACACAATACTGATATTTTTTTTTTTTAGATTTGGCACCCAAGAAACAATGAACATGTAATAGTCTTATGGTCAATTAAACGAATAAGACATAGATCAGAGGGCCACAATAAAATAGAGTTTGAATATACCATATCACCTGTAGGATTTAGACATTCCAAAGAAAGATATGTAACCAAAGACGGTACATTTAATTATAATCTACCTGGTCACGTTTTCCTGCTGAAAAGTTCAGAAACTCATCAAAATTTAGACAATGTGCCCTCAAAACTTAAACAGTTTCATCCTGGAGCACTGGTAGCTCAGACTTTGGATGGAACCAAGTATATTCTGCATAGTTTTCCGGGAATTTTAGCTTTGGAACCACCAGGGTAATAATTTCTGATAACCATTGTCACAAATTAACATTTCGTTTTCAGATATCAAACAACAACAAAAAATGTATTGCCTACAAGTATTACGACAACTACACAAGATCCCAAAAAAGTTTATCAGACTTTATTGGAAGTACTATATCAGAAAACTTCAACTGGAGCTCAAGGGTAAGTGCATACAAAATTTTGCCAATATATTTAATTAAATTTGAAAATGTACAGCACTTGAGAGGCTACTTAGATCTTCCTTATTGAGAAAGAATTAATTTCTAGGTTTACTCCAGAGCCACCAAAAACCACAATCGCAGCAGGCACAACGTTAGTACAATTCACAGACATTCAAGTAATCCCAATGACAGATTTAGGAAGTTCATTTATAACAAAAACCACTCCAAACTATGTAACTATAAGATTTCCGGAAACTCCTACCAGCCAAACCAATGGAAAATACACTTCAGTGACACCTATTGTCTTTAAGCCTTCTACCAATGAAATTCCACCAACAACATCACAAACTTCGATAAAACCCTCAACACCTCATGATTTTTATACGACCCCGTTTCTGACGACACCAACTAGATTTCAACCGGTTTATACCGAACCTCAAAAGCCAATTACTACTAAACCTCATATGAAAACCACTTTCCACTTTTTTGCTGCAGAAGAACCAACTATAAGGCCCATTACAACTACCCAACAATATACAGAAAATGAAATATTTTCAATTGAAAGTGTGAAACCAACTAAACCAACTAGAATTACAACTTTGGGAAGTACTAAAACTACACAGCGGTTTAAGGAGACTACGACCAAATGGCCAGTTACTACTGTAAGGCCCGCTACTGTAGGAAAAGTGACCCAACCTATTAGAACTACTTATGCAATAACAGAACAAACCACCAAACCAGCCTATAGTGATTTTAGTATTCCAATAGTGGTGGTAGAAGAAGATACTTCAGTTGGTACAACTGCACAAGAACCAACTACTACCAATAATCAATTTCACACGACAACCATCCCTCCCTACCAAGAAACCACAACTATTGGTACGACTAGAGTAACTCCAACATATGTAACCAATAATGAAGACATAAAAACCACTATAGGAGTTACTAGGATTATGAGCACTATTCAAAACCTAAACACAGGAATGACATTTTATGCTGCTGAAGATACTGAGAGTACAGCTAGTAGTTCAAATAAACCAACTACAACAAGACGGGAGGAAATTGAAACTACTTTTACTAGTGGTAGTAGTTCAACAACAAAAGTTACTCCAACTTCAATGAAAACTGCTATACCGAAAAAAATTGATAAAGTAACTGTCAAAGCAACTTCATTTTATCCCGAAGAAGAATTATTTGGTTTGACAAAACACATTCCTAAAAAATCTAAACCAACTAAATCGTTAAAAGTTAGTCCTACACAAGCTAGTGACTTTTTGGTTGATGAAAATCCTCAACAAGACAGAACCCCGTTATTTAAAAAGCCATCAAAAGATTATAATGAAGACGATATTTTCGGATCAACAAAAACTACCATATTTTCGTCAAAAAAGCCTACCACAAGAGAATATTCAAAATCTGACCTTGAAAAGGCACTATTTGATTTGAATAACAATCGTAGATCAAAGGCTTTAAATAAAAGAAAATCTAGTACCACAGAAGCAACTCCATCCAAATTCCTATATTCGAGTTATTTTGAAACATCTACCCTACCAATGACAACAGAAACTCCTCAGGCAACTACAAGTGCTGTAGCAGCTTCATTGGTACCAAAAAGAAAACTGAAAGTTCCTCTTCCGAAGCTGAAAAAAATTGAAAATCCTGTGACAAGCCAGAGTTATTTAACATCGATTTCTTACGAAGTCAACAAAATTGAGAAACCCCAGCAAACAATTACAACACAGAAAAAGGAAAGTAAAGCCACAATTGAAAGGATAAATCCTGCAATAAGAGATTCAGAAGAAGATGATTTTGCTCTAAGGCTAGTAGGTCAAGCTAAAGGAGTGGCTTATTTAGATCAAACATCAACAACTGGGGCGAGTACTGCAGCTAGTGTCAGTGTCAAAACCACCAAAATGCCTAAATATACAAGAAGAAGGAGTTATATTGCTAGAGCAAAAAGACCAGTTAGGAAAAAGATTGTAAAAGAGATTGAAAATACAAAGTAAAAATGTATATATTTTTCTCAAATTGCTATGTTAATTTTATTTATTTATATCAATTTTGTACCAAATGTAAATAAACAATTTTTTTTTTAGTAAGTCTGTGTCTTTAGTACATGTACTTACCAGCTTCAGCTTCTTTGGCATACTTATATTCAGGTTCTGGTTTGTGTGGCATAAAACAACCAAATGCCTCTGGTAGTACTTCCTTCAATCTCTGATAATATGACAGCCTAAATTGTAACTAGTATCAGCAACAACATACTCATTGAAAAATAAACACTCACCTAATGCTTTTCAACATAACTTCCCTAATAAACTTGGGTTTGGGGTGTTCAGAGTCTAAGCTTAAGCAAACGTCCCAATCTTCCCACCTCCATCTGAATTGGAAGTTGCTCAGATGGTACGAAAACCAACAGACGAATCTGTCAAAGCAAGATACGTTCATAGAATCGATTCTGTGAAACAGCATTTCAGTGGCTAAAGCTAAAACTTGAGGCATACTGCTCGGCTGAAGTTTGCAAAGTTCAATCAAAATCGAACCGTAGCAAATATCCAAATATCTTGGCGAAGGCATGTTGAACATTTCCGCAAATATTACCTCTACAATACAATATTCTAGAGGAATTTTTAGTTTGTAAGAGAAATTCAGTAAGTGAGCAGCACAATCTTTGCGTTCCAAATGATACATTTCTGAAATTTAATGAAATATTTTAAAATCAAACAACAAAAAATTGAATCATTTTACCTATAATAGAATGCAAATGTTCCTCAATCAAAAATCTTTCGATAGAATGAGCTCCAGGCAAAATAGGTCCCTCAGGACAATCTGTATAATCAAATAATCTAAAAACTACCCAAGGCATTGGGTAATGGTAAGAATCGTGATGCGGAGGAGGCAAAATGCTTGGCAAATTATGCTGCAAAGCTTCGCAGAGAATCGAATCGAAAGCCAAATACGGCCTGGGAATATGCTTTTCAGCCCAATTGTCTTGCCTCAATTTCCTTATCTGAGCCCACAAACAATCCAAATACTCTTCCTGAGGGTGTGGATTGTCACTAGCCCACACTCTTAAGGCATTGTGGTGCTTTTTAGGCCTTTTATTCAAAAATACTTCTATTTGGACAAGTAAGTGTTCAAGGGCTTGTTCTTTTTTCTCATATAGTTCTCTACCAACCCACGGAAGGGTTGAGAGAATGGCAAAGACATACCAGTCTCTGCGAACCTGAATTTACAAAATTAGTTTTATAATGTTTGACATAAAATGAAATTATTGTCTATTTTCTTGTTACCTGTGGAACATTGTCCTCATTAGCAGCATCAATCATATTGTCCAAAAGTTGTAATATAGATGAAGCACTGATTACATGACAATTAACAAGGTCTGCTAAAAATCTAAGGGAGTACCTAGCAGCGTCCCATTTACAACCTTGAAGAAAATTGGATTATTTTTTGTTAATGGGAAATTAAATTAATTACCTTTAAGAGCTTCCTTGAAAGTCTTGACCATGTACTCCACAAATTCTCCTCCGAAATTGAAATTTTTCGCATTCAGTAAACCAACTAAGGTAGTGTATACTGTACATTTCTCTGGCATACGAATCGCGCAGTCTGTTAGAATTCTCAAAATTTTTGCTCTGAAAAAGAAATCAAAAGTTCATATCAGAACAGAAACTGATAGTGAATTTTTATGTTTAAATACTGCAGAATTGATATGTGGCTATTGTCCCAACTTGCAAATCTACCTTCGGGAATAATATAATAATAATAATAATAAATGCATTTATTAAAATTTGAAAATTTAAAAATACAGTAGAACTTGGTAGAACCCTGGTTATCTGAGGTAACGTGGAGGGGCACGCTTTTCGAATAACTGAAAACTCGGATAATCCGTATTTACGCAGCTTTGCTTTACATGCTAAAAGATTCTTGAAACATAAATAGGGGAACCACCCACAGGCGCCAAAGGGATTCCTCATCGCCCTCTACGATTTTATATGAAATAAATATGTATGTGTCTCGGTATGTAACATTATGTGTAAATGTATATTTTACAAGCTGGGTTAATACGGAGCACAGACGCGCGTATCTCGGACAATCAGGGTTTCTGGTTGTTAAATTGACTCGGTAATCTGGAGGTCGGATAATTGTGAGTCGTATCATTGGGGTTCTATTTTATATATTTTTTTTTCTTTCTATTAAATTAATTATAATGCATCAATTATGATTTTCCATTAAATCTATGGCTCAAGAAAACACTAAACATTATTCCACCTGAAGGGGAAATAGCCTCATTGGATTTGGAAGATTTCTCCAAATTCACATAAGCTGATATAACAGAAAAAATCTTCTCATTTTAGGGTAAAGCTAAAGGAAAAATATGTCATAATTAAAAAGTACTCGTTTTGTGAGCTTCTACACGAGTCCTGTGGTAAAGTAAATACAGACAGACTCCGGAGATTTTATTGCAGCAATAGAACTTTGCCTAAGTAACTCTATTCCAGCTAACCGCACCAAAAAACCTAGACTTGCAAGGAACCCTAAAGAAGGAATTGAAAAGATAAAGGAAATTAGAAATTTTGTAGGGACAGAATTTACATTGAGCTCTACATCTACATCTGAGGATGAAGTACAAATGAAGCATTCAGTTGACGATTTTTCAGATGGCGAAATGCATTTTGAATCCTCAAGTAAACAAGATACTTCAAATGGAATAATCTCAGAAATCATAATAGAGAAATAATACGCACTCAAACTTTAAAATCTGTTCTAGATACTTTTATACTTTTATACATGTTGTTTTAGAACGTCTTTCTTCGTTGTTCGACACCTAATTTCCATCCTCTTCTATCGTCGCAATCCTCTGATGATAGATTTCTTTCACTCATGGACTTTTGTATGGTCTTCTGCCATTCCAGTTTTGGTCTTCCTCGTTTTCTTCTACCTGTTGGTTGCCAATGCAGCATTTTTCTGAGCCACCTGTCATTTGGCATTCGTTCTACGTGTCCGTACCAGGTAAGTTGTTTCTTTCCAATGTCCTGGACTATCATACCTTCTATACCCATTTGTTGTTTTATATTGTCGTTCCTTATTCTGTCTCTTCGTGAGATTCGCATGGATCTTCTAATAGCATCCATTTCAACTGCTTCCACTTTTCTCTTTTGTCTGTCTGTAATTCTCCAATTCTTGGCTCCACATAGAAGGCTACTCTTTATCATGGTCTCGTATATATTAAATTTTCTCTTCTTTGTAATTTCCTTGCTCCATAATATTCCATTTAGGCATCCTATTACTTTTTTAGTTTTAACTATTCGCTTTTCTATTTCTTTCACGTCTGTTCTGGTGTTGTCAAATGTGATACCTAGATATTCATATTCTTGACATTGCAGAATTTCCTGACCATCGTCCACTTCCAAGTTTCCGTTCTGGTTGCCTACACATAGATATTTTGTTTTATTTATATTTACTCTCAGGCCCCATTCTTGATACTCTTCTATCAGCTTTCTAATCATATATTGCATGTCCTCTTTGTCACTGGCCACTATGACCTGATCATCTCATCTGCAAACTGAAGAGTAAACAGGCACCTATCATTTATCTCTATACCCATTCGATGGATCTTCCTCTTCCAATTTTTCAGTGCTACTGCTAAATATATTTTAAAAAGCGTAGGAGATACAACATCCTTGATGTAGTCCTTTATTTACTATAAATGTGTCTGTGAGTTTTTTACCTATCTTAATTCTTGATTTTGAGTCTTTATATAGTTCTTTAAGTGCCGTTATGTAGGTGTGATTGATGTTTGTGTGTTCTAATACCTTCCATAGTCTGGATACTGGGACTGTATCGTATGCTTTTTGTAGGTCAACAAATGTGAGGTGGGTTTCCAAATACCTAGCAGATCTCTTTTCTATGACTTGTTTTAGGCAAAATACGTTGTCCGTACCTGATCTTCCTGCTCTAAAGCCGCACTGTTTTTCTTCTTCTTGCTCTTTATAATCTTCTTCAATGAGATCACGCAGGATTCTACCGTATAGTCTGCTTAGTGTGCTTGTGACTGATATGACCCGATAGTTATTGCAATCCAGCGTATTTCCTTTTTTGTGAATGGATGATATAAAAGCAGTTTTTCAGTCTTGTGGAACATATCAAACACTTTATTAGCAATAAAAAGCTCTTACAAAATGATTTTATGAAATATTTTAAACCAGTAGGTATATACCCAACATGGAATGTCTGGAAAAGTATTCAACAAAGTCTATAAAGTTCTTACATATTTTTTACATTCAGTCTTAAATCTAGAGTAGGAGTCACATTGCTTCAATACTGCGGGTATACTGTTAAACATTCTTAAGCCTACACTAAACAAAGTGTCACTCTGAAAATCACTAATGTAAAAATTATTTACCACACTGGATCGCGTTTGGTATGAATGAACATCTCGCACATAAGTAACTTCATCAGATAAATATGATGGTAACATATTATGTTTTAGTTTGAAAACAAAAGTTAGCATTATGTAAGTAGATCTTTGTTGTACATTCATAAGGTCTAATTTCTCCAGCATGGATTTTATTGGTGTTCTTTTGTTACAAAGTAATATTGCTCTCATGCAACGATTTTGCAGTTTTTGTAGCATGTCTCTTTGAGTCAAACTTAGATAATGATACAATGTACTGCAATATTCAAAATGAGGAGCAATTATTGACTTAAAAATTGTGAGTTTAGCGAAAAGTGAAATCTTGTTATTCAATCTGTAAAGAAAACCTGCTTTTTTTGCTTGTTTCTTTTTTATGTAGTCACAGTGCAAGGATAGATTAAGTTCGGGATCCAGCATTACACCCAAATATTTGAAAGATTTAACCTGTTCTAAGATATCGTTATTCATAATTATTTTTACTGCTGCATTAGTACTTTGTCTTTGAACTTGATTAGGGCAATGTTTAGAACCAAGAATCATGAATTTCGTCTTTGCACCATTTAGTTTTAAACCATTTTCTATGAGCCACACATCAATATTTTCAAGATCTTTGTTTAACAGTTTTTCCATTAATGTTATTTAATACAGGATGTCCATTTAGGCATTTATTGATAATACATGTGAGACCTTTAAAGAGTTTCTCAGTTCCCCATTTCAGCATTTCTGAGTATAACCCTTCTGGGCCGCTAGCTTTACCTGACTTAAGATTCTTAACAGTCTTTTTTACTGTTTCTTCAGATATCTCATCCACTTCTCCATGTACTTCAATATGTCTTGGAGAATCTAATATATATTCCGGTCTACTTTCTTGTAATAGACCCTTGTAATGTTCTACCCATTGCTCTGGTTTAATAATCTGGATATTAGCTTAGCTCTGTCTTTTCCTGGGTTTTTGACATTGGATATAAATCTCCATACCTCTGAGCATTTCCTTCCTCCTATGTAGGTGTTAATTTCTTCACATTTCTTATCCCATGACTCGTTCTTAGCTATAGTGATGCATGTTCTTAGTTGTCTTTTTGTGCCTTTATAAACTTCAAGGTCTTGCTCATTTTTTGTTGTTAGCCATTTCAGATATATTTGCTTCTTCTGTTGGACTAATAGCTCTACCTCCTCGTTCCACCAGTATTTCTTGTTGGTATTTTTTTCCTTCGTTCCTATTGCTTCTTGGGTGGTTTCTATTAGACTCCTTATAATATTCAAATTCAAATTCAAATTCAAAATAAGCTTTATTATCTTAAGACAATAGTCTCATTGACAAAGCATAAATATTACATAAGGGAAATCATCAATAATCAAAGTCAACAACAATCAAATACCTAATTAAAACTAATAAATCAAACAAACAGAGTGACAATCGAGGTGACAATACTTTAACATAATGCAGAAAAAAAAAAACAATAAATAAAGTAAATAGAGTATGGGAGCTAAAATCAGCAGTCACAGCAACAATCAAGCCACAATTAAAACTTATAAATAAAATGAATAGAGTGGTAAAGCTTAAACATAAAATGTACAGTTTAAAAGTCTCTGTGCCTTACCAATCAATAGCCTTCGGACCCCATTTTTAAACAGTTTCAATGTCGGAGAAACTTTAACTTCATTGGGTAAATGATTATACATTTTTATACTTTCGTATATCACAGACTTTTTAGTAAGAGTTAAGGTAGGTATAGGAAGAGGTAAATTAAGCAACTGGCGAGTATTGTAACGCGAGCTAGGAGATATTAAATTGTGACGATTTTTATAGACAATACAAACACTTTCCAAGATAAATAGACTGTACAATGTCAGAATTTTGTGGCTCAAAAACAATGGCCTGCATGAATCTCGTGGCTTCGCTCGACTCAAATACCTAACTGCTCGTTTTTGCAAGACAAACAAGCTGTTCAGCAAACGCAAACCAGACATGCCCCAGAAGCAGATCCCATATCTGAGACGTGACTCAATGAGCGAGTAGTAGACAGTTCGGCCCATTGAAGGACCCAATTCATTGACCGTAATCTTGACCGCGTAGCATCCTGAAGCTACTCTTTTGCTCAGAGCAACAATATGGGACTCAAACCTAAGCTCATTATCTATGATAAGTCGGAGAAACTTCGCGCTAGTACGATTCTCAATGGCGGTATCCCCAATAACCAAACCCTCCACGTGACACTTGAAGCTTACAACATTTGTTTTCTCAAAATTCAGCAACAAAAGGTTTGCATCACACCAAGCCTTGATTTTCTTAATATTGTCGCGAAACGTCTCTGCTTCGCTGTGTAGCTCGACTAATCACCCTGAAAAGCAGAACGGGAAGGGAGGAGTAATCAGGGAAACACCAGAACAGTTTTAAATAGCTAATATATATTGTTATAGGACGGAGATTACGGAAACTTGAATATTTTAGTTATTACCACATCATCGTCATCTGGGACCAGATAACGTCCCTTCGGGTGGTGAGGCTAAACAAAGGGCGGACAGTCAGATGTCGGGTATACCCCTGCCAAGCTAAATAACCAAACCAGCCCTACAAAGCTAAATAACCAAACCAGCCCTACAGGAAAATCTAGAAAGCCTTTTCACTGTAGGTCAAAGCCTGGGGCGTCAGGGAGTACCTGCCCTGATAGAGATACGATAGCGTATTAACTTTATCAGTCCAGATAGTTCCCCAACTTTGAGTCGTCTCTCAACACCTACTGATTGCAGCGAAGCGCTGAGACACGACTAATTTGCCATAGTTTGGCCCGGGCATTTATATCCAATATTTGCTGACTATGATTAGGATAATTTGTGTTTTCTTGCTTAGTTGCAGTTATTTGTTATAACCCGTGGTTTAGTGTTTTGAATTTGGTTATAGCCCGTGGTCCCATGTAGGGTTGACAATATCATTAGAGTTTATTGAAGGTACATTCTTCAGGGTTTAATAGTTTGCTATCGAGTCGCCTCTGATATAGAAATACAGTGCTGTCATCTCTAAAACTGTCAAAATTATAATTTATTGTATCGACTGTGTCCGTTAGTATGGAATTGGTATTTTGTTCCTCTGGGTTCTTGTTCGTTTTTCTAAATTGCAACTTTATTTTGGCTCTTACTAAAAAATGATCTGACCCGCAAGTTATTCCTCTTAGGACTCTTACGTCGTTTATCTCTATGTTTGTTTTTTGTTTGCTTATCACATAGTCAATAATAGTTTTCAGGTAACGGGTATTCTGTATCCATGTGTAGAGGTGAATATCTTTGTGATATATCTAACATACTTTTACTTGGCCTAAAGGGCCCCACACACTACGTTCTTTCTCGTCGGTTTTCATCGTCGCCATGAAACACGACGATCTAAAACCGAAGTGTGTGGTAGATAGTGATGTGAGTCGAGAATATTCCCACACAAATATTGGGAAATTTCCGAGAATATTCGCCGATAAAAAATGGAAACGTTCTCCTGAATGAGAATATTTCCGAAAACTTTCAATCAAAAACTCTCAAAAGCATATTTCCGAGAATTTCGAGAATATTTCCAAGAACTTTCCAGAATAATTTTATAAAAATGCGAAATTATTGCGAATACAAGGTCTCAGTGACGTCATTTCAAAATAAAGAGCTGAGAGATTGGGTTAATCGGATCAGCTTTTCCTTTAAAGCCTTATTCAACCGTCCATAAAAGTATTTTATTGCATAGTTAAATTTTTAGCTGATCTTACAGAAAAAAATAGGTGTTTTTCTTGGTTTATAGTCTATAGTCAGTACACTACAATCAGGGTTGGCAGGTATAGGTTTTTTGAAACCTAGGTTTTTTAGGTTTTTCCGAAAAACCTATTTTCTAAATATGGGCATTTTAGGTTTTTTGAAAAAAAAAAAGAAAAAAACACTTACCACCACACTATTTATCTAGTATTGTTAACTACTTCTTTCCAAAATTCTATATCTATGTTTTATTCATTGGTTTAGCTATCATTATGTGAATAATTTAACATACCTATATCACCAATAATGTGTTACAACTGTTAGGAACTAAAAAAACCTGAAAAACCTTCAGCGGCGGATTTAGGATTCCTTCTAGGGGGGGGCGATCCATCAGGGCCTCAGGCTCAGATAAGAAATAATAAAAAAACGACTTAAATATACAGAGTGGCAAAAAAGTCGCGTATAATACCTGTAACTTTCTAATTACCTCGTATACGAAAAAGTGACCTTAATGAAAGTTGCTCAGTAAATTAGGGACATAAAGCTTCCGTAGTTTTTGCTCGGTATCCGTATCGGTATCGAACTGCGCATGTGCAGAAGCGATACGGAGGCCGAGATACCGTACATACAACGTAACGTTACGGCCCTCTCGCGGTATCCGTATCGGTAACGTATCTTGACATTCCTGACGCATGTGTCAAATTTCAAATGAATATAACCTCCCTTTTCTTCCGGGTTGATTTAATTTGTTTAGTTTATACTTTCTTGAGTTTCTTGTGTGTTTAGTGCTTCTCTATCGCAAAAAAATAACAATTTTAAGGTTAGATATAAAAACGCCGAAGTTTTGAGACAAAAATGTCTAGGTTATGAAATGCGTTTACGTTTACCGGAACAGGGAGCGCTTTAACAGCCTTTTCGCTTGTCAACGTATCTAGTTGCGTTACGGATACCGATACCGATGAATTATTTCAAGTAGCTTTATGTCCCTAATATTTCCCACAATTCTACTTAAACGTATTGCCTGTGTCACTTCTGGTTTGTTTGCTATCTAGACCAACTTTCTTTTTTTCAAATAAAACACCCTGTATGTGATTGCATATTTGGATTCTACATAAAATTCTGAGCAGATTTCATGTGATATACCCTATACCTAAGTTCAACTGTTTTGGAAATATTGACAGTTGAACATTGACTTTTTGCAACTTTGACAGGCTGTAAAACCTGAACGGTTAATTTCAGAGGAAAACCGATTTCACATTCCTATCTTGGATTTTCATAAACTATCATTTGACATCAACATTTAATTTAATCGGAGATTAAATTTAATTGGAATTTTCAATTATAGATTAAATTCAAAGTTGGTGCGGATTTACGTCATCCGCAGTCGATTCGCTCCCAGCTCGCTGCTGCCAAACGTATTTAAAAGTATTAAAAATTTGGAAAAATAGCAAAAACCATATGGAATTTCATGTTGGATAATGCTTGATGAATATGTTTGTGTTTTCGTTAAAAATTTCGTTGTTGCGTCGCTCAATAGGGGGGGGCGCGCGCCCCCCCTCTAAATCCGCCACTGAAAACCTTAAAAAACCTTAACAAACCTTAAAAAACCTAAAATACCCCAAACCCCTCAAAAAACCTAAAAACCTAAAAAAAATTTTCCCAAATCGTAGGTTTTTTCCAACCCTGACTACAATAATAGGTAAATAACGCTTACTACGATTTATCTGATTAAGCTATAAATTAAAAAAAAAAAACAATTCGTACAAACAATCCCATAAGTTCCCGAAAGTTTCCAATATTCCTGGAAAGTTTCCGAGAATGTTTGCGGCTTTTGAATGTTTCGAAAATTTTACATCCTTATTGGTAGCACATAAAACTAATGAACATTATTAAAGCCACATTATTATTTTAAAAAGTAATCTCTATTCTCTATGATACATTTTATAGTAGGATAGTAGGTATTTTACCTGAAGGTACTTAAATCAGCTTCTAAAACGCTAGCAAGTCCTTCCAAATTGGATTCAAGTGACGATGTGCTCTTTTCCCCGACACGTAATATAAGGGATTCCAGGCGGTCTTCGATTTCTTGGTTTTCTGATACCCTACGTCTTTTTCTATAGGCTCTATCTAAAATGATACAGAATAGAAAATTAGAGTGCCATATTGAGGGGGTTCGCCCCAAGTCAAACTTTTATCTCATTGTGCAGAAATGCTTATTGCTTAGGCTATTGGTATATGTAGTTTTTAAGTAAAAAATAAATCTAAATTAAATCTTGAAACTTGAGAGGACTTTTGTAGGTCAATAATTATTCTCTTGCTGCATATAGAAACTATATTACAACTAGAACAAAATACAATTGCTAACATGAACTAAGGCTTACCATATCCGTCATCATCATCGTGAGCCCGTCTTCGGCTCATTTTTAAGGGCAAAAACTAAGAAAAAACTCAAACAGCCCACTAGAGCAACACCAATGTCAGCAACTTGAAGCATACATAACCTTAAAAAAATAAATAAAGAAGCGTCACTTCTCGGGAAAACTTTGCGCGCGCATTGGGATTTTAAATTTTTACGATTGGATTATTCCAAACAGTAAAGGTAATTTCGAGTAATGGCTAGAACTAGTTCGGAACTCTCCAGAGTTGAAAAGAAGCTCCAGACAGTTCCGAACTAGTTCGAGCGATGACCCGAAAATACCATAAAGTCTGTTTTTTTTTAAAGATACAAGTCAAAATGACATTATGTTGGCAATACAATGTAAAATTGTCAACGCTTTCAATTTTTTTATGTAGAAAAGGCTTGTGCTGCCAACAGTGCCAACATAGTTACTAAATTTTTGACTTGGGGAATTATCTTTAAATAAAAAACAAACTTTAGGATTTATGTCAAATCCTTAATCCTTGGCGTTGCGATAAGCATTCCAATCAGGATGTCTATTCTCGAAACCGGAGAACGGCGTTTTTATGAGAACGCTTGTACTGTCTTTGCTCCCTGAGCGCTGCTCCGTTTCGAGAATAAGGACCCAGAACGACTCTCTTTGCGTTCCAACCAATTACGTTTCAGTTCCAGAACGGATTCGGAAACACCGACCAAACAAAAAGTGAAATAATAACAAGACAAAACAGAAATGGTAAAAAAAACGTACTAAAATCTTGGATCCCTGAAACTGTTCCAACCGATGTTCAATCCTAAAACGGTTCCGGCTTCCGTAACAGTGCAAACCTTGAGTCTGCGTATAAAACTTGTATTTAATAATTTCAGAATGGTTTCAGGAAATGTAGTTGGAACAAACCTGATGAAAGAATTTTGCAGGTTTCTATGTGCGTTCCGTAAAGGTTTCTATTATTCATGTGAATACTACTAGCGCCATCTACTGTTTACTTATTTGATTAGTAAATCGCACTTTTGCCCTCTTTCGGTAAGTTTGGTACTTAAACTTGGAGCCTACGATCCGCCATTGTTGTTGTGTGGAAGTGTTTGGTTTTCTTAATTTTTTTGCAATTTCCCCATTTAAAAATATGGAGGAACGCAAAAGAACCCTAGGAAATATGAAAATCTGTAGATTCTGCTTTAGCGAGGACGAAAAAGAGCTTACCAGCATCTACAATAAGGAAGCCAAAAGTGTCCCTCTACCCATACAGATTATGAGCTGTATTTCAATCGAGGTAGGAAAACTGTAATTTATATATTTAGAATTTGGTTTTGTAACGTAGAAAGAAACTGCATTTTGGCTAAATAAAAATGAAGTTCGCTGTTTCCATTCGGCTGTAGTGCTTGTGTAGATAATTTTCTACTGTAGTTTTCATTAGTACATCAATAACATATTTGTGTTTACAATCTATTCAATCTACCCTGAAGAGGTCCACTTAAATACCCTATTTTCATTCGCTTGAGAAATCATCACAACAATCAAGTGCAAAAAAAAATGAAAGTGGCAGAAAGATCTACCATTTTGAGAAGAAACCACCCAGGAACCTCAGCAAAAGATTTCTGTCATTGGCCAGATGAAGCTTTTGAAGAAATGGACAGTACCCTAGCAGTACAACAATATATCCAACAGCTTATCCGTAAAGATCCAACCAACATTGACCTAATCTTAACCATACCAGAAAGTCACGACGAAGGTGTTTGGAAATATGAGCATTTAAGGCAATTTTGCTTGGAACTGAATAACTTGGCAGTAAAACTACAAGGTGAATGTTATCCAGATAGTTGCACACAAATGACTGCCACTGAACAATGGATATTCCTTTGTGCAGCCCATAAAACTCCAAAAGAATGTGCTGCCATTGATTATAGTAGACACACTTTGGATGGGGCAGCTTGTTTGTTGAATAGTAACAAGTATTTCCCTAGCCGAGTCAGTATTAAGGAATCATCTGTGGCCAAATTGGGTTCGGTTTGTAGAAGAGTCTACAGAATTTTTTCACATGCCTACTTTCATCACAGGCAAATATTCGATGAATTTGAAACAGAAACTTGCTTGTGTAAAAGATTTACTCAATTTGTTCTCAAATATAATCTGATGTCCAAGGATAATTTGATTGTGCCTATTTTGGAGGAGGAAGAAGGTGCCACTGGTGAATCGGAAGCCTAAATTAAATGTGTTTTATTTTACAATTACATTTTTCATTGACTTATTCATATAATAATAATTATAGATGCTTAACAAATAGATTACCTTTTAATTAGAATAGATTTAGCTAGTTTTATGCTTTTATTTGAAAGTGAAATTACAAACAATAATAATGGAGATATTGAAAGCAATAGACCAATTTCATATAAGTACCCAAGTAATTTTTATTTAAAAAAAGTGAAATTTTCAGGTATTTCCTGGTTTTCACCTAGTCTGTAAAATAAACAGTTTTTGCCTGCTAGAAGTAATCTTACAGAGGATTTATTATTTGTAGGTATGAAGAATTCTAATTCAATGCGCATTAAAAATCAGTATTCAGGCAATTTGTGGATATTTAAATAGTTTTATAAACTGCTTCAATACTTCACTCATGACTAATTAGGTATCGAGTTAGGTATTAACAAGTTTAATTTTTCATTTCAATTTATATGTTTGTGTACCTATTGTAATGTACCTATTTCAGCAAAATCTATATTTTCTTCTTTCTGGAATTATGGCTTTATTTAATATAAAATGAAATTCTGAATTTGAAATTTACCTCTACATTATTTCATGATTGATGAATGTTACCAAGGTGAAGACACATTTTTCGTCATTGAGAGGCAATTTCCAGTTGATGCTCCATTCTCTTACTGCATTTATATCACACTGTAGGCTGTACTGTAGGTTATTTCTTTGCAACAAAGGATTGCAATGTTGGATTTATCAGCAAACAAGAACTTTGATACGTGGAGACTAGATCGCAGGTCACTAATGAATGCAATAAAAATTAATGGACCTAAGACTTTGAGGGACTCCACTTGAAATTGGGTGTTCTTGGAAAGCGGCTTTTCCAATTCTTACTTTGAAATTTAGTTTTTTTAAAAAAAGTCTTGAATGAACCTTAGAAGTCTACCTCTTGCACCAAAATGATTGAGTTTGTATAGCAACCTTCCAAAAGACCCCTTGTCAAATGCCTTCTCAAAATCTATGTATAAAACATCAGTTAGTTGTCCCAAGACATCTGCCAATGTCCACTCTTGTAATCGTAGGAGATTTGTAACTATAGACCTACCAGGAAGAAAGCCATGCTGCGATGAATGATGGATGAAGTCGTTATTAAAAAATAATGAGGTGAGGCACCATCCTGCTGAAAATAGATATCGTTGTATTTTTTCTCAAGAGAGAATACACAAAACTGTTACTTTTGGGGCATCTCGCTTTTTTCACTGGAACTCGTTAAATTCTTTTGGAAAATATATTTTATCTTAGTTGATATCTAACTTGATATTTACAAAATTGCTTACCATAGTGATAGCAAGTACCTCCAACATGAAGTTGCATGCTTTTGCAGAAATACCAGGATTTCGATTTCAATTTTTCATGACTAAAATTTTAAGTTTCTTCAAGGATGATGCTTTTTGGTACATAGATACCTTTAACATGAGTCCATTTTTTGATGTTGTGATGTACAGGGTGTTCCATTAAAAATAGTGGAGAATTTCGATGTTGAAAAACAGATTTTTTTTCTACTCGCCTTGTATACGAGGCAGAAAAATTTGCAACCTACCGAAAAAAAACTTTATGCCAAGAAAAGTCGAATGGCGTAAACCGTAGGTAGCTAGCACACCTGGTTAAAAAGTTATAAGCATTTAAAATGGGTCACTCTCGGCTGGGTCACCCTGTATTGTTCCTATAACTTGCATAATTTGCATCAGTTCCATTTAATCGGTATTTATCCCAGGCCCTCTTTTTTTGAGTCCGCCTAGTGAGTCATGGTTTGTTTGGATTGGATATCATTGAAATGAGTGGTATAAATCGTTCTATTGCTGAGACTATGCTCATGAACGCTTCCTATAGGTTTCCATAAGCTATGTCAAAATTTTGTGATTGCAAGTAGTTGTTTGTTAATTTATAGGTTGCCCTTCAAAATTGCCTCTTAAGGATAGTTCGAGTAGGTTTGCAAATGTCATTTGGCAGCAATGACCACGTGGTCACTACTACCCAACGGGGGATGGGACTGGATATCAAACATTAATTTTTTTTTAACACAATAATCAGATCTAGTAGTGATATTTCGTTTCCACGAATCCTGGTCGAGAAGTTTATTGACTGAAATCCATTAATTTGTTTATAGCTAGCAAGAAAATTCTGGCTACATTGGTTTGTGAAACAGTTAGATTGTCCCAATTGATCTCTGGGTAGTTGAAGTTCCAATTACATATACAGGTATCTGTCTGTATCTCTAAGGCTTTTTCAAGTTTTTCTATAAAGATGAGGTTTTGAGCTTCTGTTGAGGCCTTTTTGGATTGGTAGATGCAAGCTTCTATTATTTCAATACATACTTTGAATTTCAATTCTCAATCAAATAGATTCTACAAGTGTATCTGTACTAAATTGCTCAATAAGGTTTGCAGTGACTGAGTTAGTTACCTGCTTTCGAATCTCTTACAAACATACAAATCCCACCACCCTGTTTTCCTTGACGATCTTTTCTAAAAACAGTATATCCAGGGAGAAGTCATAAGGTTGCCTGGGTAGATCTTTATGGAACCATGTTTCTGTGAGTAAAATGAATGTTGATTCATGTTGTTGGATGCTTGCTTTCCACTCATCCACTTTAGTTAAGAATTTGTCTGGTAAAAGAAGACTTGCTATTCAGGTTTTTGACTGTACCGGAGCTGAAATACTTAATTTTTAAGTTTGATCCACCTTCGTTAGTGCGCTTTTCTATTTCTTTTAAAAAAAATTCAATGAACAGTCTTTGGTTTTCAGTATAGTCATATTTGATGTAAACTGCGTCTTCACTAAGCTGGTATTTTAGTTTAAGGATTTTAATGGCTTCACTCTTTGATGGAAAGGTAACCCGTATTGGCCGGCACTTATTTTCAAGGAAGAAAACCTTCAGTTCTTCTGCTTAAGTTTTTAAATGATATTTAGGGCACTTTTTGTAGTGATTTTGATGCCCTACTCAAGCCATATAGCCATTGCATCTTCCTATACACCAAATATAAGTATATTTTACGCTCTTCGCTCTCTTTCCTATATCTCCAAGTTGTTGGACTCAACCAAGGAATGGTTAGTAGCTGGTTTTCATTTTTTTTGACTTCTTCCTCCATTTTATTAAAGTTGCCTTGGAAAGTTTCTGCTTCCCTTTTGATCTTCGCAATCTCTTTTGTGGTTTTATCAAAACTTGTTTTTAGTTGTTTAATTTCGGACTCCATACATTCAACTTCTGTTAGGAGTTTATTTATTTATTTATTTATTAATTTATACCATAAGTATCAACAGCTACAAACAGCCGAAGAATTATAGACACTCGCTTAGTCTAGAAATACAATTACAATAGTTAAAACTAAGTTATATTCAGACACTAATTTATCATCAACGATTTTCTTAAAATTCCTTAAGCTAATCATGTCTATATACAGGGTGTCAATTTGAAAACTTCCCACCCCTATTATCTCGGGGTAGACAAATTTTTGAAAAAATCCCTGAAACACGTCAACTATAATTTGAAGGGGGATGAGTTTTTATGCAAAATTCACCTTCCCTCTTTCAACGCCCCAGCCCCCAGAGCCACCCCCTAGAAAATTTCAAATGAGAAGGGGAGGTCAAGTGATACATCATTTTGCAGGGTTTTAATCTCCATACATTTTGGTACTAAATTTTAGTCCCTAAGTTCAACTGTTTTGGAAATATTGACAGTTGAAAATTGACTTTTTTGCTACTTTGACAGGCTGTAAAACGTAAACGGTTAATTTTAGAGGAAAACCGATCTTACAATTTGACACCATTTCTGAATTTAATCGGAGATTAAATTTTCAACCGGAATTTATGATCATGGATTAAATTCGAAGTTGCTATCAAATGATAGTTTATAAAGATCTAAGACAAGAATGTGAGATCAGTTTTCCTCTAAAATTACCCGTTTAGGTTTTACAGTTGTCAAAGTTGCAAAAAAGTCAATTTTCAACTGTCAATATTTTTAAAACAGTTGAGCTTACGGATTAATTAAAATTTTATACCAAAATGTATAGAATTAAAAACCCTCCAAAATTATGTATCACTTGACCCCCCCTCCAATTTAAAATTTTCTAGGGGGTGGCTCTGGGGGCTGGGGGGTTGAAAGAGAGAAAGTGAATTTTGCATAAAAACTCATCCCCCTTTAAATTATAGTTAAGTATAGTTCCAGGGATTTTTTAGAAATTTTTTCTACTCCGAGGTAATAGGGGTGGGAAGTTTTCAAATTGACACCCTGTATACAGGGTGTTTGGCGGAGGGTTAGCCAGACTTGGTGGTCGTATAGATAGGCCCATTTTGAAGATATTTTATTAATACAATTGTGGCCTTAGGTTCCATTTTTTTTTCCTCATTTGTTCTCAAGAATTTTCAAAAATGAACCTTTTAACTTCTGTAACTTTTCTTAAAATATTTATGAAAACGTGTCTTGCGTGTGTTTTTGGTCTGTAGGGTATCCTTGATAATATCAGAAAGTTAAAAGGTTTCAGAAGTTAAAAGGACCATTTTTGAAAATTCTTGAGAATAATACAAAAGCAATGATATAAAAAAAAGGGGGCCTTAAGGGCATTAGTGTATTAAGAAAATATCTTCCAAATGGGCCTATCTATACGCCCACCAAGTTTGGCTAACCCTCCGCCGAACACCCTATATAAATACGTCAGAAGTATACTTATTAAACATTTGACACATCTGATATATAGGTGATTGCTTAAATAAATTTATTCTAGGGAAATCCAGGTAAAACACTTTATCTCTAACGTTCACTCTATCCACCACAAACGGTAATTCACCAAGAATATCAGGACTGTCAATATTTCTCTTTATCAACCTTAGACATAGTACACAAACATGCTCTTGTTCTACGACATTCCAAAGGCATCCTATTGAACATACGTAATATACGTAATTATAACAGCCCTGTTGAGGATAGAAACCAAACTTCTTAAAAAAACATATACTTTAGAAATTTCCTCTGTATTCTCTTAATAAATGATTTCCATACATTATACTGTGGTGACCATATAATAATATTATACTCTAGTCTAGGGAGCATTAAAGTGTCAAAGAGCTCAAGGCTTAGATCAATGCTAATACTTTTGGTATGGTATATGGTTATTAAAAGTCACGTTGAGAGCTTACCCTATTTAACAAAACATCCTTAATACTATATGGATTAATTTACAAAGTATTACGTGTCCTTGAGTGTGATAATCGAGAAGATTTTGGTGGGAAATGAGGACAGACGTGAGGAAGACGAAAAAATTATCGTCGAAACGTCGCAAATGAATTAAAATTGTATATGAAAACAATTATTGTCCTTATGTCCCACCAAAATCTTCTCGGCTATATGGATTGTTAAAAACATTGATTTTACGAGAAGGACCTACAGGAACACTTAACAACAATCCATTTCTATCACACCAGACAGCAACACAATCCAAGTCACGCTGAATACTATCACAGTCATCTTGAGACGTAACACTTGCATACAATTTAAAGTCATCAGCAAACAGCAACGTTTTGGACTTTTTAACCACATCAACAATACCATGTATTGTTACCAAGAAAAGTAGAAGTCCCAGATTAGAACCTTGGGGAATGCCTGATGTACTTTCATAGACTACAGAATTACATCCTTTTATTTCCACATACTGGTTCCTTTTAAAGAAATAGGATTTAATAATATTAATTAAATAAGGGGGAATATCCCTCAATGCTTTCAAAATTATACAGTGCCTAACCTTATCAAATGCCTTTTCCATATCTGTATAAATTACATCCACCTGAGCTTTTATCTTCAGCGACTCAGTTAAGAATTTGTTTAAGTACTTGTTTCAAAAATGTCATTTACATTTTCCTGAATAATAAATTTTGTTCTAAAAATAAGGAATATCTTACGCTAATCCAGGGATTTTTAAATACAGTAAAACATGATAATATGTTATGTAACATTTGAATACATAAAACTTACTTGAGGAACTTTGTTTCATCCTTCAGTCCCTGAATCTGAGGTTTGCATTTTCAAACTATCACCATGTTTATGAGACGAACAAATATTGTGTCCTTACACAGTGTCACTTTATTTTGCAGTCAACTTACTTACCTTCAAATATAAACAAAAAAATGTCTCATCTTCAGCTTTGCCTGTATCCATTTTGCTTCATTATAGACTTTTTCTTTTAGGTATTTGCTGGTGACGGTTTGCCGTCGCTCATTTGCAACAGATGCAAAACTCAAACAAACCAATCGTATATTTTCAAAAGTAATTGCAGGAAAGCCGATGACGCTTTCAAGGTAAAACTCGATTCCCAGTTTTTTTGCAGGTTTCACTCAAAACAATTTTTCAGAATTATTTAGAAACGGGCCACCTCATCAAGCCTGAAGCTCATAAAACCCCATCACAACCTCAAAGAAAAATTTCTACTAAGGTTTCACCACTCAGAGAAGTTAAAAACGTTGCAAAAAGAACATTGTCAGGGGATACTGAAACTGTTAAAAGGCAAAAGTTGGAGGATGGCACTGAAATAATTACTTTGTGCATAACAGACTCTGTTGACGATCAGAATCAGGATGTATGACATATTTCAATAAAAATCTACTAGTTTTAATTTTATGAATATTTTTAGGAAGCCAGTCGAGATACAGAACAAGAAGAAGAATTGCATTTATCTGAAGAAGATGATTCGTTTCAAGAGTCCTCAAGCTATGTACCACCACCTAAGGCTGTGGAAGTAATTATTATTAATTTAGTTGTTTTAAAATATATTTCTCAACGTTTTATGTACTTTAGGTTGAAACTGGTGTATTTTTATGCAACATTTGCGGCAAAGCTTTCCCATTGAAACAACTTTTGGATATCCATGAAACTACTGATCACAGAGCAAGGCCTTTTGCTTGCGAAAAATGTGGAATGTCATTTTTTAGGTAAGAATCCTCATTTATTTTATAAATGAAATGTTAATATTTGTTTTTATAGTAAAGACGATTTGACGAAGCACGAACAAACTCACAGCACCATGAAACCGTACTGCTGCAGCGTTTGCTTGAAAGATTTCAATAGATTGAGTTTGCTTAGAAGACACGAGAAAGTACACACCGATTCACCCAGTTATACGTGCTTTGAATGCAACAGGTCGTTTTTAGGAAAAGATGATTTGGAAACTCATATGAAAAAACATTCTTCTTCTAAGCCTTTCGCTTGTGAGGAGTGTGGCAGGACTTTTGTCTTTAAACAGGTATTTGAAAAAATGTATATTACTTACTGCACAGGAAATAACGTTCATTTTTTCGCAAAGGGATTAGACAGACACATGGACTCGAGCCATTCATCGGGCCTGCCATATAAATGTAGCTATTGTGAAGCAGGCTTTAGCACATCGGTTCGCCTGAAAAAACATGTTACTGAACATGCTGGACTTAGACCGTACCGTTGTAAGGTAAGAGACATTTTTAGTTGGGAAATTTAATATTCAATTTTGAATTGAACAACAAAATTAAATATAAATAGATTGCGCATTATGATAAATAAGTTTCATATTTGTTTTTGTCCATGTTGTGATTTTGGGAACGATCAAATTCCATTTTACCAATATCAATGTCATATCTAGAGCCAGAATGTTCAAAAATAGTCCAGCTGAAAAATTAGCTGAACTTTTCAGGATTTGTAGACGTTAACTACAACTGCATTCTGTAGAAAATTCCATAATAAAGTTCATGAAACTTACATTCACTTTGATTTTCAGATTTGTCATAGATCATTCTTGTTAAGCCACCATTTAACAAGACATTTGCGCTCTCACTATGATAAAGAACCCGGCGTTAGTGTAGGTCAGTACAAATGCGATATATGCAGTATGTCATTCAAAAAAAAAGACAGTTTGATAAATCACAGCGCTATACATAGCATGGTTAATTTGAAGTAAGTAATCAGAATTACTGTGAAACAATTAATTTACTAATTGATATTTCTAGATGTGTTATCTGTAACACTAAATTTGAGAGTGCTAAAATGGTTAAAGACCACATCACCACTCACTTGCTAGAGTTGCCTTACCCTTGCGAAAAATGCGACTACAGTTTTGATACACATAAGCAACTTGTTGAACATGAAGTTAAGCATGCCGAAATTGAATATGAGGAACAAATTGAAAAAGAAGTAAGGGTTCAACAAACTAACTTAATCAATTAATCATTAGTGTTGAAATATTTTTAGGTAAGTACCGAATTTAGAACCAGACAGGATGAACCTAAGATAGTCGATTATGATGAACAAGAGGATGAGACCGAGGAGGGAATTCAAAATTATCACAATGATGGTAAAGAGGTATGTCAAACAAATTTACATCAATATTATTTTCAATGTTTCAAAACTCTCAGGTTAGCCATTTCCATATATCCAATATTGACGATCAAGAAGCAGATTTAGAAGTGATGCCAAAATTAACCTCTACCAAAAAAACTCCCAAACGGCTAGCAACCCAACAGAAAAAAGAAGTGAAACAGGAGGTAGAGGATGGATTAAACCAGTTTTTCAGCATTGATAATGATGAAGGAAACGAAGTTGATCCTATGGAAGTGGCAGAACAAGAAAGTGAAGACAACGATATCAAGCCAATTTATAGGATGGAAGGTATCAAGATGTATGAAAGAAAAGGTCCGGCCAGACGCAAACTTCATGAAATGGAAAATATGGAAACTATTGAACATACTATTGAGTTGGAAGATATTGACGAACCGCCGCCTATTGATGAACCTCTTTCTATTGATGCCGTACCAATGATCCCTACAGAAAATTTGAATAGTTCATCACCAAAGGATCCTGTAAACTATAAAGTTGGAGATAAAGTAGTAAAAGTGCAGAAATTTATTATTAGTAAAGATGAAATGAAAGAAATGGCCAAAATGGGTAAGTTGTAAAGCTTTACAGGAATTTTAGTTTATTTGACGCTGGTTTTTCTTTTTAGGTATTTTGGAAGTTAGGAAGGGTCAAGTGATCATGAAACACCCGGGCCAGCCAATACTGAACGCGAAAATTAAACAGGTACAGCAGAGCGACATCGAAAGTTTATTACAAGGACAAAAAGGTCTGATGAAGTCGCCTGTCAGGCAGTATCGTAGGGCTTCATCCAGTGCTTCTACAGATCATTTTGCTGAAATGGAGGATTAAAAATAAAAACATAGAATGTTATTTTAAGTGACTAGATCTAGTAGATGGTAATTTTAAAAGCTTTCGGCTGTATTAGAATCTTTTGTTAAGTCCTTGTTAGTTAACAGAAATATTGTTTTTGTATGACACAATCTAAGGTTTTTGTTAACTGACAAGGACTTTTTCAACGATTGATCTAGCCGCACTTAGCTATCAAGGAATCTGTATTTTGTTTTATAGTTATTTATAGAACAAGGGCCAGAAGGGGTACATCCTGGGGTGGTTGGGAAGCTTTGCAAGTGTTATGTATATATTTTTTTCTCATGGCCAGCTTTATTTTAAAAATAAGGAAATTGCCTCTATTCATATTCTGTAAATTTTACGTTGTGACAACCAAATTGGTACCAACAAATTCTTTTTTGGAAAATTGCTATTGGCACCTGAGGTTATATTTTTTTTTTTTAAATAAAGTACATATTGATTATTTCAAGTATTTTTATTTTGCGGAACTTTTTCGTTTGAATTTGACAGGGAGCGATTTCTCCACAAGGAAATTCGATATTTGTGATTCCCATCTTATGAACTACGTTACCCGATGTTTTTCATCTTTCAACGAACGCCATTGAAAAAAGACAAATTCATCGGCTAGAGAACGGGCTAATCGGATCAGCGTTTTCACAATGACTATGAATACATTTTTGTTTGTCAGGCTTTCGCGGCCTAGGTTTATTGATGTGGTTTCATTCGGGCTTAATGACCGCCGTAAGTTGGAATAATTTAGAGCTTTGATAAGCTTCAGAAGAGTTGGAGAATTGGAACTTGCAAGAACATTGTTAAACGCCACAGAACACTGTAGAATCAAATAAGAATTTCAGGAACATCTATACCATTTCCAAATCCAAGCGGCAGAAAATGACACTTTAGAACTAACTCAAAACTTCATGAACATATTAGATCACTCAAAAACATTTTGGTAGGTTTTTTTCTGCAGATCTTTGTGGTAATGTCTATGGAAATATCCATCAAAATTCATTCAAAAACCAGAGAGTCGACCTGCATGTCGAGGCAATGGTTTTTGCACGTAAAATTTTGAATTTGTATTTTTGCATTTGTCAGCTTTGAAAAAAAGTATGTCATTGTCATCTTATTTGTCCCACAATTAATCAAAGCAATCATGAATTTCCTAGGCAACAAACAAATGCGAATAACAAAAAATAACATTTTTGAGCTTCAAGGCAAAATTTGAAATGCCCACATCTTCATCAAAATTAAAGTGAAATTCTAATTTTAGTTTTTTTTTTTTGAATCATCAAATTCTAGTTTAGTTAATAAATCATGGTGGTAAGCAAAAAATTACACACTTTCTTTCCCCATTAGTTAGTCAGGCCCTAAAAAGACTGTTTTCACATTCATATTTCCCCGTATTTACTAGAGGGAGTGTATCTCTGTTCATATCGGCCAAGCAGGAGTACAAATAGGAAATTCGACATGGGACTTGTATTGCCTCGAACACGGCATTCAACCGGACGGTACCATAACGCCAAAAAGCGAAGTTGTTTCCGACAATTTCTACGGGACTTTCTTTTCTGAAGTGGAAAATGGCAAATTGGTACCCAGATCTGTAATGGTAGATTTGGAACCCACCGTAGTAGGTAAGGCATAACAATCGCAAGGTGTAAAAAACGCTTTAATTTTTTTTAAAATTTAAAATATAAATTGTGTAGATGAAGTTAGAACTGGATATTATAAGAAACTCTATCATCCAGAGCAACTCATTACTGGCAAAGAAGATGCGGCTAATAATTATGCTAGAGGGCACTATAGCTTAGGTGAATTTATAAAACAAAACCCAAAAAAATAAGCTCCTCATACCAAAAACCTCGTTTCAGGCAAAGACATGTTAAACATTGTAATGGAACGTCTCTACAAACTAGCCGAAAACTGCTCCGGACTGCAAGGTTTCTTTGTATTCCATTCGTTTGGCGGCGGTACCGGTTCAGGGTTCACGTCCTTGCTAATGGAGAAACTGAGTCAAGATTTCGGAAAGAAAAGTAAACTCGAATTCGTGGTTTACCCGGCGCCACAAGTTTGCACGGCTGTGGTGGAACCGTATAATTCGATTTTGACCACTCACAGTACTTTGAACCATTCGGATTGTGCTTTTATGGTCGACAACGAAGCTATTTACGACATTTGTCGCAGGAAGTTGGGAATTGAAAGGCCCAATTATATGAATCTGAATAGGTAAGTGATTTAATAACTCAAGGTTCTCATGACTCTTAGATCTTCCCAAGATCCAACGATAAACCCAGATTTACAAAATAAGTTTAACTTATGATGATCAACCATGGATTTTTTAGAGGTCATTCCACTTTCTTATTTTCCAGGTTGATTAGTCAAGTTGTTTCTTCCATAACAGCTTCATTGCGATTTGATGGTGCTCTTAATGTGGATTTGACAGAATTTCAAACTAACTTGGTAGATTGATTATACACTAATATTTTTCAAGCCTTTTTTATAGTTTCTTTTTGAACCATGTAGGTTCCTTATCCAAGAATCCATTTCCCACTAGCTTCCTATGCTCCTGTAGTATCATCTGAAAAAGCCTTTCACGAGGGAATGTCTGTAGCCGAAATAACAGCTGAATTATTTGAACCGACCAATCAGGTAATCAGTTTTTAGATATAATCCTTTATAACATTGTCCTTTTTAGATGGTAAAATGTGATCCTCGTGATGGCAAATACATGGCCTGTTGTCTTCTGTACAGAGGCGATGTAGTTCCAAAAGATGTCAATGCTTCCATAGCTCAAATGAAAGCTAAAAGTTATGTCCGATTTGTAGATTGGTGCCCTACAGGTAACTAAATGGGTGTTCATTTATACTTGCTCTACCTGCTCGAAAAATCAGGAAGATCTGCTAGGAGCTGCTATTTATGAGCTTATATATGGGACAAGTGAACGCCGATCTGCTTGAAGCAAGAAAAGCAGTTACAAATGAACACCCTAAATAATTCAATAAAACATATAACATTGAAACCAAAATTCTTATATAGGATTTAAGGTTGGTATAAACTATCAGCCTCCAACAGTAGTCACAGGCGGTGACTTGGCCAGCGTCCAAAGAGCTGTCTGTATGTTATCGAATACAACTGCTATAGAATCGGCTTGGAGAAAATTGAATAGGAAGTTTGATCTTATGTTTGCCAAAAGAGCGTTCGTCCATTGGTACGTAGGTGAAGGTATGGAGGAAGGAGAATTTACCGAGGCTCGAGAAAACTTGGCTACGCTGGAAAGGGATTATGAAGAAGTCGCCTCTGATACTACTGACATTGGTGAGGAAGCAATGGAAGCATGACAAGATAATAAGAAAAATATTCTGTGCTATTTCAAATCTACTTTTAGGGACGGGTAAATAATGAATGTTAAAAGTTTCTTGGTTTTAGGTTCAATCCTCACCAGTATCTAATTCGAACTTTTAATATTCATTACGCACTATTTAAAAATCTTATTTTGTACTTAGTCATCATGTATATTATGTTTTATTTTATTTTATCAACATTTTTTTATATGGTCACATTTTTTTTTACATACATACATACATCATTGGGAAAAGAAAATGTCTATCTATTTTTATTAATTTAAACAATATCACAATTGAAACAAAACTGATGAAATTCAGCTAATTTTTACATCAGTCAATAATAAGTTTGGGCAAGTCAAAAATCTCAAAATGTCATTTATACATAAATTTTTGAAAAACAATAAATAATAGTTATCTATTATTGGCAAATTCAGTCACATTAAGCCCTCTGACAAGGCTTGGAAGTTAAAAATAAGCCTCTCTATAACTTCAACATTGTCAAAAGTTAAATTTTGAATAATATAATATTTTTTTAAAGATTTGTAGATAAAATCGATATTTAATATGACATCCACTGCAATCTATTTAGGCAGTAATGTACGTACAGTTCCCATAATTAATAATTCCCTAATTTTATAAATAACTCTTAGGGCGGGTATTATAAAACTACTTTGAGAGTTAACTTAAAGTTAACTTCTGAAAATACATGTAATTCAAAAAGTTAACTTCAAGTTAACTGTCAAAGCAGTTTTATAATACCCGCCCTTAAACAGTCAGATGTAAACAGACTTTTAACAAACATTTTCATCTTCAGAAAACAGAATTTGAAATTTATATATTTAACAAAAAAACATTATTGTAAAATAAATAAAATACCTAAATGCATTTTTAATTCTAAGTGGAATAACTTTGGAAGTATGCACCACAAAATTTAATTTTAAGTACATTCCATATAATACATAATAATAATAATAATTTAAAATCTAAGAAATATTATGCGAATGAGATCAATAAATGACTTTGGTTTTAATTTATAATAATTATTATTCAATAATCGCTTGCAAGAGTCTACCAATCACGATTTTTTTAATAATTTATTCAGCCTATCTATTTCAGTTCCTAAAGTATCTACATTTTCCTAAAAGAAACAAGCTTATTTATATCATTAAACAAAACTACTATTATTTTACCTTTAAAGTGATGTTTTTAAGCAAGGCATCTTCCAATACAGCTTGAAGTTTCCGATTGATATCCAAGGAAAGTTCCATGGTTAAACTATCATCGCACACTTTATTGCTGTACATAGATGCCATAACACCGTTTAGTTTTGCTAACCGCGCCTGAAATAATTATTCAGTAGAGCAGAAATTGCAAGGGGAAAATGAAAATATGAAGCAGAAAAACACTAAAACAAACAAGTCAAAGCAGATCTACTTACCATAGTCTTTTCTAATTATTCCAAGAAGGCAAGACAAAAATGAGAAAAAATTATAAGAGCTCACAAAAAGTTCCTCAAGTCTAATCGTGCACAAACAAATTGACACGTTTGCAGTTGTCACATATAAAATACAATTTTTTTTGTAGCCTAACAAAAAGTCTTTTTTAAAAATCATGAAAATGAATAGACTTGCAGAACCACGTACATATCCATAAATAAAACCTACCTTATTGCTATCCATGCTGTTCGAGCTCAAAGTGCCAGATTGTTCCCTCAAAATATACCCCTGCAATAGTTTAGTTTTCTTCTGAATCTCAACCACCAAAGTATTCACATGTTCCTCTAGAAAATCAATTTTTTCAGACTTCTTGGCACTTATCCTTTGCAACTTTACGATATGTTCAATAAGAGCTTGTTTGTCTATAGTTGCTTCAGGCTGCACAATCTGAAAACCATAATTCATAAAATACAACTTCAAAAAAACATTCAAAATTGTGTACTTTTACTTGCTCATTGTCGGAATAATGTCCATTAACGTTGAAAGAAGAACTAGAGTTGCTAGCGTTTGACGATGAATCACCATTTTCATATTGTTCGATTTTTTTCCTGCAATGTTGTAGTTCTTTGTTGACTTCCTGAAAATAATTCAATTCAAATAAAATACATATTGAAATTATTCAACTTACCCTCAAGTTTAAATCAAACTTCCTTTTCATGACCAAGTTTTCCCCTAGTTGATCACCTACTTCCCTTAAAGCATTATCCAAACTTTTCTGAGTTTCTTCTAAAGTTTTCTTTAAAGTGTCACTTTCTGACAAAAATTTACCTCTTTCTTCTTCCAAGGTAGTCGACAATAAACCAACTTTGGATTCTTGTTCCTTAAGTTGCCTTTTCAACAGAGTCTGTTCACAAGAAAGTTGCTGAACCTAGAAAACCAATAATTATAATAAAGAAAAACATAAAATATTATGAAAATATTACTTTTGTTTCTAGAGCAGTAAATTCAGATTGTAGCCTAACATTTTTGTCAGTCAATTGTTGAGTAAAAAGAAGCAGCTCAGCTTCCCTAACTCTACAAGCCTCCATATCAGATTCTAATTCCTGGTTTCTTAGTTTTAAAAGATCCATTTGTTCATTAGATGCTAGCAATTGATCTTGTTCACTAGAAGAGCAATTAATATTTAGAAAAATAATATTTGAAGGTTCCAAGAGGACATACTGTTTCAGCTGCAACTTCAATTGCTCTAATTGTACATTTCTTGTCTGTAAGTTTGCAGCATCTTGTCTTTGTTGATCCTGACATCCTCTAAGCTCACTCAATTTTTGTCCATTTTCAAGCCTAAATAATTTCTCGATAAAATGCTGAAGCAAAAATTCAAACCACCTACCTTTCTTGCTCCAAATGTTGCACTTTCAAACTCAAATTATTATTTTCATCAATCATTTCTTTTTGTTTAGTGTGCAGTCTGTCCAGTTCATTTTGCAAAGTTTTTATTTGTAATTCTCTATCTGTTTTCTCGTGTCGGAGTAAAATGAGTGAGGCCTGTTGTTCTTTAACTTGCTGATCTAGAATGTAGGCTTTATTTTCTTGAGAAGTCATGAAGTTTTTTATGGTTTCTTCTGCATGTTTCTTTGCAGTTTCTATTTGGTTTGCTGAGTCTTGGGCGATTGTGTTGAGATTTTCAACCTGAAAGAAGAATGGTATAAAAAAAAAATTAAAATTTCATTATTTTTGTGCCACCTTATGATTTGGATTTTTAAAAACTTTGACACACCATAAATTTTTTTCTATTTGTAGATAGAAAACTGAAATTTCCAGCGATTCTTATCCTAATAGAAAACTACAATCAATCCCCGAAAAAATCAGCTCATTTGGACTTATAAAATCAAGAAATAAAATCGTGTTAATCACTTTGGGGTGAATTTATCAATTTTTCGATTTCCTGACATCCTTTTTCTATATATTCCTGCTTCAAATCTCAGAATAATTTAGTGTATGGAGTTTGGGGGATCTCAAATGATAATTTGAAAACAAAATCGAGGTATGCTCAGAGGTACTTATGTATTTTGATTTGGATTTATGAAAACTTCGAAAAATCATAACTCCAATTCTATTACCTATAGACAGCTGAAATTTTCAGTGATTCTTATCCTCGTGGAAGACTACAATCCCTGAAAATTTCAGCTCATTTGGACTTATAGTTCCAGAAATAAAACCGCGTACTTAAAGCAATTTGGGGTGAACAATTTTTCAATTTCGGGGGTCCAATGATCATTTAAACACAAAATTTTGACATAAAATATTTGAAATTTCATCATTTTAGCAATACCTTTTAATTTGGGTTTTTGAAAACTTTGAAACATCATAAATTTTTTTCTATTACAGATTGAAAGCTGAAATTTTCAGCGATTCTTATCCTAGTAAAGGACCGCAATCCCTGAGAATTTCAGCTCTTTTGGACTTATAGTTCCAGAAATAAAATCGCGTGAGGCAATTTGGGGTAGATTTATCAATTTTCCAATTTCCTGACATCCTTTTTCTATACCGCGTGTCCCACCAAAAACTGTCAATGGCCTATATCTTGAAAACGGTAATCGATAAAAAAAAAATGAAAAACCCGTTTAGAGGGTTGGAAGGGGGAACCAAAACAAGGTACTTTTCAGGTCGCCCTGGATCACCCCTCCGGCCGTAGCTACCCTAACCTCAAAATCTTAAATGGCACTATGGGTCACGTGATACCTTGTTTGAAAGGTTTTTTAATTCTCTAAACGAATCTGCAAAAAAAAATTATCTAGATACAAATTTAAATTGTCACAAAATGGCGCATGCTTCGAGTTAAGAACTTTGCTCTCTTGGGGAGGTGAACACTGTTAGGTACAGTGAGGGGAGAGGGGTTCAAAAAAATAAAATCTTGATGATTTCTTCAAAAATATTCATGCTGTTATTCAATTTGTATAAAATTGATTTTATGTCATACCAATACATTATTGTGTTTTTATACCTTGGATACCATCTACATAATTCATTACTTTATGCCTGTGCGGGCATAAAGTACACATTATGGCCCGCGCGGGCATAAAGTACACATTATGGCCCGCGCGGGCATAAAGTACACATGCGGGCATAAAGACGCAAAAAACAGTTTTCAATTAACTTATTCTTTATTAACAAAATATAAATTTACGCTTATAAACATATTATTTTTGTCAAAAAATTATGATGTTTGCACACTGATGACAATTTGCGAAGTGACACTTTTTTCCTAGGTATTTATTATTCACAACCAACTGGTATGACATAAAAGTTTGTATGCACCACGGGTACTAATAGATAATATACCCTCGGGCGACTTACGAACTCTCGGGCCAGAGGCCCTCGGCTTTGTAAGACTGTCGCCCTCAGGGCATAATCATCTACTTAGTACCCTTGATACATAAATAACTATTAAATCACATTTACCTGTTCCACCCGATCAAATGAGGTTTTCATCAAAATGAGAGTCACATTCAAATCTGGATAATTTTTTTTTGGAGATCCATTAAGAGAATTAAAAGACCTTTAAAACAAGGTATCACATGACCGATAGTGCCATTGAAGATTTTGAGGTTAGGGTAGCTAGGGCCAGAAAACCTCGATGAAAACTTTGAAAAATCATAACTCCAATTCTAAACCCGTAGACAGCTGAAATTTTCAGTGATTCTTATCCTTGTGGAAGACTACAATACCTGAAAATTTCAACTCATTTGTTTATACCGAGTTCCAGAAATAAAATCGAGTCAAGCAATGTCCCAGAAAATTGTTCGAAAATAATTGTTCGAACGGAAAACTCTTCTAAAGGAAAATTGTTCGAACGGAAAATTAGTCGAAAAGTAAATTTTTCGAAAGGAAAATTGTTCGAACAGAAATTTGTTCGAAAGGAAAATTGTTCAAAGGGAAAATTGTTCGAAAGGCAAATTGTTCTAATGGAAAATTATTTGAAAGGAAAATTGTTCGAACGGAAAATTGTTCGAAAGGCAAATTGTTCGAATAGAAAATTGTTGGAAAGAAAAATTGTTCGAATGGGAAATGGTTCGAATGGAAAATTGTTAATAAATGTACTTATACGCCTCGGAGACGTTAATTCACCAAAAACCTTTTTTAAATACAACAGCTCGAAATTTCAATTATTTTTGAATCTCTGATTGCTTGCTTCGCTCACCGAATCTCAAAGAGAAGATTCGCGGAACCATAAATTCGGCGTTGGTACAAAAGAGCGCAGCTCAAAAGCGTGCGGACAAAAGGGTGCAGGTCAAAATATTATTGGCAACCAGTACACTTCTAACCAGTAACGAAACTAACCAAAAATATGCAAACTAACCTGTCCACGTAATGTGTGCTAGTCCTTGTATGTTAATATTAAATTTAAAAGACCAAGCGCCTCCTATTGTCAAGCAGTACTCTTTTAACCAGTAAACCAGTATTAAACGAACCGTGACGAAACTAACCCAAAAAAATGCAAACTAACCCAAATTAACCCGTCCACCTAATGAGTGCTAGTCCTCGTATATTAATATTGAATTTAAAAAACCAAGAATTATGAATCAGGGTCAAATATTAAGAATTAAGGAATTGGGTAACTCCGGCCATAGATTCATTAACGATTCACAGTTAAACTATTGATATGAAAAAAAAACAATTTCCTGTTCAAACAATTTTCTTTTGAACAATTATTTTCAAACAATTTTCCGTTCAAATAATTTTCCGTTCTAACAATTTTCCATTTGAACAATTTTCCATTCGAACAATTTTCCGTTCGAACAATTTTCCGTTCGAACAATTTTCCGTTCGAACAATTATCTTTCGAACAATTTTCTTTCGAACAATTATTTTCGAACAATTTTCCGTTGACGGAATTTTCCCCATGCTCCCCATACACTGTAGGAAGGAAAGGTGATCAAAGTACCTAAAGACAGGAGAAGAAACAAAAACACCTATTAATTTACCTTTGCCTGACATTCTTTATGGGCCTCAATTTCATTTTTCAAGCTATTCTGATGCCATTTCAATTTAGTATCCAAATTATTAACTTCTTGTTTCGCCCTATCCAGTTCCTGCTGTACGTTTTTGTGTTCATAACATTTATTATCCAACATTTGACATATCCTTGCTTTTTCTGAAATCATCGTTTGCAATTTATGCTGTAGCAGTTCGTTTTCTTTTTGAAGCTCTTTAAATTTTTTATCAATTTGTTCTTTTTGTTGCCGCTCTTTCATTACATTTTTTTCTCCAACAGCATATCTGATAACCATATTTTCCTTTTCTTTTATGGCAGCTTCCTTTAGCTTGTTGGCATTTTCAAGTTTGGTTTCCAATTCCTTTTTAACGGTTTCCAATTTTGAAACTTTGTCTTCCAGGAATTTGAAGTTACTCGAGTTATCGTTGATTATTTTGTGTTGATAGGCGATTGTGTCTAAAAGTTCTGCAACATTTATATTTGGATTGTCAGAGACAGGAGTTTTTATTAACTGGGTATCCTTGTCTATTTCCAGAGTTGTATCAGTCTCTCCTACTAAAATATAAATACTTGATATGATCCAAACGAAGCCTCAACTAGTTGAAAATGCAATTCCAAACAAAGTACATCCATACCTGAATAATTGTTTGGATCAATACTTGAAGTACCATCCTCACAACTGCTACCATCGCTTTCTAGACCATTTTCCGGTGTTTTTGTTACAGGAAGACTCTTATCAACTTCCTGTTCTGGCTGATTATTTTCCTTTCCATACCCATTTGTTGTCATATTAAAACTGTTTTTAACTTCTAACATATGTGACAAGTTTTCATCGTTATTCTGGATGCCTTCTTGCATTTTAGTTTAAATTTAATTTAAGACTGTTTAGCAGGAGTCACTGTACACTGAATGATTACCATTTTGGCAGTAAAAAAATTGAAAACTTTCTGGTTTATTATTTTTTCCAGACAAATTTGTTTTACATCAATCAACAAATTTGGAGGTTATGAAAATGGGATTAGGCATTCCAGGTCACGTGACTTTTGACAGGTCCGCTGGGGGGCAAACAAAGCCTAGATCAGTATTTACACCGTTCTTTGAGATTGTGTTTCCGAATTTTTGCGTTCTTAAATTCTCTCAATAAGTTTTTAGTTGTTTTTGTGGTAGAATGGCTAACATTGACTATTATTCATCGTTAGCTAGTGATGTGAAATGTCGGTATGACCAAAAAATACAAATAATTGCCAATATAGATCCTTATAAACTTCTACCTAATGAGTTTACTTTAAGTATCAATGAGTTGCCAGAGGTTTCAATTTTGGATTTATCCGAATATTTGACCCACACCCACAGTTACTACACAGGCTTGCAGTTGAAGGCGTATATAAAGGGTTATTCAAGTTCTGCTGGACTACCTAAAAGGTATTAAAAGTAAATATTACTTGTAGAAACAAACCAATTTTTCAATATAAATGTGTTTTTCTATTTTAACAAGACAGTCATAATACTTACCATTAACAAAATGTTTTGAACAAATACGAGCATTTTTCAGAAACGTTTCAGTTATAACTCTCCTTTTGAGGCATTTAATCCACAGATTTCGTCGTTGCTTTTTTAGCTCGTTTAGACGATTCCCTAGATCTCTTAATGCTGCTGGGATCCTGAAAAACCTTTCTTTCCGCTCTACTAGAGCACCTAACAACGCAGCAAATAGAAGGCATCTTCACAAAATAGATTGAAAATTCTTGGTTTAACATTGAATCAGGTTATGTTTGGCTTTTGTGTGCCCCCCAAACTAATATGGCGGATCGGTTATGACCAATGATTCACCTGAAATAAAATTTGGGTTCGGCTTGCTTTTCCTCCAAGTGCTCCGCAGGCACTCCAACTGTTCGGGTATGGCTTAGGGCGGGTATTATAAAACTTACACAAAAAGTATGGTTTAATTATGTTCGGGCACTTACTGATCTAGAGCTTTCTGGAATAAGCGCAACGAAGTTCAAAGTACGTTCGTGTTTCGTCGAGCTAGTCTAGGGAACAGGAATTAGAAATTCGGTGTTCGGGTTAAAAACGGAACTGTTCTGAGACGATTTTGAGTAGGAACTGTTTTCCACTCTCATTTAAATTCTATTCAACTTGAACGAGAGTTTATTTCTGAAATGTATTTATTATGTGGACTTTTTCATTTATATTATAAAACTAGTGCGCACCGAGTGCAATAGTTATGATCAATTGGAAAAACCAGTGCACGTTCTTGTTTTCCTTTGGAAAATCAGGGCAACGATTTTTGCTCTGAGTGCAGTTTCATCGTCAAGAGCTCCTAAAGTATGAAGGAAAATGTGCATAAGCGGCAAAAAATTGTGGCAGTGTTCAAGGATGTCTGAGAACTTTATGAACCTTGGCCAGTATTATAATTTTTTTCGGCTTTACTGCACTCAGAGTGCTCCTCGATCGTCTGGTCGGTGACGTCACAGATCTCTGCGGGAGTTCAATGAAAGCGATTATAATCCATTCCAAACGAGGGCACACCATTTGAAATAAATAGCCCAACGTACAACATTTTGATCAAACACTTTGGATCCATCAAATTTACCGGAGTAAGAATTAAAGAACGCTCTCTGCGAGATTTCGGAGCGTTCTATTGTTCAAGTTGAACCCGTGAATCTCGCAGAGAGCAACGCTCCGTTTTAAGCTGAAAATGCGAGTCCGGATCGCTTTTTATGCAGTCGGGTGTAGTTTTGAGGCAAAAGTCGAAAGCGCTATTAACCAAATAGGACTGTATACCGCGAGTGGCGTTCGTTCACCAAAATGTTGCACCGCCACGAATGCGGTGATTACGATTCACTAATACCAATGCCAAATCACAGCTTGCCAAACCCTGTTCAATTTAACAACACTACTTTTTCTACCACACGCGAAGTTGTCTGCCATGTTCACCCAAATCCCATATATTCATATTTGAAATAACCAATAGGTGGGAACAAGATGGCCGTGTTTCCAATATAAAAATATGGGATTTTAGAACCAATCAAAAATAAGACTGCAATTGTCGCCACTGTGGGTAATATAGTCACTGTGGTTCAGGCCACATTCTGTGACGTGACGTCAGCCGCAGGCCTCAAGTCTTGGAGTAAAATGCATTATCCGAGTTTAAGACATTATGGCTGAGTTCGGCTGTACACTCGGTAAACTCTGAGCGTGCTCGAAACGATAAGATCCTGTTCGTTTTAGCGCTCAGAGTGTTCTCTTTTGCGTTCGGGTTACGATCAAGCACGTACCTTGAGCTAGCTCTCTTTTCCCAGGATCACAGCCTCCTACACTTAACAAGCAATGAAGTTAAAAAGGCAACACCGCAATCATACCGCCAAGTGGTGCTGGTGCTGTTTGTTTTTATAAATATATATTTTTTATTTTGTTAATATGAATGACAAAAAATGCATCATTTATTGTACTAAAGGGCCAAAAACAGTAATTCAATGAATAATATAACTATTTGTGTAAATAATAACAGTAAATAGTTGATTTAAATGAATATATTTCTAGATTCTAAAGTGTTATAAGCCTATATGTTTCAGTGTGTCTTTTGAAAATCTAACTTTTTCTTTCTTCGGGATTTTTTCGGAAGGCAGGTCCATTCAAATACTTGAGCTGATTTTTGAAAATAACAGGTACTTAAGAGTTGGACGTTTTAGTTTGAAGTCTCGAATTACTCCTTTATCCTTGTTTGTTTCAAATCTAATTAGGTAGGTATTTCGGTTTCTTCAAAATGTTTACAACACACCACAGAATTTTTCGTTATTGTATAATCTCGGGTATAATTATTCTGGTGTATTGCTTTCATCCACAACTTTTGCAATTCAGAATTTTTTTGGAAATGAAAATGTTTGCATTACTCCAGTTTTTAAAGAACTCCTATAGTTCGTTTTGCACCCAGGAACGCAGTAGTTTCATGGCATCTGGAACAAGTTTAAATATCTTAGGTAATCAGAATGTGAGGTTATGTGTACAACAACAACACATTTTTCTTAGTCCAAAATTTTTCGAGTTTTTTACGCAAAATATTACCTAAAAATTGTACTACTGGTTAGTTCTACATATAATCAGCCCCAGCAAACCTAAATTAAGGCAAAACCAAAATTTTTTATGAAGAAAATCAGTGCTGACGAGGCCTAATCTATAACATGGGTACCTGTTTCAAGTGCAGAAATTCTTGTGTTTACGTGGATGTTACCAAGGATAAATCCATTAAAGACCTCTTCGGTGGACCCTGTGACTTTTGCAGAAACATTTTCTGCAAGGATTGCTCAAAACTTACGTCCAGCGAAATTAGGGCGCTAATGACGCAATCGCGTGTAATTGTTTTTTTCTGCCAAGACTGCATGGCCAACATTAAACAGATAGGCAACATTCAAAAGGACTCTGAAGATATAAAACTAAAATTTAGTGCCCTACAGCAGAATGTTTCCAACATGAAGGAAGATATTCAAAATCTTCAGTCACAAGTGACCTCGGCGCCTAAATCCTACGCACAAGCACTAGCTAGCACCACTAGCACTTTGCAGAAGGATATTTCTGATATTAAAAACTCAGCAGAGTTTATTTCGCAGTGTTATGAAGATCAGAAAACAGAACTAGTTAAGGCCACTGAAACATTAAAGAAATATGACACCGAGAATAGTGCCCTAAAACAAAATATTAAAATGCTTGAAACCAAAATGTTTTTCTCTGAACAAAAAGAAAAGGAAAACAAAGTAATAATTTCTGGTCTGAAACAAGTAAGCACTGCAAATATCTCTGAAACAGTTAAAACTGTCTTTAGACGATTAAGTTTAGAATCACTCCAATATAAACAATGCTACAAACTGAATAACAAAGACAATTCTCCAATCCTAGTGGAGCTAAACAACAAGCAGGATAGAGCATCCCTATTCAAAAAACGCAAAGATATAGGCAAAATCTCAGCCGAGTCTTGTGGACTACATGGCGGCACAATATACTTCAATGAGGACCTTACAATGGAGAACCAAAAATTATTTAAACTTGCCCGAGATGCCAGAAAACAAAAACTTATTGGAGCCACCTACACATATCTGGGCTTGGTGTATGTGAAAAAGGATGCCAACTCGCCTGCTGTCAAGATATTAAGCGAGGACAACCTCAAAGAGCTGTACTAAACTTACCATGTTTGAAATACCTACGCCTAATATAGGATTGTACTTAATTATATAAAACTTTACCCATTTCTAAAATGGCTTCCTCAACATTGTCACTTAATGTGCAGAATATTCAAGGTTGTCGAACTAAACTAAAAGAGCTAAAACTGTCCTTCGATAACTGCTCTTTTGATGCTGCTTTTGTCACTGAATCATGGTTAAATGACAGCATATTGGACCATGAAATCGTCGACCTGAGGAGATACTCAATTTTTCGTCGGGACAGGATTACTACATGCTCCAAAAAAGAAGAAGGGGGTGGAGTTTTCATAACCGTTTTGAACAAATATAACCCGGTCGGTCTTCAGGAGTTTGGCAGTGATGCTGAGGATGTTTGGGCCCTCTTGACTGTTGGTAATATCAAGGTTTACTTATGTTGTGTTTATCTACCACATGGTGATGACGTGAATTATGCCTGTTTTTTAACAAAATTAGGTTCGAACTTTAAAAAGATAAAAGATCACCCTGTAATCATTTGTGGCGATTTTAATTACTCGACAGTCGATTGGCTCGAGGAGAACGCTCATTTTGAGCCGTTTAATGTACCACCTAAGTATAGTGAGCTACTAGAAGCTTTTTCATTTAATGGCCTTACGCAATTTAATAATATTTACAACGCAAATAATAGGCTTTTGGATTTAGTATTCTGCAATAAGTTTTATATTAATAATTTAGTTCAATCTGACCATCCCCTGTTGCCCGAAAATATAAACCACCCATCCTTGGAGTTCTTGTTTGACTGTCCTCATGCCGAATTGAAAGAAAAATGCAAAAAGAAATACTTTAGAAACTTCAAACAAGCTAAATATACTGATATCAATAACGTGCTCAACTTGCAGGACTGGCCATCACTGCTAAACCCTAAAAATAATCTGGACATAAATGTCAAAATATTTTATAATACCTTAAACAAAATTATACAGGATAAAGTTCCTCTAAAAGGTATAAATAATGACTTTCCTCCCTACTTTTCTAAAGAAACAATCAAACTAATATTAAAGAAAAAAAAATTACACAAAAAATGGAAAGATAACAAAAATGTAAACTCCTATAATGCTTTTAAACTTCTCCGTTCACAAACAAAAAGATGCATTGGCACTGACTACCAGTCATATGTTTCTAACATAGAAAACGAAATACCTAATAATAGCAAAAAATTCTGGCAGTTTGTGTCAAATAAAGGATCAAATGGAGGGACTCCTAGGGAGATGAAGTTTGGTGACAGGGTGGCAGAGGATGGAGCTGGAGTCTGTAAGTTATTTTCGGATTTTTTTCGAAGCGTATATGTTGAAAAATCTCCTACAAAGAAAAAAATTGAAAAACACCGTCAAGACAAAAATAAGACACTTTCTAAGATTATACTGAGTGTAAATGAAGTACGGGGAGCTTTGCAAAGTTTGGATGAAAAAAAAGGGGCAGGTCCTGATGAGATCCCAGCTTTCTTTGCAAAAATGTGCTCGCTTTCACTTTGCCTGCCATTGACAATGCTGTTTAATCAATCTCTTTCTTCTGGGATCTTTCCAGAAGTCTGGAAGGTCTCTGCCATAACTCCGATCTATAAAAATAGTCAAAAAAATGATGTGAAAAATTATAGACCTATCAGTAAACTGTGCACTTTTGCGAAGCTTTTTGAGAAAATGGTCTACCCTTATATTTTTAGTTTTGTCATAGGTGACATCATGCCACAACAATATGGCTTTTTACAAAGGAGGAGTCTAGAGTTAAACTTGATAGAATATTCTCAATACATTTATGAATCATTTGATGCTTTCTGTCAGGTGGACGTAATTTATACAGACTTCAGCAAAGCATTTGATAAAATTTGTCATAACATTATGATAGAGAGATTGGAGGAGGTGGGAATCTGCGGTGACCTCCTTAGATGGTTTAAATCATATTTACTTAAAAGATCAATGTTTGTTGCCCTTTTAGGGTTTACCTCTGAGAGATTTTCTCCATCTTCGGGGGTCCCGCAGGGCTCCCATCTTGGCCCCTTACTATTTGTGATCTATATTAATAATATTCAGTTGTGTTTTGAATCTTGCTTGTTTCTCGGTTACGCTGATGACCTAAAAATATTTCTTAGAATTAGTTCAATATCAGATTGTGAAACCCTTCAAACTTGTATAAACAACCTCATAGAATTTTGTAATGAAAACCAATTATTCTTAAATTTTGACAAATGCTCTGTTTTATCATTTTCACGTGGATCTACTACTATAAACTATAGCTATAAATTAGGAAATACTTCTTTGAATAGGGTTACTCATATCAAAGATCTGGGTGTCCTTTTTGACTCTAAAATGATGTTTAATCTGCACATTGACAAATTAGTTAATGATTGTAATAGAATTCTTGGATTTATTAAAAGACAATGTGCCGATTTTCAGCAACAAGAAACAATCATAACTCTTTACTACGCATATGTTTTCAGTAAATTGCAATTTGCCTCAGTCATATGGAGCCCCAGATACAAAAACTCAATTGACAGATTGGAAAAAATTCAAAACAAATTTCTAAGATTTTTATGTTTTAAAACCCACTTCCGTATTGTAGATCATGATTATTCAATGGCTAGATCACATTTCAAAATTCTTGAATTAGAAAAAAGGCGAACTATATCAGATATCATGACAATATTTAAAATAATTAATAACTTATCTGACTCCCCGAGTATTCTCTCTAAAATTAAATTCAATGTACCTGCTCGAACACTTCGAAATCATGATCTGTTTTGCATTCCTTATTGTAGAACTAACTATTACCAAAACGCACCTTTAGTCAGGATGCTTAAGGCTGTTAATTTACATTGTACTACTTCTAATTTGGACTTATTTGCTACAAAATTGTTAACTTTTAAAAAAAACCTAAAACTTAAGTTTCTAGAATGAACTCTAGTGTGATATTTTATTTGTGATTTATTGAATAATTAAATCTTACCTAAGTTTTTAGATTAGAACAACGAAGACCTCTACATATACCAATGTGATATATAACTTGTGATTACTTATATAAAATTTTTATATATTATATATATATATTTTTTTTTTTAAGCAAAGTATAGATATTACTTTAGTAATATCGGGATACTATTTTTGGAATTATGTTCTGTTTGTATCCCAAGGACTGTAATAAATAAATAAATAAATAAATAAATAAGTAATATATTGAGAACTATGCTCTTGCACACAAATATTAATATTGTTTTACCTTACCTTACCTTCATTTTTGCTCCTGTAAGTCCTGTACCCATTTGCTAGAAATTTGCAATCAAAGCACAAAGGAACAGGTATCAACTAAATATGGGCAATATATCGGTGTGTTTCTATCCACTTTTTCGTCAATAATGCCCACAAAAATACTAAATTGCAACAACAATGAACGCAATACACAGAAACACATAACCCCAATAACAAAACAGCACCATACGCGACGTTGCCGTCATTTCCAACTTCATGGCTTGTTAAGTGTAGGAGGCTGTGCCAGGATGGATGAATGGAGAACCAGAGAAATTAGTTATCAACTGTCATTTTTGAAAATTTATAACCTAAAATATTGTCAAAAAAAAATTAATTCGGTGTTTGCGTTTCCGGTTTTTCTCTTCTACATTTATTTTAGACCCATTACTTATTTACCTACTCGTTAACTAGTAAAATAAAATTAAAGTCCAAACAAAACAATTTTTTTTAGATTAGTGACAACTGTGATAAGGGTTTCAAGATTTTTTTTTCGATCCGCGTTCGGCTTATGACTTTGTTCAGAGCGCACTCTGCGTATGACGTCACGATATTCATGTTCATACCGTTCCGCTCCATAGAGTGCAAAGCCGAATTCAGCCAAAAGGCCAAAAAAACGAATTCCTAAACGTTAAAATCACCTTTTCTACATTTAAAATCGACGAAAAATTAACTCATAAGCACAGTCGCAAGCAATTCTTTCAGGTCTGCGCATGATGTCACCACTGGTGATGGTGGTGACGTCATCCGCAGACTACTGGCGAACGTACGCCTATTGTTGCGTAATCCTATGGTGGAGGGTTTCTTGGTCGACTCGACATCCATCTGTTACCTGTTACATCGTTGGAATTTGACATCTTTCAGCCACGCCATGTTAGGAAATATTTCGTGACGATTTTTCGTATCACTAGCTAGTGTGTCACTCCATGTGCGTTAAGAAGTGTTACTTTCTCGTCTCATAATCTGAACGCACCGAAAAATATTCTGTTTTCCATTGGGACTGCACTAGAGCATATTTTTTTGCCCTGGTAACACAACAGTTCCAAACAGAATACTCGAACAGTTCTGGAAATTTTTCGCGTGGATGATCAAGTAGGGTGTTCATTTGTACTGCTTTTCTTGTTTCAAACAGATCTCAGCAGATTGGCGTTCACTTGTCTCATATAATTATAAGCTCATAAATAGCAGCTCCTAGCAGATCTTTCTAATTTTCGAAAGCATACTGTGCTGGATTACGTGATGTGTCATACTCCCCTAAATCCCCCACCATCAAATTCTGGGATACTCGAAGATCAAGAACACCTATTTTCTTCTGTGAGAACAGACCGAAAATCACCTTTTCTAAATTTAAAATCGACGAAAAAATTAACTCACTAGGGGTCGGTTTCTCAATAACGAGTCACCCCCGGATTGGTTTTAACTCCAGGGTTAATGTGTCAAATTGCAAAGTTCACCCTGGAGTTAGCTTAACCTGGAGGTGAGCTATTGAGAAACCGGCCCTAGCACAGCCTGAATTGCCAGCATTTCATCGAGGTCTGCAGGTGACGTCATCGCTTTAATTTGCTGATAGTGACGTCATTCACAGGCCCAGAATTTGATGGTGAGTAAGTGGAAGTACGACACAATTGACATATCACATAACCCAGCATAATTTATGCTTGATTATCCTCATGAAAAATTGCCTAGAGAACTATTCCAGGCAAAGACGGGACACTCGTTCTTTGGGAACGCTGCTCCCCTGTTCCATGAATAAGGACCTAGAACAGTCCTAAGAGAAGAACACGGAAAAACCTTTTTGACGCATGCGCACAACCTCTTTGGCCTATGCGTTTTAGGGGAACCCCCCGGATAGTGGAATCCATATCCCACAAAGAGAAAGACATGACACTATGACACATGGCACACTTTACGCACTCTTATTAAAAAGACGTTGAGTAGAACTTTTTCTACAGCCGTGCGGAAAATTGGTTTTCCCGCACCAGTGCGGAAAATTTTTCCTCACGGCTGTCAAAAATAAAAATTTTAAATTTCTACAAATTAGGTAGTCATACACTTATTTCCGCACGCCTAACACTTGCGGAAAAATTCATTTTCAGCACTTGTTAGGTAAATAGCTATTACGCACTAGTTTGTGAAGTGAATTACTTTACGCACTAGTGCGTAAACTATAATTTTACGTCTATTGAAGAGTGAAAGTTCAGTTGTTGAGTTATATCCGCCCTTAAAGTTTGTAACACCATTTCTGAAACACCCTGTACATGTACCTAGTGTATTTACAATGAATACATCTTATAATTTACATATTAAGTTTCTCTTATTTCAAACTATACCTTCAATTTATTTGTTTTCCGGATAAGCTACTTTAGACCCGTAGCAGCGTAAACTTGTACCTTTATTTTTCAGGTAGGAGGAAAAAATTATGTTGTATACAACAGGTGTGTAAACCACTTTTTTTCACCAATAAAAAAGGTAGTGTGAATGGTGTGTTTACGCAATAGTATTTGAAATTTAGTAAACTGGACTGCGACTAAAAAATCGCGCAAACAAATAGAAATAGAAATGAAAATGATACCATAGGGTTGTTGAAACACACAAAAGTTATTACCACTCACCTGGGTTTTCTTATAAGCTGTGCGTATATACGGGGATCTCCTGGAAAACGGTTCTCCACAACCACCAACGTATCACCATCGACTTAAGGCACTCAAGGTCCCTTTTCAACGGCACAAGATATAGACTTTCTGAGCGTAAAACACGGAACTGGTAAAAATGCAACATGCATCAAGTACCATTGATCTAGTGTGTAAATCCAAACCTTCAACAGCTATCGGCCTCAGTCGGCGTAGGGTCGTAGAAAATACACTCCTGTGTGTTTTACGCGAAATTGACATTTAAGTAATTCTTTAATAAGAATCAGAAGAAACCAAATTTATAAATAATGTTGCGTTAACAGGTGAATTTAGCAAGAAATCAGTTTGTCAATGTGAAACATACCTACATACCTACTTACCGACCTATCAGAATATTTGTCATACCTGTGTCATACTCATAAATATAAAAACTATTTTTTTCTTGTTTAAAAGTAGAATCAAAATTCCCGCGACAAAATGTCCAAGGCACAAAGAACCGCCATGGGCGATTACTGGGCTAAAACCATTGAAAAAGAAGCGGCACTCAGATCCATGTGGTTCCGTAAAAACGAGGCAAGATTAAATGAGAATGCAAATAAACTAATATCTTCTAGGGCAGTGCCTGAAGAGGTCAAGGAGAAAATTAAAAAGGTAAAAAGAATTCACAGTCACAATGGTACTTGATTCTTAATTTACTCAAATTACATGATATCTAGAATCGCATAGAAGCATTCCAGCAGATAAAAAAATTCCCAAGAATTAAAACAGAAGACACAGTAATAGATTTCGAAGGCAACCTCCAAGACATTATGAGACCTGTAAATCCAGAAATTACAAAACTAATTTACACAGGGCACAATAAAGACGGACGCGAAAATTACTTAAGAGAACGGGTCAAATTAATACCAGAAAAAAGGTTCAATTATTTAATACTATCTACAAAATCAACATTTATTCTCTTTTTAGATTTTACTTTCCAGAATGTACTAGTTGGGATCATGGCTGGAAACAGTGGCACAGAATGAAAGATAACAGAACTTTGGGTTTTGGAAGGCAGCAAATCATTAAAGCCTCCTTTTATAGGCGAAGAGGAGTGGAAAGAGATCCTGAGTGGTACAAAGAACCTGCGCATATTAATCCAACATTTTGTAATATGTGCCGATAAATGATTTATTAAAAAAAAAACATTTCTATAAGATGTGAATATTCTACCTTAAAAACTTTAAAAAATAAATAATAATAAAGAGCTATTCATAAAATACCAGATACATCATACTTTGAACTCAAAAAACTAAAATCTAATATCGCATTTAAAATACTGCCATTTCCTTGTTACTTTTCCTTCTATCTAGTTCATTGTTAACTACCAATTGGAAAACATTAAAACGTTTCAGGGTAATTTCCGTTCTGGACTGCTTCTTAGTTATAGGAAGGTTTGTTTCCAATTTTCCTTCCAAACGTTGCCTTCTCGCTTTAATAGTTATAAGTTTTCTGAAGAAAAAATTATATAAATTTTCTAATTTTATAGTTGGAAACTAAAACACACTAACCTTGATAACTTCTTTAGCTTCTCCGAAATCTTGAAATTACTCAAATTGACATCCTTAGTAGTAGCCACTTTTAGTTTTTCCCTCAAAAGTCGAGTTTCATCGTTTTCATAAAAACTCACAAGACCTTGACCCATACTCCAAACAATAAACTGTTCCAAATTCATGTCTTTCACCTTCAATTCCATCCTCTTCCTCTTTGCAACTTTACCTGGTTTCTCCCGCAGTCTCCTTTTTCTTGTAGACATTTTATCAGCATTAAATAGATTTGGATCTTGAGCTTGCTCTTTAAGATTCATACAAAAATCGAGCGATTTTCCTTGAGGTAAAACTAAAGCTGTAACTGGTTTTAGAATACCATCGCTCTTTTTGCCAAGGCCAGTGCCAACTACGTAGCCCATTTTTTGCATCAATTTTGAAGCAATACCCTGGAATCAATTTTTTTTTTTTAATATAAAGCACATATTTTATTTGTTATTAAGCACCTTAGTATACTTCTCCCAGTCACCCAAAGGAATTGATTCAGGAGTGATCATCAGGCTTCTATTTATTAATTCCTCTTGCTGCTTTTTGGCTACTAATATTGATTCATCATCTGAGATTTCAATTACTAAAAAAAAAAACAGTATTTATTGACTATACATACTTAGGTAGGTATATATAAATTACCTTCCTCATCACTACAATCATCTTCACTATCATTTTCAGAAGTTAAAGGCAATATGTGTTCGAAAATAATATCTTCATAATCCTCATTTTCCACATTTTTTGATTCAAACTTAACCAGACATTTGCCTTTTGAAATTTGTGATATTTTTCCTCTATACCATAAGTTATCAGATTGTTTGGCAAGTACTTCACTACCTTTTGTCAATTTTTCAAATTGTGGTTCAACATATTCTTGCAAGCTAGAATATTGCACGAATTCTCCATGTGAAAATTTGCATTCGTCTTCACTAAAGCGACAATCCTTTTCCAAATCAAAATAATATGGACATGGTAGCATTTCTTTGTGGGTTGGATTTAAGAATAAAATTTTCACCTACATATAAAAGTTAATTTTCTAATATCTTAGTGCCATTTTTTTACCATTAATTCTTCAATGTTAGGAACATCTTCAGGGACGGAACAGACCATTGCGTTATGATAAGCTAACTGGCCCCATTGATGCTTGTGTGGTGCCCTAAACTTTTTACCCTCTAAATCTTTGAGTTGTTCAGGTGGGACTGATTTTGAGCTGCTTTCCTTAGCTGAATCAATTGCACCTTCTTTGGTCATTTCAGCCTGATAATCGGAATATACAGGGTGAATAGAATTTATGTTGACAAATGAAAAACGTTTAATATTAACACGTTCACTGCCAACTACGAGTTAACTCGTAGTAGACAATCTTATTACAGGTGCCAGCTACGAGATAACTCGTATTTTGCATCGTGTCGTTCAAAGTCAAGTACGAGTATATTCGTTGTAAATACAGGCTAATGGGGGGTACCTGGCCTACAAGAAAAGTATAAGAATTTCACACAGACATGGTTTGTAAAAGATTTTTATTTGTAAAAAAAACAATAGAAAACAAAACAAAAAAAATCAATATTTTCAAACATGGTAGTCTTTGAAGCAACCATCAAAACATAATGCAGGTTTTTCCTCACAAATTGCGCAGAAATAGGGGCTTTCACATCGTATTTTTTTATTTTCGCCTGATCTGATCTGATCGTATTTGCGCCTGATCTCACGAGTTAACTCGTAGTTGGAGCATGGATACAAATTTTCATATACAGGTGCCAACTACGAGATAACTTTGAGGGTATTTTTTCGCAAAAATATGGGTCAGGTACTACTTTGGATGAATATTTTATGTTATTTAGACCTATTCCGATTATAAAATATAGTTTTTCAACATTGACATTTTGGACCCGATCAACCGAAATCTCTCTGGCAGCGAACATGTTAATTTTCAATTCTTCATGAAAAGTATATCAACTAGCAAAGACAAAGATAAAGTAAATGTATGGAACATATTAGTAGGCTAGTTGTTCAAAAATGTACATTGTTATAAGTAGATATTATAGGTATCTAAATTATGAGATAATTTTATATGTAAATATTTCAAAAATAACTAAGAAAAATCAATGATAGAGAAGAATGAATAATTCTTACCATGAAGAGTTCATATTCATCTTCAATTGTATACTCGTGTGGCTTCTTAGAACAACTCGCAGAATTGCTAACTTCGATATCGGGCTCAATTTGGTCTTTTGAGTCTCCAATATTACAGACATTATCTGATGTATCTTCGGTTGTATCAGTATTTGTTAGGGATAATAATTCTTCAATGTTTTCCTTCAGGTTGATTAATTCGTTTCTTTCAGGCCCTTCAGGAGTTTGCTTTAGCATTTGATTGATAAGCTGAAGCTGCATTATAAAAATGTTTTGGAGGAATGCATTTTAAATTCTGTTAAAACTCTTACCTGGTGATGATAGGCTTCTTGTGAAGCCATTTTTATATGTAGTCAAATTGTTTTTATTGTTTATTCATCAGGATTTTAAAACTTTGTCTATTTCCAAACCAAATAAATCCACAAACAAAACTATTACTTTTATTTTAGGTTAGGTTTATGTTTTCTTGTCAACTCTCAGATGTCAGTGCATACTTTTATGTACACTGTATTATGTACAAAGCCGCTTTCCCTGGGGCTGCGTTCGAGAACCTGGTTGTTGCGTTGTGTAAAAATTATTTCAAGGAGTGGGGGTCCGACACACTTTGGTGTGCAAATCTTGACCTAGCTGACGCTTTTGAGCACGCAATCGAGCTTTTGCGCGCAAATGCTTCAAGCGCGTGTTCGTGTTCCAGCCGTACTGCGCTTCGAGAGCTGCTAACTTTTGCTTTTCAAACACAGAACACTTTGCTGCACCGTGCTTGAAGCTTGAAGCACACACCTGGAAACTGGAAAGCGGCCCAAGTATGGCTTTTCAGCGCAAAACAGAGTAATTACGTACACGTTCGGCTATTATACCATGCCAGTCGAGTAAATGGAGCTCACTCCACTACCTAGGAAAATGCGATTTTTAGAGTGGTTTAAAGTGTTTAAACTGTCGAAGAGTCAAAGTTGTAATAATAGTGTGGTTTGTTTGTTTGTTTTACCTTTACCATTATGCACCACTTCTTGAGTTTTTGGGGCTAAAAATTAAAAAATCCTTGTGAAACCGTTCGATAACTTATAGCCGGAGAGCCAGCGCCGAAAAAATTCTCTGAATTTACTAAAGCCAGTTTTTGGTCAGTTGATTACAGTATTTACGTACCATCGTCACCAAAAGTAACTGGGACAGGATCATATTAGCTCTTATACTATTATATGAATTTTATTGTCAAATATTTGTCAAACTATGAATCAAATGCATTGAAATGAATGACAGGCGAATTAGTCCAGGAGATTATTATGCATTATTTTTGTCCCAGATACTTTTGGTGACGATGGTGCATAAACATACCGCGGTCAGTCAAGCGAAACTTGGGACTTGCTTGGGACAAAGACCTAAATCCTTTTCACGTGGCTCCGGTTTAAACTAACGGTTACAAAACGGTTAGTAGCGGTATGTCAAGTATGACATACCGTTTTCAAACCGGTACAAAGTGACGTGATCGATACCACTCGAATTTGAGCGGTATGTTGTTAAACCGGAGTCACGTGAAAAGGGTTATTGGGTGTTTGGTTAAAGTTGTTGAGATAGCTAGGTAATTCAACGAATTTACTAGGCTGAAAATCGGTATACATATTATATACCGGGTGGGGCACGAAAAACTTTCCACCCAGGTTTTCTCAGGTGTTAGGTGTTTAATCAAAAATCGCTCAGACACGTCAATTTTTGTTTTTTGGGGGACACATTTTATTGGTGTTTTCACCCCCTACCTGTGAACCCCTAAGTGGGGGTAACAGGTATCCCCAAAATTTCAAATGGAAAGAGGGGTCGAGTGATATGTCATTTGGTAGCTATTTTCATTGAGTTTATATCCCCGAAGTTTCAATTAAGTTGCTACTATTAACCCGGCCGAAATGGCGGCATGTCAAAGTTAGGAAAAATGCTTTTTTCTACTGACGTTTCATAATAACAACTTTTCGATTGTCATTTTAGTTTCAAAACGACATTATTTTAAGCACTGAGTGCGTGAAAGTTACTTTTAGGCACTCAGTGCGTAAAAGTGACTTTTGAATGCGTAAAAGTGACTTTTAGGTGCGTAAAAGTGATTTTTAAGCACTAGTGCCTAAAAGTGTCATTCATTGTTCAGAAATAAAAAAACACACTAAACTCTAAAAATCGGGTGAAAAATAAAACGCTGTGCACAGTTCTGCTGCACGTCATCGACTGGCTTTTTTATTTTTAATTCAATCCTAACCTCACTATAGATGGCGCTGTTATTTTTATTCTTTTGGGCTCACAAAAAATAACACTCCCACTAGAACAAAAAATACAAAATAAGCAGCGAAAGCTTGAAAACATGAACAACTTCTCGAATCAAAAAAAAAAGAAAAATCAAAAAATCAAATTACATTTTAAATTCACTTATGCCTAAAGCCTCCAAAAAAATGTAGTGCTTCTGAGAACATAAACCTTTGGTTAACAGATCAGCAGGCATATCAACTGTCTGCAAATATTTTAAGTCAATTCTTTTATCAGCCACTGCTTCTCTGACAAAATGGTGACGAACATCTATATGTTTCGACCGTTTATGAAAAGTTGGATTTGCAGCCAGTTTCTGTGCGCTCTGATTATCATTGAATAATACAATGGTTTTAAAAACAGAAGTCAATTCCTTAAATAAATTTTGTAGGTACATAGCTTCTTTTGATGCATCAGAAAGAGCCATGTACTCTGCCTCTGTACTACTCAAAGCCACAGTTTTTTGTTTTCTGCTCTCCCATGAAACAACTGAATTTGATAGCTTAAAACAAAAACCTGTGTATGATTTCCTGTCCATATGATCACCAGCCCAATCGGCATCTACGTAACCTAATATATCAAAACTACCTTTAACAAACTTTATGCCATATGATTTGGTACCTTGTAAATACTTCAAGATACGTTTCGCCTGTTTCCAATGTGTCTCACCATAACAGTTATTAAATTGACTGAGATAGCTCACTGAATAGCTTATGTCAGGCCTTGTCAAAACAGCCAAATACATGAGACTGCCGATCAGCTGTTGATATGGAAAAATATCTTTACATACACTTTCCTTTTCCAAATTTAAATTAAATTCTATAGGTGTTGCCACCGTTTTGCATTCATTCATATTAAATTTTGTCAATATTTGCTCAATATACTGTTCCTGATCAAGAAAAATTTCATTTTTGTCTTTATTTATCCTAACTCTCATACCTACACATTGTTTTACTTCTCCCAAGTCTTTAATTTTAAACTTTGAAGCTAATTCCCTTTTTAAAAAATTATTTTCTTGTTCAGAGTTAGAAAAAATAAAGAAATCATCCACATATAATGCAATAATTGTCATAAAGCCATCCTCACGTTTTAGAAATAAACAAGGTTCAAATTCTGACTTCTTATAATTCAAATCATTTAAAACAAGTTCCACCTTTTTATACCATACTCGTGAGGATTGCTTCAACCCATATATAGCTCTCTTGAGCTTCAAAACTTTATTGTCAAGATTTTGGTCCACACAAAAACCTTCTGGCAATTTCATGAAAACATTCTCCTCCAGGTGTCCATTTAGGAATGCTGTAGTTACATCCAAATGTATTATATTAAAATTAAATTGTACTGAAAAAGCCAATAATAATCTCAGAGTTGAATGCCTAACAACTGGAGAGAATGTTTCATCAAAATCTATGCCTTGTTTTTGTGTAAACCCTTTTGCCACCAATCTAGCTTTATAAGTTACATTATTTTGACTGTCAAACTTACACTTAAATACCCACTTGCACTGAACAACACTGCCACTTTTCGGAGAGTCCACTATTTCCCAGGCTTCATTTTCGTTGAATGAATTTAGCTCTTTTTCAATGGCTTCCATCCACTTGCTTCTGTCAGGTCTGTTTATAGCTTCTTGGAAAGTCAGTGGGTCAGAGTCTTGATTTTTCAAACATAAATGGCTAACATAATCGCTATATTCTTTAGGTTTTGGCACTCTCTGGGATTTTCTTATAGTTTCTGGGAGTTCTATTTCTCTATCTGGCACAAAATTTTCTGATTCATTTAGATCTTCTGTTAAATCACTTATGCTGTCATTCGTGCTTTCATACTCATCTGAATCTCCCACTGAAACTATGTTTTCCGAGATGTTTTCCTTATTCTCAGAAATTTCCAAATTTTCCATCATTATTTTGGATTCTGACTCTGATTCCATGATTATAACATCTCGACTGGTAGAAATTGATTTTTTGATCGGATTATAAACCCTGTAACCTTTTGTGACGTCACTATATCCAATCAAAATCTGCTCAACTGCCTTTCTGTCCCATTTCAGTCTCTTCTCCTTTGGCACATGCACCATCACACTGCTGCCAAAAATTCTGAGATTACTGACGTCGGGTTTCTTTCCCGTCCAAATTTCAAAAGGTGTTTTCTTCAGGCCTGAAGCTACACTGCGATTTTTTAAATAAACAGCAGTATGAACTGCTTCTGCCCAAAATGGTTTTTGAAGTTTTGCATCAAATAATAGGCATTTAGCCTTTTCAACGATGGTTCTGTTGAGTCTCTCACACATGCCATTTTGCTCTGGCGTGTAGGGATTCGTTTTCTGGTGTATAATACCATTTATGGATAAAAAACGTTCCATATTTGTATTACAAAACTCACCACCGTTGTCTGATCTTAGAACTTTAATTTTTCGCTCCGTCTGATTTTCAACCAGGGTTTTGAAGCTTTTAAAACATTCAAAAACCTCATCCTTGGTTTTAAGGAAATAAACAAAGGCCATTCGACTGAAATCGTCTTCAAATAATAAGAAATACTTGGATCCACCCAATGAACTAACTTCCATAGGACCACAAACATCAGTGTGCACTAGATCCAGCAATGCCTTTGCTCGAGAGCCATTGTTATTGAAAGGATGTCGGGATTGTTTTGCTTCACAACACACTTCGCAGTTCTGTTTAGTCGTTTTAAATTTATCTGAATAGTCAAGTCCATGCACCAAATCATTGCTTTTCATTTGACTCAAATACGAACTGTTTAAATGTCCAAAACGTCTGTGCCAAATATTGCTGGTTGTTACAGTCAAACCTGCAAAGTTGCCTTTAAAAGAATCATCTTTTAACTGATTTAATTTGTATACACCTTGTATCAAATCAGCCTCGGCGACTAGTTTGCCTTGTTTATTAAAGATTTTACAACCATTTGCTGCAAAACACACTTTGTTTCCATTCTCAATTAACTTACTAACAGACAATAAATTAGTTGTTAATGATGGAACGTATTGAACGTTTTTTACAGGAATCAAGTAATAGTCATTTTTGATTTTGGTTTTGATTTCAACATCACCGCAGCTTTTTACTTGCACTGCAGTTTTATTTGCGACCATTATTTCTTGGACACTGGAAGTACACTCGTTTTTAAGCCAATGGTCGCTGGCTGTCAGATGTAGACT